AACGAACAGAATCTCCAAAATCCCCAATTCCCCTCGATTCATGTTCACTCCTCTTCCTGTATGAAAGGCTGCTAATGTCGCTCAACAATTGGCACAAGAAGCATATGCAAAGGAAAAGCCAAAGACGTTCGAAGAACTTGTGCCCGAGGTCTTTCATATGTACAAAGACGTCTTCGACAAGGCAGCCATGGATACCTTACCACCGTCTCGACCCTTTGATCACAAGATAAAACTGAAACCTGATTTCGAACCGCGTTCCTGCAAAATCTATCCATTGTCTGCACCAGAAGAAAAGGCAATGAACGAATTCGTAGACGAACATCTGGCAAAAGGAACTATTGTACCATCTCAATCTCCACAAGCATCTCCTTTCTTCTTCGTAGGAAAGAAAGATGGATCCCTCCGCCCTTGCCAAGACTACAGAAGGCTTAACGATGCAACCGTCAAGGACGCATATCCACTCCCACATATCCCCGACCTTATCGACAAGTTAAAAGGTGCAACAATCTTCACCAAAATGGATGTCTGTGCAGGATATAACAATGTCAGAATTCACGGTCCAGATAGATGGAAAGTGGCGTTTAAAACCTCAAGAGGACTCTTCGAACCAACGGTCATGTTCTTCGGTCTATGCAACGCCCCCACTACGTTCCAAGCAATGATGAATGATATCTTCTCTGACATGATAGACGAAGGTTGGATGGTCATCTATATGGACGATATCTTAATCTTTTCCAAAGACCTGGAATCCCACCATCAACGAACAATGCAGGTGTTACAACGACTCCGTGATCACCAACTTTCCCTCAAACCCGAGAAATGTGTCTTCGACACCACCGAAGTCGAATACCTAGGCCTTCTCATCCGTCCCGGCCAAATTTGCATGGACAAGGTCAAGTTGGACGGAGTAGTCAAATGGGAACAACCCATGATCATCAAACATGTTCGATCATTCTTGGGATTCGCCAATTTCTATTGCCGATTTATTGCCAACTATTCAACCATCACACAACCACTCATCGACCTAACGAAGAAAGATACTATCTTTGATTGGTCGCCAGCTTGCGACAAGGCGTTTACCGACCTGAAGAACTGTTTCCTCTCCGCTCCCATACTTTCCATCCCCGACAAGGACACGCCGTTCACGATCGCCGTTGACGCATCTCTTTATGCTACCGGTGGCGTCCTTCTTCAAAAAGACTCCAATGGTGACTGGCACCCTTGTTCTTATCTCTCGCAAACTTTCTCCCCAGCAGAGCGAAACTATCAAATCTTTGATCGGGAATTATTAGCCATCATACGAGCATTAGAAGCCTGGCGTCATTACCTCGAAGGATCCCCTTTCCCAGTTCTCGTCATGACTGACCATAAAAACTTGACTTATTTCCGTCAAGCTCAACAACTCAATCGCCGACAAGCTCGATGGCTCCTATTCCTTTCACGTTTTGATTTGCAACTCCAACACGTACCCGGCAAAGACCTTTCCGTTCCCGATTCTTTATCCCGTAGACCTGATCATATTCCTGTTGATGCGAAGGACAATTCTGATGTCACTGTCCTCCCTGATGGACTATTCATAAACCTCATTGATACTTCCATGCAGGAGAAACTTCGCATCTCATCTTCGGTGGACCCCATAGTCCAACAAACCATAGATGCCCTTTCTAATCCCACCCTGCCCCTCCCTATGAAATCAGCACTCTCTGATTGGACCTTTTCCGACGCAATTCTTACTTTCAAAGGTCGAAACTATGTTCCCCCAGGTCCTTTGCGGAAAGAATTGATCTCCCTCCATCATGACTCCCCGACCACCGGCCATCCTGGTCGTTTTAAAACTCAAGAAATCATCTCTCGTGACTACTGGTGGCCAGGCCTTCCCACCTTCGTTCGCAAATATGTCGAAGGATGTGCCGTTTGTCAGCAGAACAAGGTCAACACCCACCCTACGAAACCGCCACTTTGTCCTATTCCCGCCCCTACTTCTTCCCGCCCCTTTGCTCAATGCTCCGTTGACCTCATCGTAGACCTTCCCCCATTCAATGGTTTCGATTCTATCATGGTCGTGGTAGACCATGGGCTTACGAAGGGGGTGGTACTCACGCCTTGCAACAAGACGATCGATGCAGAAGGAGTCGCCGACATATTCTTCAACTGTGTCTACACGCGCTTCGGACTCTATGACAAGATTATCTCTGATAGAGGACCTCAATTTGCAGCTAAGTTCGCGCAAGAACTAGGACGACTCCTGGGATACAAGATCGCACTCTCTACCGCATTCCACCCACAAACAGATGGAGAAACAGAACGAGTAAACCGAGAGCTAGAAGTGTACCTTCGTATCTTCTGTGCGAATGATCAGACCTCGTGGTCAGAGAAACTTCCCATGGCAGAATTCGTACACAACTCCCGACATCACTCCGCACGAAATGCTTCTCCCTTCTATCTCATGATGGGATACCACCCTCAAGCGTTACCATTGGCTACTGAGAAATCAGATCTCCCAGCCGTCAAAGCAAGAATATCAGAACTCCAGAAGGCTCGAGAAGAAGCCCTATCATCACATGAACTCGCTAGACAAACCATGAGGCAAAGAATCACCTGATCATTCACACCCTTCAAGAAAGGCAACAAGGTTTGGCTAGAAGCAAAGAACCTTCATCTCAATTACCCCAATAGGAAACTTGCACCCAAAAGAGAAGGACCTTTCACTATCTCGGAAGTACTCGGACCAGTCACATACCGCCTAAAACTTCCGAACCAATGGCGTGTCCACCCGGTATTCCACGCAGCACTTCTTACCCCTTATCGTGAGAACGAAGAACACGGTCCTAACTTCCCGTCACCACCTCCTGACCTAATTGACGGAGAAGAAGAACACGAGGTAGAAGCCATCCTCAGACATAAGGGAACTCTCTCACGATGACGCTTCCTTGTCAAATGGAAAGGTTATCCATCGGCCGATAATGAATGGTTGTCGGAGTCTGATTTAGCCAACTCCGCTGAAATCTTGAACAGATATAAGCAGGCACATCGACTCATTCCCCTCTCAACTCGAACTATCATCACCAAACCATTCAGACCATGCCCTCTACCAGTGGACGCAACTATGTCTCTTCCAGCGACGAAGACATAAATATTGTCTTCATGCACAACAGCACCCCTAATGCCCCCATTCCTAACCTGAGATTCCCCGTCTTCTCTCCACGCCCTCACTACATGACTATTAGTCAGAGGAACTCCCCCGAACCCCCTCGTCCGACATCTCCTTTACCACCGTCGGGACAGTCGTCCCCCTATCAAATATTTAATGAACCAGTGATCCCCACATTCATCAATACCCCTGCCAGCCCCGTCACTATCCGTAACCGTGAGCGTGTTGCAGCTCATCGACGAGCAGCTCCTTGGAGAGTAGCGACTGACCCCTACTTGTCCGATCTTGAAGATCGTAGACTTCGTCGTAGGATCATGCTGTCGTCCAAACTCTTCAAAAACCCCATTAAAGACGCCATCGACACAGAGCCGGCTCTTAACGCCCTCTATGACCTCTACCGACTTGGAGATCGTCTTGAGAACACCTTAGAAAGGCATAACGCCGAGTATAGAGAAGACGAGCTCTTCTCTCTCGACTATAGCATTCGAGACATCAAAGAGAAGCTTCAACAACTGACATTGATTCTCATGGAGGAAAGAGGTTTCTTTGAAGCCCTTGATGGACTTGGAGGAACCGAGGACGATAGGCGTCGTGGTCTTGAATGAAAGTCTGGGACTTTCCACGTAAGAAGGGGGTGATGTTACGGCTGTGCTTATCTTGCTTCTTTTTCCCTTGATACACACTTACTACGCATGTCCCTTATCATGCTATATTTAGTTCGGTATTACTCAGACGCCTCATTGCTTACGCATGTGCTTACTGATACATACCTATTATTACGTCATACCCTGTACCCTCTATACTATATAAACCCTGGCTAGGTGACGCTGATTCTTCAGCTTAACCTACGCTGGTTTTCCTCTGAACATCTGACTTGATTCTAAGTTACCTCTTCGGTACTTAGCCTTGACTTTACTTTGGGCGTTCTTAAGACTGTTGTCTTGAACGTATCGACAGACCTTTGGTCTTATTGACTATTGTTTTGCCTGTGTTATACTTCAGCGTAACAACTGGTACGAACTGACGTCAAAGCATTGTTCGTCCATCACTCCTTTTATTGCGCTCGCACTGAGATCTCGGATCCTTTGGACAGCTCAACTCATCATTCGGATCCTTCGGAGTCCAACAGGTTCCACGAGCACAATGATCAGCCTGAGACCCAAAACCAGGGCCGTTATTAGGAGGATCGTCGTCAAGCACGATAGCAGAATATCATGAACCATGCGGTAAGAACGAAATTTTAATCATAATCGCCGCAAAGATGACGGGAAGATGGATGGATGACAACGGGCGTACATGATTAGATTGGACGAAGCAAGTATTTCGGGAGATTTGGACACAGCACGGAGCAGGAGAACTTCATGGTACTAGTAAGCTTGCGAATGAGTAATGTATCTAGATGATACGTACTTGGATGGAATCTAGTACTAGTGGGTTGGACTTCTGCGACCTGGCGGTGCGAGACATACTGAACAAGTGTTTTTTGCAGACCCTCGAGAGAATTGCGCACCGGCGTGGGGACAACGATCGCAGTGAAAGCAGGGCCAACGCCGAGCGAGTTGAAGAAGGATGAGAGCTCGGAGCCGCGGAAGCAAATTACGGTGGTTGTCGAATACTCATTGTCTGATGCCTTGTCGCATAGGACAGCTGTTCTTCGCTTTATACTTGAATTAAGAATTACTTTGCCTAGACTCGTCCTTAACAAGCTTAACAGTCGGGCACCACTTGTGATGTAGAATCAGGCTCTGATATCGAAACTCAAACCTAGATGAAGAACCAAGGCAAATTAATACGGGACAAGACAGGAGTGTTGACGAGTCAGGTTCCCTCATAGCATACGGAACGCCCCTTATGAGTGCGTCCACTCTGCCCTGCGTTTCTCAGCAAATGCAACCATACCTGGCACAGGGGAAGGCATTTAGTGCAAACACGAATGAGACAATACAGAAAAGACACCCACCCTCCTTCTGATCCTTGGTTGCAAACAAGGCATGGAACAGCCGCTTCTCGAACCTCAGCCCCTCAGCGAGGCTCATTTCGAATGCCGCATTCACGGCCTCCTTGCCCGCACTCACTGCGATGTGTCCCTTGCTTGCAATATCACTCGCCACCTTCACGGCCTCATCAACGACGTTGCCCTCTCGTACAACTCGTGCGATGCCCCAGCGTTCTGCTTCATCCGCACAGATTATACGTCCTGTAAGGACGAGTTCCATGGCACGCGATTTACCAATGAGACGTGCAAGACGTTGAGTCCCCCCGCCGCCAGGGATGACGCCAAGGTTGACTTCTGGCTGGCCAAGTTGTGCTGAAGGTGCTGCGAGGAGAATGTCAGCCTGCAATGCGAGCTCCAAGCCACCACCGAGCTGAAAGAGAAAACTCCAATAAAAACACAATAACTAACAGATGATTTTGAGGACATACGGCGTAACCGCTGACAGCTGCAATAACTGGCTTTTTAAGCTTAGGGATAACCTCCCAGTTCGCGAGGAAGTTGGTGGTGTAGGCTTCCGCAACTGCAGAGGAGTTCAGAAAGCATTCGATCATTCATGAAATGAACTCACAAGACTTGTCCTTCATCTCTTTGATGTCCGCACCAGCTGTGCATGGATTAGTCTAGTCTAGTTCATGATCCGAATGACTGAGAAACACACCCGCAAACGCTCGTTCTGACCCAGTGAGAATCATAGCGCCCACACTGGCATCTTCATCAGCCTCTTTCATTGCATCAGATATATCTTGAAAGTGTGCTGCATTCAAAGCATTGAGTGCCTTGGGTCTGTTCAGAGTGATGAGCGCCACGCCTGGGCTGGGTCGTGAGACAAGGACATTGGCATATTCGCGCTGGGCGTGCAAGCTGGTGGAGAATAAACGTGTGCTGCTGTTGATTGGACGGAGCGTCGAGCGGGAGAATGCGAGGAACGACATTGTGAACCAGATGAGAACCTTGAGGTGCGGGGAAGCTATGAGGCAGACGGGCCGGGATGTTCAAAATTACCGAGTTCCGGTCCGCACCGTCCTTCCCAGAGGCGACGTTCCATGAAGACTCCAGGATTGCTTCGATGCCTACACACTGCAGCTGAGGCCGTTATAGTATCTTACATTGACAGACTTTTCCCCTCTTGAGCGGTCTACCAATTGCAAGCAGTATCGAAGTACACCTGCTGAAATGTCATTCCTGATTACTGTGGAAATTTTAGATTTGGTGATGCCTTGGCGATGCTATTCGAGGTTATCTTCGAACGAACATCTCGTTGGGTGTCATGGAACACGATAATCAAACAGAGGTCCTTAGCTCGTGAGTACTTAGCTCTGTTGACTGTTGAACAGGACTCGAGCCGTTACCTACTGAATTCTTCCCAATTGCCAGTCTTCTCCAAAAGCAGAACGAAATTCTTGACGTCCTTAAGCGCTCAGAACTAGCAGAGAAAGTGGACAAGGACGTCCGATTACAATTCTGGGAAACGTATGAAGTCGTAGCAGAGGAAGTCGACAGCGAGTTCCTGGAGCGGTATAACGGAGATATTGATATCATCCCTACTTTCGTACGTCTTATTCATCAAAACCTGTTGCGAATCATTTCAATGCAATCTTGCAGGCGGGTCTCTTTTCAGCTGTCACCACCTCCTTCATAATCGCTTCACAGCCTAATGTGGGGGACACCACCAATGCACTGCTCACCCAACTCATATTACTCGCGGCAAATGGTACTTCAGCACCCCAGAGTATTACGCTCCCGCAGCAAGCGGGATATTCGTCTAGTGATGTTTGGGCTCAAAGCCTAGCCTACGCTAGTCTTCTACTTAGCCTCCTAGCTGCCTTTGGTGCAATCCTGGGAAAACAGTGGCTAGGCTATTACAAGTCTAACAGATACGGCCATGGTTCATTAGAGGAACGTGGAAGAAGACGGCAGCAGAAGATGGAAGCGCTAAGGACATGGTACTTTGATGCCGTGGTCCAGTCCTTCCCGGCGTTGTTGCAGGTGTCGCTGTTCCTTTTCGGTGCTTCCCTCAGTATCAACATGTGGTCTCAGCAGCAGATCATCGCACGCGTCATAATCTGCATAACACTTGTTTGGTGTTACGCTATATGGATTCACTGTCTTTGCGTCCCTCGTGTCCTCAGATTGTCCCTTTCAAACGCCTGTGTCTGTTGTTATCAGGCTTACCTGGCAACTCACAGGAGCACGCGCGGTTCAGTTTTATGATCTATGCCATTTGCGATATGCCCCACGATACATTCGACTAAGTGTGGCACTCGGAAGTCACTTCTTACGGGACTCGCTATCGCTAGAAGCATGCTGTCCGCTCTCCACCGAACAGTTACCACCTCTTTGACACGTTCCATCCGATCCCGTTTATCCATCCAATCCCGTACTCCCGCTATCTGCGATCTGGAGTTTGGTAAACTTCCCTCTAAAGCAACGGAGTCATGTCTTCCCGTCATTTCTCTATCCTATGAATTCCCCGCCGTCTCAATTGCATCTTCGGATGCTCCCTCCGTCAAATGGTTGCTTGAAACATCCACAGATCCCAACGTATTCATTGCAGCTTGTCATCTGGTCCCCGACGTCGAATGGCCATTCGATTTTGATGTTTCCGGGATAATTTCCCTTTTGCATCGTTCACTTGGAAGTTGCTTCGATACCAAGGATCGACTGTTGGCGCCAGCGAAAGAACGGGCTTTAGCTTGTGCAACAGCTCTCGTACACCTCAGCGGCAGGGAATACCTTCGATTAGATGGGGAATATTATTCCGCTGCACAATGCCCTTCTCAACCTAGATATCTTCACTTTTGGCACCTCCTCAGCTGGGAATCGTGGGATGCTGATTATGCGTTGAAGATTAACCTCGGGCAGAAGTGGATAGCCGATTACTCCTATCGTTTTTTCCGAGATACACCAACGTTCTCTTCGGCGTCTGATGCTACCTTGCTGTGGCTCTCTCAAGTCCTTCCATACGTTTTCCTGCTCCATACAGACATCGACGAGCTCGCGCAGATGGAGGATTTAGCATTGAGCATCATTTCGATTCTCCTTGAAGCCAAAGTACCGAACAAAGCCCCGTCAGCTCAGGTGCTTGCTAATTGTACACTTCTCGCTGGCGTCTTGCTCGGACTAAATGTAGACAAAACGGTGCTCGTGAAGGTTGACAAAAGGTACCTAATTACCATGCTTCCGTTGATCACCTATCTGACTCCGACGAAAGCGCTGCTATCGATGTGCTTGTTGCTAAGCTCCTCGCTTGTCTACAAAGCTGCGTCGATGGAGCACATCCGCAGCACTACGCTTCTAGAGCCAAGAAATGTCTCCCGCATGCCCTTCGCATCGTTGAGCTGACACACGCGGTTCCGCTTGACGGCTCGTTTTTCCGAGCGGGTCTTGCTTGCTGCAAAGAAATCTTCCTCGAATACTCGGCGGTATCCGACAGCAAGACTGAGGGCTCGGAAGACATGCAGAGACGTCTGTTCGAAGCAGGAGCTGCGCTGCACACGGCAATCTGTATCCCTCAAGGCCCTCCGGGAAACGTCTACCAGCCAGATGACTCCTTCCTTTACTGGTATGGGGAGTTTAGCTGGGCACATGACGCTCGTTCATCACACGAGTTCGACTGGCTCATCGATTACATCTGCGAACTGCGAGAGCTCGAGGGTTATGAGGTGGAGGATACCCTTGCAGATGCCCTCCTGGCACTTAGCGCTATGAAGAGTCTCGGAAGTCGGGCGAAAGAGGCAGCTTATCTGGAGATCCTCTTATCATCCATGGGACCAGAACAACCTGCTCGGTTACGCTATACTGCTTTGCGAGCTACATATGAAGCTCGACAAACACTGCTAGCTGCCATAGATGATACAGATGGCGATGCCAACTTACGGGAGAAGGTACTTGAACTTTCCCCGGCTATCCTCATCGCTGTCACCCCTAGTGAAGATGCTAGTGTGGAAGGTAGTCGCGATGTCATGTTCGACGAAGGACGTGATGGATGTTACCTGAAGCTTGTATTTGCCCTCATGAAGAATGCTGCATGGCGCAGTCGCCTTTCCCAAGACGATCATATGAACAGGTGCATCAGCCTTCTCACCGAAGCCGCGGACAGCAACCCCCATGCATTCTACCTTGCTGGTATTTTTCTACGGATCACGGGTGTTTCAAGGTCCTTGGAACTTCCACTCAATAATATGTTCTCAAGGGAGCAACTGCCGTCACTCGTCCCTTGTGCATGGGATGCCTTCCCTAGCGTATATCTCTCAGGCAACGACGACTGTGTGGAAATCTTGCCTGCGCTCGCGGAGTTGACGCTTGAACATCTCCCACTGGACAGGTTTGCCCTCGAAACGCTTGACGAGCGGATAAACTGGGTGCTGGATGACCTGAGAAAGTACTCAGAGCCTCAGAACATCATTTCCGCGGTGGAAACACTATTAGGGGTGGTCAGAACCAGGTTAAACGCACCACTTGTCAGTATATGATTCACGATGGACTGCTTGATTTACACGTCCGTCTAATAATATACACTGTATACGAGCTGCTTACCAGTTCAAGTCCGCGATGTCAGCATGGTCACTTAACACCTCTTAACACTTGAGCAGCCCAATTCACTGCTTGCTTTATCCGGCTGGCTGCGGATGTTTTTTCCGACTACGCTCCAGACTAGGCTGGAAATCTAGGCCGCATCAGTGATATTTTCTCATGATCCACATGGTACTTGAGAATATATGTTGAACACCGATGCTCATGAAGACGACGCCACTCATCAGGGTCACTGTTCGATGACCTTCGATGACCTGTCCAGCGGGCAGCTAGACCGTAATAACACAGGTACCGCACCGCAGGAATAATTTATACTGAAGATCATGATGCACTGATGTCGGCTGCCTTTCTGGAGGTTCTTCTCGTCTCTGCTACCCGACAGCAATTAATGTGGCGATGCCGGACCGATGGCAAGCCGGGAACGGTCCTGAAGGCCCGGATTTATCAATGATCATTAACTCTATGTCTCTCTATGTATGTCCCTTTGCTGTAGTCCTTATCGCACCGAGGATCTTGTCATTAGAGTTCAAGTTTTATTTTAAGGGCGGTGCTTGTTCTTCACCTCACTTGCAGTCGGAAGAAACCTCCGTTCCTTTCATCTAAATGATATCTACAACCCTGGTAAGCACCAGCGAGCCAATCCAAATCATTATGTACCGATTCGCTCTGCTTTTGAACGGATTTGAAACCGATATGGGACGATTACGACGGCAGAACGAGCCGCTGGTGATCGGTAAAACACTTCTCGAATGTACCATGTGCAACCTTAACTACTAGCAGAGCTCCGCGAGGGTGAGGAATGCGTCACTGCTCAAACGGTGGATAAACCAGGCGGCGGCGGCGATTAGAAGAAATGCATCGCGCATTGTTCTTGAATTGGTGCGGGTCGAGCCGGAGGTCAATGTGATTTTTCCAAAGGCATTCAGAATGTTCCGATTTCTTGTACTTCTCGAACATTATCGGAAAGCGAGTAGGTACCAGGCTTGATTCATCATTGCATCGGGGAAACGAGGGGTGACATACTTACATCTCGTTCTTTGTGATCTTCATCTGGAAGGGGCCGTGACGGAGTTGTGTGTGTCCTGTGAGTAATACAGCGGTAATACCTCAACTGATGTCAAGATGGTATTGGCACCAACAGCGATATGCGTACTACTATCACTCCTGGGGGTTCTGCAACATTTTCAATAAATCTTTTGTAACTCCTCAACCACATGATATTTTCTTCTACGAATTTGCACCATTATAGACTCGTAGCTGCTCTATATGAATCTGATTTTGAGGATTTTGTGCAAAACATGGTCACGTCGTGTCACACATCGGCACAGTAGCCGCACCGTCAACTTTCAGTTAGAGGAGATCGAATTTCTTACACACTCTCCTATCTGCTGTCACGCTTTCATACATGTCGTCAATCCTCTATCTATAGCATCTTAAAATAAGAGAATGACCTATATCAAAATTGTGTTCTAACACCCTGACAAGGTGTTTGATATGCTCCGGGTGCAACTTTTTGAATATCTCTCTAGGATCTATGGGATCTGGATCATTTATGATTATACAAGGTTGCAAATCACCACTATTCCATCTCTTGCAACTGCAACACTCGAGAATTTTTTATTCTACTTGGATAGTACATCATCTCTGAGTAGCCTACATACACCTAATTTTTTTTGAGATGATTCAAGCAGCGCATTGAGGTGTTTTGAACATTTTGCATATTACATGCCAGTTGCAGATTCCCAGGAGCGATAGTACTTATCTTGCGTTAGTACATGCGCGTCGAGTCACGTGAACATCATAACGTTGTGGCCCTGCTTGGCTCACTTGCTGAAGCGCTTCTTGCAAACAGTTGCCATCTCGGTGGAGTTCTGATGTCTGCATACGGTACTACGCGCCATCACGGTCACCAGTCTACGTCTTCAACTCCAGCATCAACAACACTTTTTCGTCGCCTGACATGGGAGGGTACCGTTCCCCTTGAGATCCGTGTGGACTCAAAAGAGTTGCCAGCGAATTCCGATCGTGGTCTGGAATGTTATTATATTCAAGCTCCTCGCGTCAGTTACTTGCCTCTTCTGATGCCTGAGATACGGCGGTTCTTGATGGATGTCGTATTTGATGAGGCTGCTGGGAAGATGCTCAAGGAGGAAGAATGGTGGTTCGAGAGCGAGGAAGGTACGCTGTTGAAGTGGTTAGTCTCCCGAACTTCCGGCCATTGTAGCGTGGTATACAATCTGTCCTGAACATGATCTTCTGGTAGGCACTGGCCGATAGGGTTGATCTACGATAGCCACACTATCTGTGCTTCAATTCGGCCTCCATCTCAGACTTCTACATCTCATCACAATCTGCAAGTGACTCCCTTGAAGCTCATTCTCCACCTTGCATCACCTCCCACAGAGAAACTTCTTCTCTCACCCTCCGCCGAATCGTGCAAACAAGCCTTCATGGGGCAACTCAAAGAAGCAGACTTCGTACGATGGGGAAATACGAAGCGCATGACAGGCCTTCGGAAGCAAGACCAGGATGGTATCTGGGAAGGTATCAAAGAACGTAAGCCTGCTTTTTCACTTTTTATATATGCGTCTCAGTTTACTCCATTTTGTTCGTCACTCCAGATAACTTTGATGACTATTGGCGCGTCGCGTCTAAGATAGTACCTACAACCGCGCCTGCGCGGTCAAATTCTCCGCCACCCTCCTCAAATCCATCAATGCATACAAGGCCAGCATCTGTGGACCCGCAGAGTGCCCCGGACCGTGATGGCGCTTATAACGTTCGCAGTGTTCCAGTTAGGTTGTATCTACCTGATGGACCTGTCATGCAAGATGTTGTCCCTCCGACCCTCGAAGATGGTGCGTTTCCCTCCAAAAGACTGCTCTTGAAGGACTGTTGGAACTGATTAAGTTACTCAACAGGCTCGCCGCATACCCTAGCACATTATCTATCTACACATCTTCCCCTCCTCTTCCCACCCGCGCCATATTCTGGCCCCGAACTCGCTTTTTCTCTGATGCATGGTGTGCTAGTGCCCCACGATGCGGAAATGGCATGGCTAGGGGCTTGTATGTCTGGTGCAGACGGGTGGGTAAGTATTTGCGTAGGAATTGCACGGTAGGCAGTTGTAGAGCATTTTCGACTGACGTCCTGTTCTGCGTGATAAATGTATGGGATACCCTTTTTGCACTGCAGCCCTGAGTCAGCTAAGTCCATTTTTTGAGAACTCTCATTCGACAAGTGTCATGTCAGCACTCTTGATTTTAACTCCCAGGCTGTACTACTACGGCTACCATCATGTCCGCACCAGATCTCAAGATACGATCAATACATTTCCCTTAGGTATATCACCTGGTAAAAGTCTACCCGCGGGCTGGGGCTGCGTCTAAGTAATGCCTATGTAGCAACAATAACATGGTGACTCCACAGGTTATCACAAGTATTTAAAACGCCTTTGAGCTAGTCTCGAACTGACGTTTTGGGAAGATGCACCAAACGTTTCCCATGTCCCAGAACGGCTGGTTCAAACAAGACTACCTTGGTCCTTGAGCCTCTGACTCGTCCCAGAATAGTACTACATATAGACTATAGTGGTACTCAAAACAAATTTTGAAATTCTTGAAAGCTCGCTAAACTGCGTTCAACTCCCTTCAACTCCCCGCTAAAAGTTTGAATGAACGCGCGCAAGTCCGAGAGAAATATGCTCGGCACACATCGGCAGGTAGTCGGACTTTAAAACGACACTTGTGATTTTCAAAGCGTGCTATGTACATAGGGGAAAGTGGTAGAGTAGCGGTCCAACATACTTGTATTTCAAATGAAAGCATTAATAAAAATTGTAAAAAAACAAGGCCACCGGGCGGGAATGAAATCAGCTGTAGGTAGGGAGCGCGGGAGGGACCAAAATAAGTGCCGAGGGGAGGAGGGGGGGATGCTGAGCAGCTGGGGGGGGGAGGAAAAGTGTCGGGAGGAAGATCTGCATGCCTCCGCAGAGACGCAAGATCAAGCGCTGAGAGTACGGCCATCTTCGATGCTTTCCAGCGGAGATGGGGCACTGGTCAGGTGGGGCGCGCGTGGGATCTGAACTAGAATAGATTTTCTGTAAGATAAGGGTGAATGTTAGTGCAACTTGCGAGAGGTGCAAGGAATACTTACCTTGGGTGGATGACACCCGGGAATTTGATGGTGTCCTGCTCGACGCTGTGGATGAGCATCGAGGTTCGAGGGTGAGGTCAGCGACGACACCGGCATGTTCAGTGCGAAACGAAACTTCGGAACTTTCCGAAAATTTAAACTCCGCCAAAAAACTGCGTCACATATGCACCAAATAGATAGGAGTTTTGATCCCACACCCACTGTAGCTCCCACCACAACTATGCCTCGTCAATCCACACGTAAAGAGCTCCTGAATATCGTGGATCAGGCTGCACTTTCTTTGGCCAGGTTGCAATATCAGGGTATCCTAGATGACTGGTCGGACTTTGAGAGCGATTCCGGCTCCGAGGACTCACTTTCTACTACTGATTCAGACGATGTTACAATCAGTCTGTCTTTTAGCCCTCCTTCCCCCCTATCCCCCCTTTCCCCTATGACAGGGATTTCGGATTCTTCCAGTTTTAGTTCTGTATCTTCTGATGATGTCACTTTGCCTTACAACAGGCTTCGAGACACCATTGATGCTCTTCGTGATGAGGTTAAGAGGGCCCGCATACTCCAGAAGCCTGACGAGCCTCCTCCACGAGCACCTCAGCTTCACATGCTGGTCCATCATGAAGAACACCGCCCTCACTTGTTTCGGCAGAAACTTCGTGTCAACCCCGAGATCTTTGATGACATCCTCAATTATATCTCTGATCACCCTATCTTCCAAAACCAGTCCAACAATCCTCAGCTCCCTGTCTCCATCCAGCTCGCCATCTTTCTGAATCGGGCAGGCCACTATGGCAATGCCATTACTCTTGAGGATGTTGCTCAATGGGCAGGCGTGAGTGTCGGGTCCGTGGTTAATTGCACTAATCGTGTGATGATTGCGGTACTTGATGCCCATGATCAGTTTATCTGCTTCCCAGCAGGTAATTCTGAGGATGCTGACCTGGCTCGCAAATTTGCCGAGTCATGTACCTGTCCAGAGTGGAAAGGTGGCTTTCTAGCCATTGATGGCTCAACTATGAATCTGTTCACAAAACCTGGTTATTATGGTGAGACATTCTATGATAGGAAGTCCAAGTATTCCCTTGGCTGTCAGGTAACATTTTTTTTCATCCTCATGTGCAAAAATTAATTTAATTCTAGGCAGTCATCTTGCCCCACAATCTCCTGATTGTTGATTATTCTCTCGGTCACCCTGGGAGTGTCCATGATGCATTTGCTTTTCGATCCACTCGCCTCTATGAAGAGCATGCCGATCTTCTGCCAGATGGTCATTGGGTTTGGGCGGACAGTGCTTATCCATTGGAACCATGGTGTATTGCCCCTTTCAAGAAGCCTCGCAATGGTCGGCTGACGAAGAACCAGAAGACATTCAATTATCACCTCTCTAAGGTATTTTTTTTTTTAGTGGTTTTCCATTGATTTACATTTATTTAGATTCGTGTTCGTGTTGAACACACATTTGCTGTTTTGAAGGGACGGTTCCAGTCCCTTCGAGAGCTACGGTTCAGGATTCAGGCTGAGAAAGACCTTGAGTTTGCTGTGCAGTGGATCAAGTGTTGCATCATCCTGCACAACATGATCATTCGCTTTGAAATTGAGCATCGCAAGAAGGATGGAACATACGAGAGTTCTCTCAAGTGGGCTCGTACGGAGGGGGAAGATTTTGTTGATCAAGAGTTTGAGGGTCCAGATGGTGAAGAAGTAGTTGGTGACAGGACATATGATGGCACTCTAGGTCAAGCTGCCCGTGCAAAGTTGATGGATGAGCTTTTTAACAGTCCTCACTCAGATGCACAACACAGGGAAGGATGATCACTGACACAATACTTTCTTGAACATGTACTACTACTAAAACACTTGTACAACAAATGTATATAGCTATGTAACATCAATCAAAGAAGTACTGACAAAACAACAAACATATGTCCAATGAAAACAACATGGTGACAACAATAAACTGAAACATGATGACAGCAGCAATGGACGGGGATGACGAGACGACGCGACGATGACGAGAACAAAATAAGCAACACAACAACTCACTCAACTCCTCCATCTGATCTCGGGCCCTTGTTCGCCTGCATCATTTGATGGAACTGAATTTTGAGTCAAAGATTCTCCGCTTCCTTGTCGAGCACCAATGAATGTGCTTCGTGGACTCGAATGTCCGCCTCACGTAGACGAATCTCAGCATCTTTAGACTCCTGCAGACGCTGATGGCTGACAGTGGCCTGGGAGGTCTCATGCTCACGGGTAGCACGAAGCCATTCGTACTTCTTGATGTCGCGATTGTGCTCACTCTTCACCTCGAGCTTCGCGAGGAAGCGATGGTGTTTGTGATCGTGGCGCGACATTGCATCAGAGTGCATAGACGTGAGCTCATCCTTAACCTCGTCTACCTGCTGCATCACATCCGGCTTCGCCTTCTTCTTCTTCGAGCCGCCGCTGTTTGGAAGCGAAGTCTGGGGGGTCGAGGACATAAGGTAGTCCGACGAGGAGGTAGTGTTGCGTGTCGTGGATGAATGCGCTGACGTGCTGACCGAGACCTCCGATGGTAGGTTGCGTCGCCTCCCACGGCTTGGTGGCTTCTGCGTGCGAAATGCCAAGCGGCTGTTGTAGGCAGATGCTGGGGATTTTTCTGGCACATTGAATGGTTCGGGAGCATCGGGAGGGGGAGACGGCGATGAAGGGAGCTGGCGTTTCTTCCCTGCGACTTTGGAAGAGCTATCGGCCCTCTCATCACCTTCGAGGTGATGTAAGGCGTCTCCGAGGGGGGCATCAAATGGGTCACCGGTGTCGAGAGAGTCCACGTCAGCAATGTCGACGTCAGCATCTGACGTCGGAAGGCCAGGAAGATGGATTTGAGGGGACATATTGTAGGGGGGAGCGGGAGCAGGTGCGGGTGCGGGAGCAGGTGCGGGTGCGGGAGCAGGTGCGGGTGCAGGAGCGGGAGCATGTGCAGGAGCAGGTGTGGGTTGTTGCAGCGCCGGATTGATCAAGGGATCACCATGTGAACCCCCAGCATACGGCGTTGCTAGCGGATACCTCGGATAGTATTGTTGGCCGTAATGTGGGGGCAGAGTGCTGGAAGGATAGGTGTTGTGCTCGGGATATGCGTGAGGAGGTGGCTGAGTGTTGGCGCCAGGATATACATGCTGTGCATCTGGGGGCGCGTCAAACTGCATGGGGGGACCGCCCCCACCACGTGATTGAATCAGGGAATATAAGGCGCCGGCGTGATCGACGCCGGGTTTTGACGAGTAGGTTTTCGTGGCCATGGACGGATTAGCATGCCAAATGGCATCTAATTCCGTGTACCATGGGAGCTCTGCCAGTGCCGCATCTACAACAACTGATCAGCCAAGGACCGGAAACTCAGGACCAAAGACTCACCCAATAAGTTTCTCATTTGCGTGCCCTCAGCTGGTATCACACCAGCACCTGTGCTGTCAAAAGACGCCTTGATTTTCTTGTATTTACCCCTGAGACTGGATGAATTTTAATATTTTTTATCAACGGAACAAAAAAAATGAAAGCGCTCACGTTCCAATGCGGTTGCAGACTGCATCGCGGAATTTTTTTGCATTGACGGAGTATGCGTAACCGTACTTGGGGTGATTTGTGAAGATTAGTTTGGCCAGGGTACCGTAAATCTGTCCTTTGTCCGAGCCTGAGGGACCGTCATCAGCAGTAGACATTGCTTTCTTCCCATCAGAGTAGAATAGAATCCTGCAGTCAGCAGGGTGCGTAGTAAGATAAGTAACAAGTAGATCAGTGAGAGCGTGGTCGCTCTGCCACTGAATAGTTAGGCGGGGTGCGGATTGCTCTGGAGGCGCTTTGAGCGATCCTCGAGAGTTTGAAGTTTCATCACCCATCGCCGTCGAGCAGCGCACTAGAGGGTTGGTTTTGAGGCGTGCAGAACGACGGACACGTTGACGAGAAGGAGGCATAGTTATTAAAACTCCGCCGAGCGATGCCGGCCTGACTTTCAATCGCTGTGCATCGGCCGAAGTTTTTGAAGCCGTTTAGCCGCGAGTTGAAAGCGTTTAGCCGGTGTTTAAGCGAAGTTTCAAGAGTTTCAAAAGTTGTTTTGAGTACCACTTATGGCAATAATGCGACCATGTCGCAGCAGTGACACGAGGTTAAATGTTGAACCCTGTTAAACTCTTAAGCTTTGGCGCTTCAGTAAGAGATTGTCCTTTTTACATGGTCGAAGCGCTTGCCGCGAAGCTAGTGATAAAATCAACCCCTGGAGGATGGAATCTCCAGTGAGAAATTGATCGCATAAATTATATTTCATGCGGTGCAAGGGCATGCAGGGGTCGACATGGAGCCACTGGTCTGCGGGAATACTGCGGGGATGAGTACCAGCGAGCTTAGAGTTATTATAAGTATGAAGGCCACACGAAGTCAAGCATCAGGGAAACACTGGAACAGCCTCGCCGATGTGACAAGTATCCACTGAGACCTTGGCTCTCGTGCGTTGAAACGCGGGACTATGATTTATTAATTATCGCAGAAACCATGTACCAGGTGGGCAATGCAGTGAGTCAGTGACCTGCAGTAACACTCAGGGATACTATCAAAAATAGAAAAGTGAGCGAGATACGGAACGATAACCACGACGATTATCAATCAAACGTTGGTTAGTGCGTACAAAGACACACAAGCGGACAGGTTATACCTATTGATCAAACAGACGAGCGCGAAAGTAGAGAAAGAGAGAAACGACATCGTCATGTACTTGTTTCAAAGGATGTCCCTCGAGCTTGAAATTTTGGAATGTCTTCCGTCTGACTAGGCTGAGGGCTACTCTAGCGAGCACAGCCCGGAAACTGCTTTCAGAATCCAGATGCTGTGCTTGATGACGCTGTTTCCAACTTAGTGACACAATGTACTCGACCCTGCAAACGCCGTCGGAACATTACAAGGCAAAGAACATACTAAAGTTCTGAACATGTAGGGACAGCGATGGGGTAGAGTCACCACAATGCATGTGCCTAAGCCGCATTGCGACGAGCTGCGGCCAGTAGTCAATCACCGCCGGTGATTTTTCCTCAACCGATTCAGATGCTATCAAGGGTAAGCTTGTTGACCCTCTGTACATTACTCTATTGTTTTTGTAGCAAAACACAAGGAAGGTCAGATTGTGAATATTAGAATATTAAGAACCCTCCGCTATCAGGACCCGGGAGCACTACACACTGTCACAAACAGGAAGTAGTCATCATTGAGGACCAAGCATGGCTAATAGTCATCCCCCCAGTTAGTTCCGACCGACGGGTGATCGTAGCGGTGAATTCTACCTGTTCTCGGTAGCGCAGTTGTAAAGGAAGACAGTCGTTCCTTATTCTAATCCAGCAAGCCCGACCTACAGGGAAATAATTTGAAACTGACATTTCCCATTCCGAGCAGGCTGTGCCACAAAACCCTCGGAGTCGAGAGCTATTTACACAACGCTCATTATTAAACACAACGCGAGCCTTGAACGATGAGCGTTTGAGCAACTCTCACCAACCGTTCTCTTGTGTCTTTATATTTTTCGTGATTAAGCTTTGCAATTAAGCTCAAGTTTAGCTGGAACGCAACGTGGGGTACGGTATTTAAATCCTGCTTCTGACGAGGGCCCCGCTCGGCTGCTGGCCATCTTTGTAATGCCGCGAACAACGGGTTGGGGAGCGCAGTAGCGTCTGATCTGTAATCTATCGGGAACAAAAAACTGCCGATCCTGAGCTTGACGATATGATCGACCTTCCCATGGCGATGTGCCGCAGCATGCACAGCTCACAGTGGCGCTCAGGTGTGGGGCTGACATTCTTGTTGCTTGAAGTTTGCTCTGGAGTCTCTTGTATACATGAATATGATTGTACATATCTAATCAATGTAACGTGCAGTCTGGTGGTATTATTGATGAGTTAATCTATATGTCAGGTAGATAAATAGGGCGGAACGAAGAAATATGAAGGAAGCCTGCCAGCGGTCTCCGGGGTTAAATGACGGAACCAAACCAATGAAACGTCTTCCACAAGTATCGAACCAGGGAAGAGGGACATACGATTCGGGTGGTCAGAATTGCGTTTTAGGAACAGAGCGATATTCGACATCGCTGGTGTAGTATCATTCAAATTACCCCGACACTTCTGCATGATTAGGGTGGTTTGAAACACAACAAGCCCGAGAACTCACAAGCCGATGAGGCGTACAGTTGGGAGACACTTTGCCATGTCAGTCGAAGACGATTTTGATAACTGTCGTAAGGGCTCATCTGCCTGGTGGATTCCTCAGACAACCCTATAGCTATTGCGGTTCTCATGGCAAGCTGTTTGTTTGTCAGAAAACGAACAGCAAACCGTCTCAAGTTCACTTACATCCCCGTATTGTCGGAATCCTAGAAGACCAGTACTTAGCTGAGCAACAAAGGAAATGTTCCCTGTACCTACCAAGAAGCCGACCGGTTTTGTATTCCGTCCATGCTAGGATGATGACGGCGTGAAGAACGTCGAGGGACGGTTGGTTAAGCGCCGCGGACAGCATCTCCTACTCATTCAATCAGATCGGCAGAACTCACACACGCGACTACGGACCTTGGCATTCTCGCAGAAAATATCTGCAACGTTGTGCGGACCACGCGCGACAATATCTGGTATGTCAGAGAACCTGTTGTTCCCCATTCACACCATATCCAAGTTGAGTGAATTGAATAAGACGGACCTTGCGCCTAGTGCTGCAATACAGTTAGAGAGTAAAGGAGATAGAGTTTGATGTCGGAATTTTTCATATAGGTCGTCGTAAGTCACGAACGCGCATTGACTGCCGAGCTGGCTGATGAATATCTGGATGAAATGTGGCATCCAGCTGCGTTGTGGCATCTGAGGGTGCATTGGGTCAAAGACCTGCCGGTAGCCGCCCGATGTGGGATGAGGACGTCCTAATGCTTGACCCGGATTGGGAGTTGTGTATCGACGAAGTTGATCGTCTGCAGGGGTGTGTCTTCCATGGCCATGTCAATGAATGTTGATATCTGAGAGGTGTGGATGTATTACCTATGAGTTGTGGAAGGCCTCGAGTGATCTGGATAGGTTTGATAGCGGGCGTGATCCGTGGATGCTGTTCCTGGTGGCGAGTAGGACGGGGAACGAGACATAGAATTGGCATATCCTTGCGATGGTGGCGCGTACGAGGTCGATGCCGGAGTGGCGTATTCCTTTGTAGTACTTGAACCGGAGCGCTCTGAAGACTCCGGGACAACACTTGTTGCTCTACTCGATGGTCGAGGGTACGGTGGCGCGGAACTGGGGCCCGCGATAGCTCGGCTGCGCTCAGCAAAATATCGTTCGCGATCCCGAAACTTGCATGGAATTTTGGCTGCCTTGCAAGCCTCACATTGCGTCTCGGGAGATGACTGGAGACACTTGATTTTTTTGAGGCGGCTAGCGAGGAAGTCAGTATAAACTACTTGATGAGGATGGAGGGATAGTACCAGTTATCGCAAGAAGTCACAAGACGCGGACGTTTCTTGTGACCTTGGCTTTCCTGGGGGGACTCGATGATAAATTGGTAACCGTCCATGGTGAAGTGAATAATTCAAAAAGCCAGAAGAGCCCGGATTTATATATCACAGCCTATGTACCTCGAGGCCGTTGTGTGAGATCTGTACACCGAACGAAGTCAGATCAAAAGTGAATATCGCAGATTTCCCACTTGCCGTGCCCACCATAAGCGACTATGGATCGGGCCTCTTACCCAACAGAACGTCGCTCATAAACTCACCATTTCAACGATCTAGCAGATTAGTATTAGTCAATCCGTGAATGTCCGTCTCTTCTGGTTTCATATCGTAATAGGATTGTCAATCAGCACAAGCACTTAATCAGTGATCTGAGCGAAAAAAAAAGTGCGGGAAATATTACTTACTAGCCGCATCACAAAGCTCTAGGCTATTACACGTCATAAAGCAGCAGTCCGATTATCGCCTTCTAATTTGACCTGCGGGAGTGTCCGGCTACTGATGGGCCTGCGAGGCCGCTCATCGCCTGCAGGCACTTTGGAGGAACTTAGGTCCAATTTTCACACCGTATCCTTGCCGTATCCAGGCGTTTCCATCGCAGCCTCTCTCGTCTCGGGTTTCCTGCTGTGCTGATTAAAAATTGATGGCGTATGATACAGACTGGCCGCAGTAACCTGCAGTAACCGACGCATTCGTCCTTAACTCGTGTCGTCGTGCACTGGCCCAATCATCTAAACCAAAAATCACATCACTGTTTAACAAAGTTAGAATAAGCGCCAGCGGGTCGCGTGGTTTCCGGGTTCAGCGGAACAGAAGTCAGTTGTCCTCGGATCAATGATTTTTTGAACCATAACTCAAACAGTTCACTATTGTGAGTCAACGTAATGTTAAAGTTGCGCGCTCAGGACAAATTACAGGATGCGATGGGTTCATAACGTCGTACTTATACCAGAAGAGCTATGACTAGCGTACAAATGGGCAGAGGATCTACTTGTGCTTCAGGGTGTTATTGTGTTTGCAACTTCTTTAAAAAAATCGTGACCACACTAGTCTGCATATGCTAAAAATTGGAAGCGCATCACGGGGCCCTAGCTCTCATCTATACCTCTTTCAGCTGAACCTAGAGAACTGCATGCTCCGAACTAGTTCGGCATCTTCTTCGCCTTCAGGATCATCATGATCAAAAAGTAGGCGGTCATGTGCATCGCTATCATCAGACCCCTGGAGCTTTGTGGCGTTTCGGGATGAGTAATATAATTCTCGAATGCATTACCGTAACGATGCAACATACCGCAGGATGACCATCGTCTTGACGTCCAAGACGCATGTCAGCAGCAATGAGCTCGAGATTGACATCATGCACAGAATCTGGCGAGTTGCCCATATTTTCATCATGTATCGTTATCATGTTCCCTTGTGAGTCCAATGACAATTTGCCATCGATGGAGGTGCGATACTTGTGGAACGTAAAAAGAGCAATGCCTACACGCGAGCGGAGGCCGTTAGAAATGCCATATTCACATAGCTTCGAAAAACGGACCACAAACAGTGACCCCTACGCCCGTTATATTGAGTGGCGTAAGCTCATCTCCAAAAAACCAAGCCGAAACTGTAATCGTCGAGACTTCCTTGGCTATGCCTGCTATCGACATTGGCAACACCCCCGCACGTTGGATAATGCTTTTATCACGTAATTAGTTGGCCTCGTGGTGCGGAGCGCTCTCAAACACGTACTAGTATTCACTCATCACCATACAGAACGCCAATATACCGGGCGCCACAAGGAACATGGCCGATCGAATGGTCGAGGCAGGGTCTCGAAAGAAGGGCGAGGCAAATATAGTAAACCACCCCTCCCAAATAATGCTAGCCAAGGCAAGTGTGATACCCATCGCAGGAGCCAACCAGAATATAGTGGCCGCTGGATTATCTAGACCCATATTCTTGTTCTTCATGAGCAGCTGCGTGAGGCTCCAGCGGAGACCTCCACATGCGCTGGCGGTCATTACAAGCAAAAATCCGGGAAGAACGAAGGCCGTTTCAGAAGCAACCATGAGAATCACCCCACCAAAGATTAGAAGGATGACGGAGACAAGTCGCAGCGAAAACGTTTCCAAACGGAACAAAAATGCAAAGAACAAGACGAAGATGAGTGAAGATGACTTGCACATTGCTGTAGATAACCAAGTGTGAGATGAGTTACACATAAAATTACGTATTGAAAATAGAATATAGGCTAGCCTATCTCAGAGGGGAAGTTTAGAACTAACAAACTCACTGTAAAATGATAGAGTAATGGTCTTGAGTGATAGGTTTGACAGACCAATATCGAGCCCGGTAGCAATGGCAGTAGGAACTGCCTTCTTGCTTCAAAGAAGCTACAATTAGAATCAGTGTCCAGTGAGGACACGGACTGTCCGACGGCTGGTAGCTATTGCGAGAAAGCACGTACCCGTAATCTTCTGCGGAAGGACTTCTCTCTGGCCGGAAATGATGCGCGAAACATATGCGAAGAGCAGCAGCCAGGACAAACTGAATAAACATGTGCAAGGTAGTCACGAAGAGCGGATACGGAAATCCAAAAAGGTCTGGTGAAAACATCCACTTGTTGTACAGAGACAGTACGGTTGCGAATATATACCTATGTGGTCACACATAAACCTGCTTCAGAAGCCTGACAGCAAAATTCACGTACCATGAAGCTATAAAACATCCATTAATAATGGCAGTTCTCCACCATATTCGCCGTTTTTCTGCAGGCGACGCAATATGAATGTCGAATTCGTTGTGTCCGCCCTCCCTGAAGTTGGCTTCCATCGGTATGTACGAGACATGATCTCGAGAGTCATTTTCAGTATAGTGAGCCATGCACAGCTGAGGGCTTCAAGTAAGAAGCGCGACGTGTTTACAGAAGCAAGTGTTTAACAGGCGTGGGAATACTCTTCGATTTCATGACATCCACAAGGATCTACACAGCGCCAAGCTTCAGGTCCTTAATTATCTCCTTGTGTCAAAGAAAGCCTATATGTTTGGCAACAGTCGCGTCGATATCAATTATATTGTTATGGGACTTTCATTATCCAAAGCGTCAAAATTTCCACCAAGGCTTCCGGTAAACCACGTCACCCATAAGGAGCTTTCTGCTACTTAGGATTGCATACCGGATTCTTGAGGGTCTGCGGCCCGGAGGGCGACACTAATCCCTGGGTGGTCTCGCCTAACGCGACAGAGTCGTTAGGAAAGTGCCTCTAGTAAACTTCCACCCCATACCATGTTCGCCAGTGGTCATACTGTTTCTGGTTGAGATATTCGCGCCATTCGTCTTTCTTTATTTCTGACCTAAATTGCGCGTGCTGGAGCAGGTCAAGATGGTGCAACGCGTGTGGGTAACTGAGTGGCAAGAGTGTCGGTTGCAGCATAATGATCGCTCATAAGCTATGGACGAACTGTATGAACCTGGCATAATCTTTCTCTTTCCAGTACAGGAGATACTCCAGATAATTGATGAATGCAGGTTGGTCAAGAATATTCTGCTGTGCGAGAGAATGTAGGTAGTATGGGTTGGCTAGCGACTGCACGAATTCCAGTTCAAGTTCAAATTTTTCGCGATTGGCAGCTCGTGGATCTTCTGTCGTGACCTGAGGCGATTGTGCAGGGTCGGAAGCCATCATGTTTGGCAAGCACTTAAACAAGGTGCAAGTCACTGAACTCAGTTTGAGCAAGCTGTTAGCCAAACAAGGTCACGTGGCAAGCCAAGGTTTCTGCTTTACACCACGTTGTAAATCATGTCGGACGAGGACGTTTCGAGTGGCTGGCAACTGACAGAATCCGACCCTGGGGTATTCACGTATGTCAAAATAACAAAACCTGATCTATCTGACTCACGCCACCGGTCACAGAGAGCTACTAAAGAGACTTGGAGTGCCTTACATCGTCGACGACCTCTACTCACTTGAACCGGAATCACTGGCTGCATTACAGCCTGTACATGCTCTTATCTTCTTGTTCAAATGGCTCCCTGGATCACCTGACGACGAGCCTGGAGTTGGTGCTGATCATTATGATCCAGATTTTCCGGGATTCTTCGCCCACCAAACTGTGAACAACGCTTGTGCTACACTTGCCGTTACCAACGCCCTGGGGAACATCGCGTCTCTCACTGCTGGACGGCAGTTCATGGACCTCATGAATTTTACCACAGGCATGGACCCGCAGACATGTGGGATGGCTATCACAAGCGCGGATTGGCTTCGAGAAGCTCATAATGCCCTTTCTCCACCTAGTGCTATCTCGCTAGATGGTCCAGACCTTTCGAAGAAGAGCGAAGATGCCTACCACTTTGTCGTATACCTCCCAGTGATGGGGAGTCTGTATGAACTTGATGGGTTGAAACCTTATCCAGTGCGTCACGGAGAATATCATGAATCCGGTGAGGGATGGGTCGGAAAAGCGAGGTATTTGTCAGTACACCTTGATATTTCACTGTTGAACACCTGTTTGCCAGGGAAGTTATCGAGAATCGGATACACACGTACCCGACAGGAGCAGTGAGCAAAAATAAGTGTTTATGTTCTATGTTTCGACTTATATCTTGCAGCTTGAGTTCAGCTTGCTCGCGCTTCGGGATGACCCGATACCTGGAATGAGAAGACGCTTAGACGCTCTCCAAGGTTCACCAGGGGATGCTGAATTGAGCGATCTTATGAATAAATTGTCTAATGAAAATTCCAAGCGCGAGCGTTGGGCAGTGAGTAGCAAATATTTTGTCGCCGATGTCACCCTTTTGATCCTGTTTCAAAGTTTGAGAATAGTTTGCGTCGTCATAACCACATCGGCCTCGTGCATGCTTTGTTGTTGGCTCTGGCGAAGGCAGGAAAGCTTGACTCGGCAAAAGCAGATGCACAAAGAGTGATGAAAGAGCGGTTAGAATCAGAGAGACGAAGACAAATGCTCATGGACGAACATGAATGTAAGGTTCTCAAAGCGTAGACCTGCTTGCACAGCTGATTTCACCCGCAGTGCATTGAGCACGACCTTTACCGCAGTATCACCATCACGTTAAGTTTGACACATGAAAACAATAGGAATCTCTTGGTGCCCAGTATGAATAATACTTACATTGATCTCGAGTTCACGTACACAAGCTTGCGTTATCCTTGGGTACCTGCGTTCTTACGTTCAGAGGCGGTCTTTTCGAATCGGGAAAGTCAGACAAGCCGTTACAAATAAGGCGTGTGCCCTGAACCGTGAAACTCTGTCTACCACTCTGTCCACCTCGAGTTATAAGTATGGCCCTTACAATCGAGTCTAGAATTGAACTGGTGTCAGGTAATAACTCTATCTGTTTAACACTTATCGGGGGCTGAGCTAGTGATAATCCCCCGCGACCATAGGTTATACAATGCCCCTGCTGGGATTTGGTGTCTATCAGAATTACGACGCTCGATCGTCAGTTCTCGAGGCGTTTCGAGCAGGCTACAGGTAATGCGGTTCATGACCATTGATGAGATCTTCCCCGTTGTGATAAACCATTTCAGACATGTGGACTCAGCCCAAGTTTACCGCAATGAACCGGCGGTAGGGGAAGCTGTCAGGGATAGCGGCATTGACCGAAGCGAGTTTTTCATTAGTGCGTGAAAGCAGCTGAAGAAATGAACTTCTATCTCTTACCAAAAATTAGCAACGAAATGTGTCAGCCGACATCATGGGTATGAGAGTACGTTGAAGGGGGTCGATGCATCCCTTGCCAAGTTCGGCTTTGGTGAGTCATTCGCCTCGTGTTAATTCTTGAACCAATTCTACACATTCTTACGTCTTTAGATTACATTGACTTGTTTCTCATTCATGATCCTTACTCTGGCACCGAGCGACGCCTAGCTACATACAGAGCTTTGCAAGATGCCCGCAAAGCGGGAAAAATACGCTCTGTTGGCGTTTCAAACTAGTGCGTTTTCTCCCTTGATTTGCTAGTAGAAAGAGCAATGGAATATTTTTCAGTGGAATCAATCATTTGCAAGAGATTGTAGATGCAAAATATGATATGCCTGCGGTAAATCAAATTGAGGCATGTAACTGCATTCTGATGAGCAGTACATCCCATTAATTGCACACTGGCAGCTTCACCCGTTTTGCCAGCAGCGGCCCATAGTGGACTATTGCCGTGAACACTCGATCGTGGTCCAAGCCTACTGCCCGATCATACGAGGCCAAATGGATCATCCAATCATTCAAATGATAGCGCAGAATGTTAGTCCCGCTTCTATGAGGCTACACTAGATGTGACCCAAAAAACCTTTTTAGCATGGTCGCGATGTAGCCCAAGTAGCTCCTTCGATGGTCACTACAGAAAGGGTGTGTCGTCAGCTTTTCACGTCGTCCAACTCGAATTCAGTTTAATTTAGGTTCGTTCCGCTTCCCAAATCAGCAACGCCAGAACGCATCAGATCAAACACTCAATTGTACGATTTTGAGCTCGAACCCGAAGAGATGGTGCAACTTGACGGACTTGACCGAGGAAAGGAAGGATCCATCAGCTGGAACCCTGTTGATGCGCCGTAATTATCACTATAATTTCCAAGGCGCGAGCTTTCCGCCATTGCCTATTCGTTCAGACTGAAAGAGGCTTATCGATTAAATCCAGTTTTCATCGTCTAATTGAATTCACTCACCCACGGCAATGTCACATGATCTATCGTCGTCTCCGTCGCTCAGAAAGGCTTCCCCGGAACTATTCGTCTCGTTCGTTGCGATGACGCCTTTCGCATCTATTATGAAGTGTCAAGCTGACACACAAGACGTGTCCACATCAACGCAACCCACGAGTGACGATGTGCCTAGACTACATGTGACTTGTCACGGGCCGAGTTGTATGAAGATCAGAAAAATGAGCGCTCGGTTTCGATGGCGGGAAGATAGTACTCCTCGACCAGTATCTGTATGACTCATCAGCAGGTCAGTGAAGCGCACTTCGTTGCCTGGGATGTATTTAAATGTCATGATCCGTTGAGACCAAGCGAAGGATACGTGGGCCCGTGGGTACCACGCAGCTAGCTCTGACGGACAAAAAAAATCATGAGGTCAGCGAATACATTTGGAGTACAGGTCAATTATACTGCAGTTCCGCCATGAACTATTGATTGTACGCTACTGATGTATACTAACTCAGGTACTACACATAAGTACTCAAAGAACCAAAATTTGGCCAGTTCTAGGGTACAGTAAGTTGGTCGCTGGCTGGACTAGAAGCAAAAACAAAATGACCTCAAGTACATGTGACTAGATCTTACGTGATACGGCTACGTTCGTTCCCACCGCCCGGGCTGTGGATATCCACCAACTATCCACTCTGAATGACAGCATGTAGGGGATTCCCTTGAATCTTAAGCTTGGCTTAAATTTGTACTTGAAGTATTCATCTTCGGTCACCAAATTTGCAAGCAACCCAAGTAGTAATCATTAACTAATAACAGGCAATCGACTGAAAGCTTTCGAATGGTGTAATCATCGTCATCGGGAGAGTGTTCATGCATCATGGTCCGGGCGCTGTGGTTCTACGAATGGATCTGGTATCTACCCATTCAGTAAGTTTGTGATTGCGAATCCAGTATACCATTGATCGTTTGAAGATGTTGTACGATTTCAGCCCCGTCCCGCCTTTGTCGGGGTCACTAAGTATACCGGCTGTCGAGAGTCGAGACATGGCCTGAACTTACCTCGGCACTCTGACATCACCGTCCTTGGATGGAGGGCCGGAAAATACACTGGTTCTCAACCTGACCGACTGACTATAAATACGGACGTGGTCAGCCGCAAGTCCTACAGTCTGCCTCATGAGGGACGTTCCAGCACAACGATCGTCTTCCGTAGATTCGTCCACACTCCTCAATGGCGCCAGTAACGATGTAGCTTCGTTCAATACTTCTGTAACCATCATAGCAAATGATGCTGAGAAAGTTCCTGCCACACCTGAATGGTGGATGAGTAAATATCTGCCCGTAAGTCTACTTTCCTCAGCCTATACCTTCGACACGCTTAACTGTAATGCACAATACACTTGCAGAGCTATTCGGCTTCGCGGATGTTCAAGTTCAGTAACCCAAGCTCGTATAACTGGGCAAATAACCTGCTTGCCGGTCTAGCAATCCTTTTTTATGTTAGTGGCTGGATGTTCTTCGCTGACCGCAAGCTAATTGATTGACTAGGGTTATGATCAAGGGTACCTCGCCTTTCTGCGTTTCCTCTTCTGAGTAACTGTTGACGCATGGGCGGCAGGGTCATGTCCCAAGTGAATCTTAATGAAGATTACCTGAAGTTGATGGGCATATATCCTACAACGGGCAACTCGCGTAACCTTGCGGCACTCGGGGGAATAGTTTCTGTAAGTTTGGAAATTCCTGATGGTGACCTACCCTGACACATCTATCAGGTTTATTACGGTGGTTCCCTCATTGGAGCACTCTTTGGCGGTTTCATAGCGGACAGGTCGGGACGGATAACTGCCATAATACTAGGTGTCATTGTCTCGATCATCGGAGCAGTCTTTCAAGCCTCCGCAATGAACATCACCTGGATGTGTTGCGCACGAATTGTGACTGGTCTCGGTGTGGGAGCCATTGACGCAGGTGAATATTCTGTTCTCACCATAAGTCCTTGTACTCATGTTTATCAAAGTCATTCCTGTCTGGAGCAGCGAAGTTTCTCCACATCAAGCGCGCGGAAGTTTTCTTGCCATCGAGTTCTTCTTGAATATTAGTGGATTGTCATTGGCGTATTGGATAGAGATGTCAGCCCTTCAAATCATTCCAAGCACCGTGATGTGACTAACAATGTGATGCATTTTCAGATTTGCGAGCTTGAATCACAATCAGGTAATGGCATGGCGGACACCTCTAGCGCTGCAAGCTGTTTTTCTGCTTGCTATCCTCGGTTCGTCCGCGTCCTCTACTTAATCTCGCTTATGTGAACCCATCGCAGTGCTCGTACCTTTCTTTCCGGAGTCCCCTCGGTGGCTCGCGAAAGTTGGCCGCGTCTCCGAAGCACGCACAGTTCTGCAGGCCACTCGCAGGGACGGAGTTGAGGCCGAGCTCAGCGCCATTGTGCGGAGCGTGATGCACGACCGACAGCACACCGAGAACAATCGTTATCTTCGCATGATATTCCCGAGGACAAAGAGCCAGCGCGAGCTACGGTGGAGAGTTGTTTTAAGCGTATGGCTGCAGATTATGCAAGAGCTCGTTGGCATCGGAGTTATCACTGTCTATGGCAAGGCACCTTTCTTTTACCGGCTCTGCCTACTTCTCTGATGTCACATACAGCCATCGATCTCATCCAGGGCGCCGGCTTCAGCCAAGATGAGGCAAAACTCCTGGCCGGATTCAACAACTTGTCGTACATGTTTAGTGTGCTCTTCGCCGTGTTCACTCTGGATAGGTTCGGCCGGCGAAGCACAATGGTGTGGGGGGCGGCTGGAATGGCGGTGCTCATGCTAGCTGGTGGTATCCTAGACAAATGTAATATTTGTTTATTCACTGTGCGATTATCGCTCATATCACTTGGTAGATGCGCAAACGGCAGGGCCCAATCAACGGGCATATGGTGCGGGTGTTGTCGCGATGACCGTAAGCAACCGATTCCGTCGCCCTGAAGTCATTTCTGTAATGATTATCTTCCAGTTCCTGTATACTGGCACATTTGGTGCCACCTGGTTGGTAACTCCGTGGCTTTACCCAACCGAGCTCTTTCGTGAGTAGTTGATCTCTCTACCCAATTTTGTTCTCTGAAACAATGCAGCTACATATGTTCGCGCCAAAGGTGGTGCATGGTCTGTTGTTGGATGGTCTATAGGTAACGGCATCGTGACTATGATTACCGTGAGTCGTCGAAACATTGAACGTTGGTCAATGAATAATGGACATTTCTCTAGCCTTTCTTATTCCAAGCAATCGAATATGGTGTACTCTTGCTCCTCTTTGGCCTCAACATCTTTGTAATCCCCTTTATCATTTTCATGTGTATGGCCTTTGTCTTACTATTCGAATACATGATGCCATTGACGTGGTTCCATTTCGCAGATCCGGAAACTTCAGGTCGTCCTCTCGAGCAAATCGATGATTTCTTCAGCAATGCAACATCTTGGAATGTCTTCACCGCGTCCAAACAAATACAGGAACAGGGTTTCACAAACCACCAATGGACACGCAAATACCATGGCGGGATTGAACACTCAAATGCATTGTCGATATCGACACAGGTCAGCGGAAAGGCAGAGGCTGAGATGCATGGATGGACGAATAAATTGAGGCGCCGCGCTTCAGATGCAGGACTCGTGTAACAAAAGTCTTTCGCGCAAAAATCAATTTTTGGAAAACTACTATCATTACTTGCACAATTGGAACGCTACCACATTGTAATTGTATCATCCTCAAGAAGTTCCGTCAGACAGACGCTCCACTCGCTGGGTCCGGCTTCACCAAGCTGCAAGCAGCTCGACAAGGCGCAAACCCAAACGTCCTCGAGATCACCGCAAGCGGAGACCATGTTCTCTGTCGAACGAGTGAGCGCTGGTGTCATCCAGTGGAATTGAAGGATGTGGCATGAGTAAACATGCGAGACTCGAGTTAGTTTCTATAAAATAGATCCTAGCTGAGTATGTTCTGAAGAACCAAATAAGATCGAGGACAGGTTTATATAGGTTCTTGTTGATGGTCCGTGCGTGGAAGATTTCAGACTCATGCGGCATACTTATTTTGGAAGGCGATAGTATTGAAATGGATTATGGGCGTCTTTCTTCAAGCTTGCAACCTTCATCATGTCCACCGACGTCCTGTCACATTTTGGGGGTCTTGACGAGCTCATACAAGTTATATACCAGGGCCTTGATCGTTTTGTCGCCCTCTCACAAGTAACGGAATCCGCATGGTCGATTTACCTAGGGCTCAAGGGACCCGAGGGCAGGTGGTGGCGAGGCTCGTGGTCAGCCAAACATATCCTTAACATCACCGTTCGTGAAAAGGCCTGTCGATTACCCTTACCCTGATCGTATATTATTCTAGGGTGTTCAATCAGGCCCTCAAATACTTGAGAACTTTGCTGAAAAGCTTCGGACGACCTTTGTAAATGGTGACCTTGCGATTGGAGAATGGACTGAGAAGGACTCGGACATCAACGTGAATACTACTCTTGCTGTATTTCTCGTACCGAACCGACAATACAGGACTTTATTAGCTCACTTTTGGGCAAACCGCCAAGCATCCACTCCCCATGACTCTGAAAGAATTACCCGCAGCTGAAGCTGCATCGCATGCAACTGCGGTGTTCACCGAAGTAAGGCACATGAATTGTTGGCTGCTACTCACCAATGATAACTTGTCAAGATTGCACTACAAGCTCAGTCCCGCAAATGCCAGCTAAACCCCACTTTTTCGTCCCGCAATGCAAGCGTTAACCCGGAGTCATCCCACACTAATTCAGGTTTGCCGCGTTCCTTGTTGGTATTGATCCGAGTACATTGACTACACTGCCGTTAGCCTCAACCCTTCCGTCCAAGCGCACACGCACGAGCCTCGATCAGGGCGCTGCCCCTGTTGTCAATCAGGCAGCCGAACGGAAAATCAAAGCTCTCGAGGCGAAACTTGCCCGTACAAAGGAAATATCGCCATCAGCTGATACAACGTCTAGTAAGCCTCCAATGATTGCGTACCACGTAGTCAGACACAGCTAATTATGCTCCGGAACAGAACCTTCTGCAAACTCCCGACCTCCAAAAGGCGCATCTTTGGCCAACCCAAATAAAAAGGCAAGGAAGTACCAAGCCCTCGAATTCGAGAGTGATGAAGACTAATCAGCCTGTGTATCTCATATGAGCGGCGAGGCATTGATCATGACCCGAGCTGTCTTCGACACCTGGGCATTGGACAACCATTGGCCGGATCCTGTCAAGTACTGCGGTGTCACTGACGACAGTGAAACACGTACAATCAAGTTGATTCAGAGCTAATTCCATCTTTTGAATCATCCGACTCGTAGTACCCCAACGCATGTTGCGTATCAATGCCGATGTTTCGACGATATTATGCTTGCAGCTGGTCTTTGCGATGATGAAAGTTGATCCTAATAAGTACTGCAGTTGCATGTTCCGTGGCTTGGCCGAATAAGATGACATGGGGGGTGCCGAAATAGTCTATATAAGCGCTAAGCGCTAAGCCTTTAACACGTTTGTAAAAAATCGCGCGACCACCTTATATAAAGCTGCGCTCGCGAACTCAATACCCTTGACATCAACTCCTCTTGACTTTCATTTATCATGTCCTTTCCGCCTGATTATACTGCCCTGCCTGCTGGGCAGGTCAGCAGCAGCGTCAATGCGCCACCTATTGAATACATGTTCTCTCAGATCATGCTCGCAGTACAGAAATCTGTGCGCCCCATTTTTCATGTAAAACGCTCTACAAAACAGGTTACTGATGCATCAGTACATAGCAAACTGAGATATCTGACCTCCGTCAGGAGTGCGCTGACTTACGGTTAGCAAATGCGAGCTTGGAACGTCAAATCCGAGAAGGGTTTCAGGTGAGCGTATTACCTTGAACTTTAATAGATTCTAATTTCTAGGGTTCTTCTAATCGCAGTTGCAAAATGGGAACGGATATTACGCCGGCTCACGTATGGGCTCTGGTTTTGCAACCCCAGTGCCCAGTAGTCCTCAGCTTCGAGCCAAATCCCCTTTCCTATCACCGCATAGTATTCCGTCCCTTGCCGCTGCACCCACTGCTCACTTCTCGTCGCCACTGGGTGATAATGCGGTTATGCCTTTCCCACTTGGCGTACGTGACATCCCCGGGTTCTACGTCGTAATTCCGGCAGGAGGCGCTGGTACGAGGCTGTGGCCTCTTTCACGTGAAGAACACCCAAAGTTTCTTCTCGACTTGACGCTCAAGGGACGTTCCTTGATCCAAGCCACCTGGGACCGTCTTCTCCCTCTTTCATCCCCCCTCCGCACCACTGTGGTTGCAGGTCCTGGCCATGTCAAGTCCATCCGAGAGCAACTGCCCGACCTTCTCCCGCACAACTTAATTTGCGAGCCTGGTCCAAAGGATTCCATGGCGGCCATCGGACTTGCTGCGGCTGTCCTTGCAAAACGAGACCCTGATGCCGTTATCGGTTCATTTGCTGCGGACCACATGATATCAGGCGACGACGCTTTCTTATCCGCCGTTGCGGAAGCCGTCGAGGTAGCGAAGAAAGATTATCTCGTCACTATCGGCATCGCGCCATCTCATCCTTCTACCGGCTTCGGCTATATTCGCCTGGGAAATAAGCTAGGCATCAAGGAAGCTCCAAATGCAAGGCTAGTTTCTAGCTTCAAGGAAAAACCTGATGCACGCACGGCCGCTGCATACATCGGCACTGGAAACTACCGGTGGAATGCAGGAATGTTCGTCACAAAGGCGTCTGTCCTCATGGACCTTCTTAAGGACTACAAGCCGGACCTCCACGACGGGCTTCAAAAAATTGCTGCCGTATGGCATGACGAGGCGTTGCGCCAGGCCGCTCTTAACGAAATCTGGCCCGAACTCGAGAAGATTCCGATCGATAACGCAGTCGCGGAACCTGCTGCTGCTGAGGGTAAAGTTGCCGTAGTACCAGCGACATTTGGTGTGTTTCGTTTGTGAGGTGGAAGCGAAGTAGACTGACATCGGACTTTAGGTTGGGATGACGTCGGGGACTTCTCTTCGCTCGCGGACCTACTACCCGCTGAGTCTAACCAACCTCGTGTCCTCGGGGACAGCTGTTTGGGTAAATATCTTTACCACTTATCATCGGGTCGCCGTGGTTGATTTCATCTTTGCTTGACAGTGCTGACGGAACAAGTTGCTGGGGGAATTGTGGTTCCCGGCTCAGGACGTCTCATCACGTGTCTCGGTGTCGATGATCTGGTTATCGTCGACATGCCTGATACCCTTCTCGTCACCACGCGTGCACGATCGCAGGAGGTGAAGCGCCTTGTGAAAAAGGCTCGTGATGCGGGTTGGAAACAACTCCTTTAAAGAATCGATATCTTGGATTTGGGGAGTCAGAAACAACGGACATATAGCACATTGGATGCTCGTGGAAACGGGACTTGACCGATTTTGATCTCCGCTGCAAACTTTCTCTGAAACTGTCTGTGCTAATATCATACCTTTTCAAGGGTCTTTAATATCTTGTCTTTCTATGTACGGTCACATGTGGTGTTCATCAATGGGTACCTATTCATTTAGCGGTATGGACTGACACGATCTTACACGTCATGATGTTTCGGCTGTGTTTGTCATGGCTTCTGCCCTTGCTCTTGCAACGCGACAGCCTCCACGTCACAGCTATTACAACCAATGAACGAGTAGATCGCCGTCGTTTTGTGTAGTACTTTCTCTATTAACGTAACAATTCAACGATTAATATCAACATTTACCTGGCCGATCAAGAAGGAAATGCATGTCAAGATGCTAAATTTCGTCGCACTTGTCGAGTCAAGTAACTCTACTAGCGTGACAGCGATGTAGAGTGTGCTAGAGCGTGGACGGGACTATTGAGTAACACGATTGGTAGAATGAAACGCATAAATTTTTGGCCCTGTTCAGAGAGCATCGACAACAGCTTTGCCTGCTGAACCTCAGTCTCCAGAAATAGATACTGGAATGAGATAACATATGTTCAAACAAGACTTCCCCACATATCGGGGGATGCCAGGACGGTTATGACGCATCCTAGTCCTTGATAGACAAGAATCCAAGTATTGAGGAATAGTTGGGATGTAAACGGGTGCTTGTTTGGGGCGAAGAGGAGGGGGAGTCTTGTCTGGGTTTTTCGGCACTGAACAAACGTAAGGAACCTCGCAAAGTTCGCCGTCAAACGGGGGGTCATAGATATGTTCTGGGTATTTTCTTCTTCTACGTGTTTTAGGCGCGGGACTTCAGCTGCGCGGAATGGCTTCTAAGAAAAACCCCTCTTCTTTGGGATCCACCCGTACCCAGCCGGAAGCCAGGAAGCGTTGTAGAATGGAATGATGTTGCTCGCGTCGCACCAGGAGATCCAATCCCTGTTTGTACAGTTGAGAACTTCGAAACCCAAAAGACATACCTCATACGTCACCTAAAGGCACAGCCATCCACCGGAGAGCCTTGTCACCGACCAGAACAAAGGGATGCGTGATATGTCGAACACGTGGTCCAAGAAATCCACTTTGAGATGCTCCAGCATGTTGGAGTACAAGGTGCAGTCTTCGACGGCGAAGTTGTGGTTCAAGGTCCCCTAGATGCCTTCAACCTCCTACTAGCCAGGGTTGTCTTGTGACTAAATAGGGGTTGTTACTTATAAGGCCACTGTGTGAACGCGTTTATAATGATGATCTTGTTTGTAGTATTCAGGATAATATACACGCCGCATGCGCATGTCATTAGCGTGTTCAACGACTCTCGAGCTTAACAACCCCAAGATCTACCACGAAGTCAGACCGTTCGCTTCTCTGTTGAAATTGAAAGACGTAAGCTACCAACCTGAAATTCTGCACTGGCTGCAGTCCGTCTCATTTTACTTGATTGTAGTCACGATGATGGAGGCAGAGCTCAGCCCTTATCCAGCTTTGGTAGAAGTAGTGGGTGGGGGCACCTTCCACACGTCCTTCTCTTCTCCAGATGCCGATGTGATACTTGGTTCCAACGATCACACCCTATTCCGTATCCATTCATGGACCCTCAAAACGACATCAGGCTGGTTCCGATCCCTCTTTTCCATGCCTCAACAAAGCCCCCTTCCTGATCACCCCGATACTATCAATCTAGACGAGGACGCACACACACTAGAGAGTCTCCTGCGGATGATCTGTGGACTCCCGATCATCCCACTCACATCGTATGATGAGGTTGATGAATTATTATTTGCCGCGGAAAAATACGATATGCCGGGGCCTGTCTCGCTCATACGTATTCTTATCATGACACCCCCACTCTTAGATCAGCCTCTACGCCTTTACGCAGCTGCAACTCGTTTTGGCTGGGAAGAAGAGGCAAAACATGCATCCGCGCAGTCCCTCGCCCTTAACATCTATGCACCAGAACATCAAGCCACCCTCCGAAAACTCTGCACGAGCGCTGTGCTTGACCTAATAAACTTACATCGCGATCGGCGCGAAGGTATTCGGAAACGACTTAGTGAGCAGCCGTTCGTGACAGGGAGCACGGTGGCGTCCTGCCCGCGGTGCAGGCGGACGATTGATCACCATACATGGAGAGAGCTCAAGTATAAAGTGGTGATGGAGATGGACGTGCGCCCGCTAGGAGACACGGTTGTTGATGTTGGATTGATCGTTTGGCCCGAGGCGAAGGCGTGTTGGGAAGCCAAGTGCCCCAATTCTGAGTGCACGTGTGTGTTGTATGACAAGACTGAGACCTTGCGTCTCATTCGGGAGTGCATTGACAGTCTTCCAAAGACAACATGAAACATAGAAGTAGTTCGAGTCGGTCGTACTCTTAAAGTCAGATGTAGATGTGATGTAGATTAGTATGTCGTAGAGTCGCGGAACAATTGTACTATACTTCGAGGATGAACGCGCTTTTCAGGAATTTTCTGAATTCTAGCTTCGCTGTGTCGTGTGTTTATCAGTCTCGAAGACAGCGTTCAGCAGGTGATCCAGCAAGTAGTCTTCACCTGCTTTTGGTTTCAGAGTGAACGTTCATGCAGCGGCAAACAACGTCAAGCTCCCGGCAATTTTGACGAAATTGGAAATTAGCATCATCCATGCTCGTCTACCACCGAGTCTCCAATTATGCAGGCGCAAGTCTTGCAAGGGCAGCTTTACGCACCCTGACATCCTCTGCTACACCGCCAGAGAACAACAACTCCTCAAGTAGTAGCACTTCCTCTCGACCCGACTCCATTTTCGCCACCAAAGAATCTCCCTGGGACCATGTCTTGGACGACATCAAAAACATGCCTCCTCTCCTCCCCACCGCAGTATGCAATCCCCTACGCGCAGGCGGTACGGAAGCCCTCGGCCGCACACGCGCACGCAGACAAGCAATGACTGCCCGTGAAATCAGCGCTTTTGACGATATGTTCAACACGATCTTCAATGCCGTCTCAGAGCAAAAAAATCCCTCTGCCAAACTCTCCTCCAAGGAGGACGATCCACTCGCTGTTCTAGGCGGGATAGGGCGCAAGCCGTTTGGTCAAGCCCCAATGTCAGATTTATTCGGCAAGCTCAGACGACACTCAAAACGGTTGAAATGGACGACAGAGGCGGATGAGGAGTTTGATAAGAAGAAAGAGGAAATGGAGCTTTGCGATACGGATCAACAGCTGCTTGAATGGGCTATGCGAGAGGTGTTCGGGCAGTCTCAGCAATACGAGGAACGCGCTCGGAACGCTATCGATAAAGCCGAGCCAGGCTCCAGCTCAAACTCAATCGCAAGTGCTAGTGCAAGTGCACAACCACCTGCGTCCACACGCCTCGAACTCCAACCCCCAACATATCCCTACCTCATCGCACACCTCATGCGTTCTTTCCGCGATAAATACCGTGACCCCCACCTCGCTCTCTCTATCTTCGACTACGCCCGACATCTAAGCATCCCAAGTTACGTATTCGGATGCACCACCCCCGCATACAACGAGCTCATCGAAACCCGTTGGTCATGTTTCCGCGACCTCAAAGGCGTACACGACGCCCTCGAAGAGATGCGCGTGAACGGCGTCGAACCCGATGGCAGGACTAAAAAACTCGTCGAAAAACTAAGGCGAGAGGTAGGCGCGCGGACGCTTTGGGAAGAAGAGTCTGTACTTGGGAGTGGAGAGGTTTTTGGGATGTTGGCGAAGATCGAACACCTTGCTATCAAGGAGCCGAGGCGGAAGCAGGGGAAGGGGAAAGCGTCGGGTAAGCCGAAGATACCGGCTTTTGATGCGTGGAAGGGGGATGTGCTTAAGGAGGATGGGGAAGATGGGTATGAGCTTGGGCAGTGGGGTTCTCGCAAGACGAAACCAACCAGGCGTCGGGAACAAGACTCGGAACGGACAGAGCTGGATGATTGGCTGGATGGCAAGATACCAGGTGATGAGAATCTAGAATTTAAATAGCATATTAACCTATACATTTTTTGTCGTAATTATCCAAGGAGAGGGTAGGAACGTTTGCTACTCGGTAGTAGAGATGGATCAACAGCAAATGATAGTAGGTACACTTGCGAGGACCGAAAAAAAAAGAGAAACGGTATATACGTGAATGCTTGTTCCAAGTTGGGTTGTGGGTCATACTGATTGTGGAGTCGTTGAACCATCGAACCACTCCACTGGACTGGTCGTATATAGCGTGTGCTAGAGCTGGACGGGACGATTTAGTAACACTAGTGAAAAACTGCACGTATCTACAGCGTAACGGTCGCATCGTTCGAAACGGCCACATCCTGCAAGACCGCCTTTGTAGCCGACGGTCCTGCAAGCATCCCCTTCGACCGGAAGCTCATTTTGTCATTCCTCCTATACCTGCTAAGAATGTCACGCATGACTTTTTGGCCCTGTTTAGAAAGCATCGGCAATAGCTTCGCCTGCTGAACCTCGGTTTCCAGAAATAGATAACGAATGAAATAACCTATGTCCGAACCAGACTTGCCCACAAACCGAGGAACGCCAGGATGGTTGTGACATGGGGGGGGGGGGGGGGGTTGGGGTTTTTCGGCAGGAAACGTGTTCCGAATCCCTTGTCAGAGTAAATGAGGATGAGGATTGATGCTACCAGGATGGGGGTGGAACTGTGATTCGACAAGGACGGCATTCCATGCGTAAATATGGGGACTCCACAATGTTCGCCATCGACTGGGAGGTCATAGATATGTTCTGGCCATAGATTAATGTAAAATCCTTATTCTACGTGTTGTAGACGCGGAACTTCAGCTACGCGGATGGCTTCTAAGAAATACTCTTCCTCTTTAGAATCCACCCGCACTCAATAACCAGAAGCTAGGAGGAATTGGATAGAAACGAGTTGTCAAGAACAAAGTCAAAGTCAAGATCGTCTATCGCACGGTCATTGCCATGTAGATGAAGGGCAAAGCCCACGGCGAGCGTAATATGTGGAGGACTAAGAGCTGTTATGACCGCCAAAGCCTCTTCTAGTGCCCGTTGTGTTCCTGGAGGGATTGGCATCTAAACAATGTAAGCACGGAGCGTTTGATCCCGCGGGGTCAACTCGCGTCGACGCCATGTGCGCGCTCCACTTTGGCTCCTTTCTCTGTGGCGTCCGCTTCGATGCCGAATGCTACCGAGTGAGTTCTGTGCAGTGTTAATTCACTTTGACGCCATGTGCGAGCTCCACTTTCCTGGAGGGATTGGCAGGATGAAATTAAGCAATGAGGGTAGTACAGTGATCCTGAATCATACCTGGGTGTTGGGTGATGTTTTCAGGTTGGGTCGCTCTAACTCTGCCCTCAAATACAACTCATGTGCCGCAAACGTACTAGTGGGTGAACTCGCGAACCATCATCGGATACCATCTAGCTAGGCGAGAAGTGGGAAATCTCATGCTCCGACTTCATGGTGATCTTGGCGCTGGTCAGTATTGGGTATCCTATAGGTCAGATCGGCGGATATTCCACAGTAAGTTACACCGAAATTCAACGAGTTATTTTCTCGCGACAACAACAGCGGTTGGAGAATAAAGCCCTGTTCTAGAGTTGTTTGCCAAGGCCTGAGTAATATCGTGTGCAGAGGAACATCCTGTACCGACGAGTGCTACAATTCGTGTGCTGCCCCAACGAGAGGATCTGTATCCACTTGAATGGAGACATGATGCAACTAAGCAAGGAATTCTGCAAACAGATGCTGAGATTCAGCTAGACAGATAATCAAGTAATATTTCTACTTACTTGGTTGGGATTAACCAAGGATCAACGGCATAATAGGATTCAGGCAAGATGCGCACCTTAGCCGCAAAGATGACCAGTTTTGCAATGGCTATTCAGCCCGAAAGTGGCGACCGCGTAGGCATTTGGGGCATGCTACAGCCTGCGATTGTCAAGATAGAAGAAGAACTCGTCAACTGACTCACCCGTGCGTACGGTGCATCGTCAGTCGAAGGTGCATACCTCAGGTGCGTCTTGTGCTCTCATCCGCTTGTGGAAGCAGGTACATATCCCATTAATAGTGTGCGCCGCGGACATGACGCTCACGACCTTGTATATTTGCATTGACATCTACATAATATGAGCGTACAGTGCAAGAGCTGATGAAGATTAACGGTGCTACTAGGAGTCTGGGATCCCAATCACGGTAAATTCCGTTGAAACTCCGAGTCGAATGCCGCATTAGCAGTAGCACTTCCACTTGACTTCCACCATTTGTAAGTAACTTGATGGTAAGTACTCCCCTACTCCATTTCAGCCGGTTGAGACTCGAGAGCTGTACCCAACGCAAACCACGGTCCACGCCGCAATACATACTGGTCATGTGGTGTCGGAACGGCTCGAATCACATCCTCCCACTCCGAGTCGTCACCCTGGCATGGGGGCAACATCTCCTTATAATCATGTTCACACATATCGATCACGATCCTCGAGATACCTAAGTCCATCAGTGAGACGAAAGTAGGAATCATATTTCCTGCGATGCTGCTGGTTAATGTATCCAACCTATGACACGAATCATTGCATAGGTAAGGTTGAGTCCCGCACTTTTATTTCTGTCTCACTCTCCACTGAGTGTTGGTCAGAGGCAAAATAGATCTCCTAGTTATACGAAGTCGATTGTTACCTCCACCGCTCCTGCTATCTAATTCATACCTTGCATAAATCAAAATCACCACCATCTCACTGGCAACACGACTCAGACAGGCTCGTGTTTCGCTGGATTTTATACACATTATTCTTTGTTTTGGGAAGTACCTGAGGGAGCCGAGGCGGAAGCAGGGGGAAGGCGAAGCGTCGGGTAAGCAGAAGGTGCCGGCTTTTGGTGCGTGGAAGGGGGATGTGCTTAAGGAGGATAGGGAGGGCGGGTATGAGCTTGGGCAGTGGGGTTCTCGCGAGACGAAACCAACTAGGCGTCGGGAACAGGATTCAGAACGGACAGAACTGGACGATTAGCTGGATGGCAAGATACCAGGCGATGAGCATCATGTCTAGAATCCAAATAGCATATTAACCTATACATTTTTTGTCGTAATTATCCAAGGAGAGGGTAAGAGCGTTTGCTACTCGGTAGTAGAGATGGATCGATGGTAAATGATAGCAGATACACTTGCGAGGACCGAAAAAAAGAGAAACGGTATATACGTGAATGCTTGTTCCAAGTTGGGTTGTGGGTATAGAAAAGATGGTGGATATATGATTGAATCATGGTTTTCTGTTGCGAGATTTAGAAACGCGAGGTTGTGGGGGTGATGGTAGGCTGGCCCCCAGGCCATGGACGGGAACGTATTCCGCATCAATTTGATCGCACTTGAGATGCATCAAAAGATTATAGACGAACACTTGTTCGTACCTGCAAAAACGTCAACACATCACTGCAAGGACATCATCACAACACGCACTGAGCATTTGTGAACACAACAGTCATCGATTCCGAATTACACCTCAACAAGTTCGGCGCCATCACCAACGCCAAATTCGCAGACGTCATCTTCGTCACCGCCTGCACCTTCTCCTCCAAAAAGAACTGCAAGAAGCTAATCAGGAAAATCACGACCCGTCTGTTGATTGTGGGCAGACGCCGGACGAGTTGAATGCACGTCTCTGGTTCACGAGAATGTGTGATGCAGTCGTTGTACATCTCTTCAGGTACTAGCGGGTCGCATAGCTCACGCTAGCCAGAGCTTGAGCAACGAAGCTAGGACATGGGGATCGTCAACGCTGTCAAGCGTATAATAACCCCTATCAATGCGCAACTTCAGTTCTGACACCGAGTCGCTATCGCCAGGGACACGGAAGATGCCCTCCGCTTTCGTGCCCCCAAGAGCGAGGAATGCCGTCTGCAAGGAACGGGAGAATGATGGGTATCTTCTCGTGTGGGTAGTTGCGCTTCTTGCAGGCGCATCGTCGCGTCCAGCGATTCCCCGAATGTGGAAGGGTTGAAGGCGGCATCCGATGCGGTCTCTATTCTCTGCCATGGTTGGAGGCTTTCCTCGTGGTCCTTTCTTCGAGATTGCAACTAGACGACGGAGACAGTGCTTGGCTATGACGTCGACCCTGCCCTCTTGCTGAGACGTCCGCTGTTGCATAAAGGAACGCAGATACGTCTCGAAATTCTTCGAAGGCGGGAATGCAGTGAGAAGCACGCAGAGCATCTGCCAGCCTTTGAAGACGCTTTCCCTGAAACACTTGTAAGATAGCTAGATATCAAACATAGAAGGGTAACTCACGGATTGGGATTCCCGTTGAGCTGCTTCATCAACTGGCAATATATCTCGTCTCTTAGCTCCCCATGAGCCTAAACCTTCCCCGAGCAACCACCGTTCTTCCTCTAGTAGGCCGACGGAGCCTCCAGTAAGGGAATGCGCAGAGCCATTATGAACGGGTATACCAGCCGATTTCTCACGTTCACGATCGCCCATGATATGTTGAATGACCTTGAAAATCCGCACTGCATCATTCTTGAGCGAGCGATTTAACGTGAGAAGTGGGGAGCTGAGAGGTGCCTGAATGTATGTTAGCTAGCTTTAAGGAGTAGAGACAAGTACTAACCTTTTGCCATGTCATCATCTGTGCAACGGGGACCTTGCGCCTGAAGATGAAGCCCGTACGATGAGTCGAGAAATATTGTCTTGCATAATCGGATTCGACGAATTGTTGGATGTCTGATGCGAGGTCGTGAGGAAGGACGGGGTATGTGCTGAAAGGAGGTATGAGATATCATCAATCCATTCCGACATGTGACGTACTTACCCAGATGCTAAAGTAGCAGTAGGGGTATGTCGGCGAGTAGCTTGCCTGGTGATCGGAATTGGTTTTCCGGTTGCGGGGTTCTTGACGGCGCTCATGTTCTTGGTTGCCTCTGGATCGCAGACTATCAGCCAAGAAAATATCGGTAGTGAAAAGCATACCTTTGTTGGGAACAGGGCTGCTGATCGTCTTGCCAAGTACTGTGGGAGGGGTCGAAGGACTGCGTGCCGTCCAGAAACTGCTGCCCGGACCCAGTTTTAAAGGACTTTGGAGAGCTTCTCGTTTCTCAGTTACTTTCTCTTTGGGGTGAACTGTCGTGCTCGGCCGTGGTTTATCCATAACTGGTGGTGATGATGGCGGCGGCCCGTGACCAATGTCAGAAGCGGCCCGTCGATCAGACATCGACAGCATCTCTACAGCAGCATTGAGACTCTGTGGGATGGGGGATCGGTGTGGTACATAAGAGGATGATTTAGCCCGCGATCTCGATGGGGAGTTGTCCTCAATATCCGAGGTTGCACGTCTTTCCTTCTCCTTGTGACGAGAGTTTGATCGTGTACTTCCGTTCGTCGCAACATTGGCAGGAGGCGTCGACGATGATTTTCGCGAGTTTGGTGTAGAAGGTTCCGTCGTGAACGGTGATGCGGGTATAGGGGGTAGATGATGTCCATTCGGCCATCCACGGGGGGAATTTGAATGACCATATTGGTCTGTGGTAAACGAGCGCCTTACGGTAGGAGGCTTCTTGGCCGGGCTAGCTCCAGAAGCTGAGATCCTGCCTGGAGAACTCCGTGTTGACGATAACGAGTGTCGTGGCAACGCGGGCTCTTCTTTGGAACGGAGACACACATGGCGTTCCTCCTTTATACTTACCTGCGATCGAGTTCGAGCTCGACAAGCAGCCCGAGCTGATGCTGTCGGGGATTCCTGCCCTTCAGGATTCGCTTTGCGCATTGAAAGGCGACGGCCCAAGGCGGTTTGCTGTATAAATCAGCAGTCAGCTACTCTTGTAAGACGGATCAGTTAACGAGAATGTCGTCACTTGAATGATAGTCAGGGGAATGACAAAAGTCTCTGGACGTTCCCAGACTGTCTCGCCTGTCTTGGTTTGATAATAGTACGGGATTCCACCACGAGACTCGTCGCTGAGCTCCCACCACTCTCCCTCTGTGCTCGGAGGCAAACTGGACAAACTCAAACCGTAAGCACAAGAAGACAAATATTTGAAATTATGACATCACGCACACGAACGTACCAGCTGGTGGATCCCAGCTCACTTGTCCAGTAGCAGGACAGGCGAAGAACACAGTACTAGTCTTGTAAAAGTGCGTTCTAAACATGGGACCATGTTGACGATCGAGACGAGATGAATACCTGCGGATCTATTAATGTCACCCAAAAATTGGAGCCCCATCTCGCATCCTCTGCATCTACACGGGTGAGATTTGCTGATGGTCGGGGACTGCGCACGGGCTCTCCATTGACGTTAACCTGGGGTATGGCAGGAGTCTCCGTGGTATGCCCATTTGTCTGACTCTTTGGGGCGTCTAGATCGGGTGCAGAGGGTGCCTGTGAGCCAGGGACCGTCGTCTGAGGGTTTGATGGCTGAGAAAGCTGTTTCTGATCAACGATTATGTCGTCCACAGCAACGGTCATGCTTAAAAACGGGCGTCTCTTGACGATTTAAAAAATTGGTGAGCTGTAGATTTCCCAGGGCGCCAAGGTAATATTATCCTGATGGACACTGCTAATAGGATGACAACAACGAAAAGCGAGTGGTTTGAAGAAATGGAGTATGAGCTCGAGGAGGTGATACGAGGAAATCAAAAGAAAGAAAAATGAAGGTAAACGGGACCGAGACGGGTCAAAGTTTCTCGAGTATCGCTTGGAGATAACCCCTTGCAAGGCCGTAATCGATCCTCCCGAATTTGGAAGAGTCAATATAACAGTAGTTCATTTACGTGACTGTAACCAAACGTTAACCAACTTACTTCATCCCGACTACATCCCATCAAGATCTTTTATCCTTAGTCCGACTCCTGCTTCGAATTCTTTGCTTTATCCACGAAATTTGTCAACGTCTCCATATCCTCCTGATCACCTGCTATCGACTTTTCTATTCGCTCGTATACCTTGGCTATACCTCGGTAGACATCCCCCTCGCTCCCACCAACAAAGTCTGCAATTTCTTCCATCTCTCCAATCCATCTGTACGCTTTCGGTAGCATAGGCGGTACAGTCTTCACCAGGCGGTTCAACAAAACTGGCTGGGACATCTGTAGCTCTCTCATGAGAGCATCTGCCGTCGCAGGCGACGATGCATGAGCCGCTGTAATGCGTCAATCACTAGTCTAGTTTCCTCCACAAGGAGATATAAATCACCTAGCACCATCGTGGTATACAACCCTGTCGTTCCTTTGGTTATTCCCTGTTGAACGTACTTGAGTAACGTACAATTTGTCTGTCTGCCTTTTCCACTTACAGCGTATGACATCTTGAGTGCGCTAGCGTCCCCGACCCCGACCCCTTCTCCCTTCAAAGGAGATACTTTCAAACCATACTTCGATAACGCAGTGAATTCATCCAAAATCTTCCCATCTTCTGCTGACGCATAAAATGTAGGATTGTATTCGTCTTTCGGCGGTCCTCCAATAATGCCAGCATCGACGAACTCAATGCTTGTCCCTGCAAATAGCCCCGCGATACGCTTGACCGTTTCTGGGCTCACAGCGTTGCAGTCGACAAACGTCCGTGGGGAGGGTAATGCGTTCCCGTGTTTCGCAGCAGCCTCTTGTATCTTTTCGGCAAACGACACAGCGTCCCTTGGAGGCAAAATACTCAAAATCCAGTCTGATCTGAGCACGAGCTCGTCGATGGTGACGTTGATCATCCCTGCATCTTGTGCTCGCTTTTGCGTGCCTTCCGAGCGGCCCGTCAAGATTGGTGTATACTGTGCAGCCGGAGCTGGTGAGACGCTTCGCCACTGCAGAGCCCATGGCCCCAGCAGCGACTACTGCTAGACGTGGCATGGTGGGGGACATGACAGTTCAATGCAAACCCATATCTCATGAAGACGCCGATAACAGCTGATTCTATTTTTGTAGTCAGTTATTCCTGGACAGGTTGAAGCAGCCCGTTACTCAGCAGTCTAGGTAAGCGACTCACGTTGACGAGTCTCTCAGGTGATGTGTAGTTCATGCAGCATGAGCTGCATGGGGTTACACGTTCTGGGACATTAATGATGTCGATATAGTCTTTGGCATGCATGTAAGATCGCGGGGTTGCTGTCATCGTGCTGCTAACCCCAAACCTTGGCTCTACAAGTGCCTTGTATGATCCACACCCCGCTAATATTAGGTACACATGTGTCAAAGAAGATCTGCCCAACTGTTTGACTGTTTCTCTTCGCTCTTTACGCTCAGGAACACATTTCCTTGGACCTTGGTGTCGCTCGGCTGTACAGTTGTGGCGACAGTCCTCATATCTTCGTCTGTCGGCCATTAGCTTATCTGCGGATGAGCCAATCTGTTCGAGCAGTTGCAAGCGGTGCGTAGAGCTCTGACTGCGTTTCTTACTGCTGCTTACTGTCGACGTTGTTTCAGATTGTTTTTGACTCAAACAAACCTCGCTTACAGCGGGTGCCTAGCCCCTGGACCTTGCCCCACCAATATTTTACCTTTAGTCTCCGTATCCGCTGTCGAGTGTCGGACACTGGAGCAACTAAAGGAGAACGAAGGAGCTATAACCGACCTAAAGATGGTAGTGTCCCCACTGTCCTCAAATGACTTCCGGCTCATCTCGATCGGTCAGGTGACCCAGCGGAAAGTCTTGTCGTCGCTTTGTCAAGCAACTAAGCCTTTGCGATGTTTGAGGTGACGATGATGAACAAAGCAGATTTGGGGAGCGGTGCGACATCGTTGTCATTGTTCCGGGATATATGACCCTGTTTTACTCATTGGTGGGTCTGTTCAAACTCCTCGTTCTTTTGGATAACCACAACTCCGCAACATTTAATCAGATGCAGAGGAACTGCTATTCTTCCATTACGGACATGGGACAACAAGTACAGTGACTTGTCGTCCTATGTCCGCATTGGCAGAATTGTTGTTCCTCAGGAGCCCTCCATTGACGACTGCATTGGTAAGCAAGGCAGCGAATCGCCGAGAGGGCAGTGCAGTGCAGGAAATGTGCTCCGGTGCCTGCGGAATTCCGAATTAACCATTCTGCCAGCCTTGCAATCGGTAACGTAGATCTTGTAATTATGTGCACGGTGGGCATCCTCGGCATTACGACCGTAAACCGCTCATATAAATTTAGTATCGGGTCGGATCAGAAATGTAACGCTTAGCACGGAGCTTTAGTGTGTTGTCCATCCGCATGGTGGACGCCGTGGAGGGGCTTTGAGTTTCGCAAAGGATGCCCGAGCGTGCGAATGAAAACAAATGGTTGAGAACTGCGCAAGCGGACCTAGTGGTACACACCACCCTGCAAGAATCCTAGAGGATCGGACATAGTTGCAGCCCAGCAGGAATTGGTCTAGTGTTCAGATCTCAGATCGTCCTAAAACATGTCTAATCTAAGCCCCGTATCAGTATGGGATCACTCTCTGACACTGCAGAAAGTTCCTCGTTAACACTATGTTGTTGTCGACAACATCTCCAGGGTCATGTTACAGCTTCCTGTTTCTCACCGATCTGTAGTCCTGCTGAGATACGGACGCCTACGCTGCAAGGGAATCTAGATCTACCCGACACTAGTAATCAACTACCCAGATCTGAGGAGGTAGTTACCTCGCTAAGCCTGCGACATCCTGGGGCTATGATATTAATTGGTTGGAACAGCGTTAGAACTCGCCCATGATATATCAGTGCCTTTGGTCCAGGGGCGTGGCATATTCCTCCTCCACTCCCCTACAGGCAATTATCAATACACGTCTTAAGTGTTGCGGAGAGGTTTTGAGTTGTGAGAAGGATACCGAAACGCGCAAATGAAATCGGGAAAACAGATAATCGAGCATTGTGCAGAGGGCCCCAGTGGCACGCACGCCCCCCACAAGAATCCTCGATGAAGATCCTCTTTACCATTTATCTCCTCATGCACAACGCCTGTCCACTGTGAACGTAATGAGACACCATTCTCAGAGCGGTGACATCCAGGCTTGTCATAATGCGAACCTGTGCAGCCAAGTTCGTGCTTCTGTTATGACTCGGGGCTATCCCTGCCATGTAACCTCATTGTCAGATGAATTGTAGGCTAATCGTTGAGTGGAATATTTCCATGCGTTAATCCGTTAAATAGTTAGATGCATAACGCACTGTGACGCACGGAGGATCGGACATAACTGCAGTCCAGCAGATATTGTTCTAGTGTCTAGATCGTCCTAAAACGTGTCTAATCTAAGTCATGTATGGGATAATTACCATCACTTACTGGCCCTGCAGAAGTAAACATCATGTTCTCACCGACGTCATCTCCAGGGTCATGCTGTAGTTTCCTCAGTTTCTCACTGATGCGTAAGCAACAATAGATCTACCGTGCTGCGAAAATACCGTCCGAACTCGATCACCTATGAGCAGTTTTCTTGTTCTAATGCCCAGCGAACTGCCTCCGCAACATCCTCTGCTTGGTGAGTCGGCTGGTGACTGGGAGGTCCATGATGTGGATCATATACACCCGTGCGAACTAAAATTGATTTCCAACCTGCAGCATTAGCACCTGCTATATCGGATTCTGGGTTGTCTACAGGGGCAATAAACTTGAGGGTACCGTCGAGAGCAAACACTCCGAAATACGTACCTCCAACCATATACCTGTGTAGCGATCATGCGGTCATTAGTTGGTCATGAGGGCAGATGTGGCACTAGATTATACGAACAGCGATGGCTTGGGTACCCCCTGTAACCGATGCTTGAGCATCGTCTCTGCGAACTCGTACGTTGCTTCAGTTGGTTTGCCGAATTGGACGTGAGGATAAGTGGATCCTGTCAATGACTGCAAAACAAGGCATATCGGATCGTTTTCGGTGGGATTTGGGGGTGAACACAAAACTTGCCTGGAAGACAGCTTGGAAGGCAACTTTAAAAGCTCCTTGGCCCATACGGGGAGCCTCAAAATCTGACCGCCATATTAAATCGGGATTGCAGAATACTAGGTCGACAGGCTTTCGTGCATGATTGGATTCATCAGGTCCCCCAATGATACCCCTTGACTGGATCACATCGCACATGATTTGGATGTCGAGCGCCCAATTTCTAGGATCATGGAAAACAAAGATGGCGCCAAATTGGATCTTCGAGAAGTCGGTCGGCTGTGTTATTGTGCTCGTATAAGCAGTTCACCTGAGCGAATGAAAGATCTAACCTTGACGGACGCTCTTTCCTCTTGTGTAAGGTCGTGGAAAGGCCATATCCTGAGCGAATAACAAAATCAAGCCTCAACCATGAGGCGAGGAAACAACTTACGATGGGTTCCAAGCGAGAATATCGAGCGTATTATAGACTTTCTGGAAGCCGTATCTGCAGTCAATTGAGATTGCATCAGTAGGATCCAAATGCAAACTACATGAATTGTGTACCCTTCCGCCACCCTACGAAGGGTGTCACCCTTGCCTCCAAGGACCAAGACTGGCACGTCAGCGTAGTTGCGTACAACAGATTTCAGAACAGTGTGAGCCTGTATAAATTGCTCGGGATGAATCTGCCAGAACTCGTCAACAGAACGTAGGAATCAGGACAGCTTGGATATCGTACCTGTACGCCAAGCTGCGAGCTCAATTTGCGACACCGTTCCTCTTCGCTTTCACCACCGCCATTGGTGAGCTGCAACAATTGAATGCTTACATCACAAAAAGGGCATGGAACATCATTTACCAGAATAAAGGGTATCTTGCTTTCAGTGGGTCAGCTAGCTGGATGATAAACAACAGGAAATAAACAAGTACAGGCCGAGTTTATTGTTGCCATCAAGGATCGACAGCGCCTCTTTGGCAGCAGGCAGAACGTTCTTTCCACGAATGAGAACACCATCCTATGAAGAGTAAAAGACGCAGTAAGTCCCCGAAACTCCCATGACATCATGTCCACATACAATGTCAAATGCGAATGCCAACCGCGAGGGAAGCTTGGGTGCGTTTCCTGGTCCTGTTTACAAACACGTGAACCGTCAGAGTAAATTGACGAATGTGGTAGCCAGCTACCACTGCCAGCTCACCAGTCAAATAACGTGCGATCTGCTTGACCGTCACCCTGTTGCAGTATTTCGGACCAATAATGTGTCGAGAAATCATGCCTGCGGATTGAAAATTGTCGTTGGCGGCAAGAGTAAGCAACGAGCCAGCCGTGAGCCTAAGTATGATTTTCGGTCAAGCCTGGGTTTACTGGGCGTCCGCCGCGTTCTCAAAGTTTCAGTCACGTGATATTCGTATTGACACGCGACGTGTACTTACCAAATGTATGGACCAAACGAACAACTAACTGGATCACCAGCGGACGTCTATCGCTGCTTCATGCTTCCCTCACCAATCTCATCCAACCGACGAGCAAAATCTCGGCACCTCCGTTCCTTCTCCTCCTCCGACCTCAAACGCGCTCTCAGCCTCCTCCGCGCACGATCAAGGTTCACCCACCTAAGCATCCTCATTCTCACAGGATGTTTCTGTGTTTCCTTCCTATATAACCTCGCATTCATATTCTCCTCTCCGCCTTCCTCCTTGGTAGCTTACACCCCTCCTCAGAGCATTCTCTCAACAATAGCTCGTAATTCAACCTTAGAAAACCTATCCCATCTCGTCATTGTTCCAGGACACGCAATTTGGACTGGTACACAGCCTGACGAGGTGTTAAACGAAGACCGGTGGACGTTAGAGGAGTATCAGCGAGGGGGAGGTGGCTTCAGAATCGCTGCATTCGTAGAACATATCAGACGAGGGTATGTCATTCCGACCCAAATTTATACCACTAACTCACGCAATTGATAAATTTCAGAGTAGAAATAACGCTAAAAGACGATACGTCCCTACTCATTTTCAGTGGGCAGGTCCTCGATCCAGGAACACAAGTTCGTCTCGCTGACCCCACCTTCTTTCCAGAGGTCAAACTAGACTGCAGTCGACTACGACAGAAGCAGAATCTTACATGCGTTTAGCAACGAGTCTAGGTCTCTTCTATCCCGAATCAAAGGGAACGCACCACGAGCCCTATTTTCCTCGTGCGACGACAGAGACCCACGCTCTCGATTCATACCAAAACTTTTTATTCTCCGTGGCTCGTTTTCACGAAATGACAGGTCGGTACCCCCTACGGGTCACCGTCGTGGGCTACGAAATGAAGCGCCGTCGCTTCGAAGAACTCCACCGCGCAGCCATTCGATTTCCCTCTCATAATTTCGAATACATCGGCATCGAACCTGCTGGCGAGCAAGAAACCGAGTCCGCTCGTATGGGCGAAGTAAGCGTCTTCATCTTCGTTGGCAGATTTTATTCATGTTAAAACCCGAATATAGGTTAACAATGGATACGCGCCGTATAACATCGACTTGTATGGCTGCCACGATTTTTTGCTCGCTAAACGACGAGGGCGAAATCCGTTTTTACGGTTTCATTCGTATCATGCGTCAGCACCGGAGTTGAGGGGGCTGTTGGAATGGTGTCCTGATGATGCGAGGATGGTGTATGATGGACCGTTGCCTTGGGACATTTATGAATGAGATATCATTCTACGATTTTTAGGTTCGAGCAGCCTGCGGGTTCATTCTATGTGAGAACTGCTATGGACTTGCGCGTGGAAACCCTCGTCGGAACGTCCTCGCCAGGCCTTGTCCGAATTCACACGTCGACAAATGTCTTACGGCTGCAATACTTTCCGATCATGATATCGTTCCGAGTGGCCCTACTGCTTATCACACATCAAGAAATCCGACAGGCTCTTGAACTGCTGGATTTCTTGAAAAGCTGGATGGAAGGAGAATTCTGGGGCGATAACGTACTCTCTGATCACCTCGCAAAGGGCGTGGTGTCTGGAGTCAGTCTCAAAATCCATTCGAGGCACGACTTGAGGGCGTGCCAGCCCTGTCAAAGACAGAACTCAAATTTATGATACTAATAGACATCAGCGTTGCAGGATAGATGGTCTCCTGGTCATGAACCTCAAATCCTGTACTCAGCCCCTGTTGAGCGGCGCTTTCTCCAGGCGACAAGCATGTGTGAAAATCAAATCGGGCCTTCCGCGCACCCTGTACATGTCACAGGCTGACTTCATGAAAAACGTATGGACGTTCCGCTGAATGCATACTGTAAAACCAAGGACTAAATGTTCACTCGCCAGTGGTCACCCAACATGAATTCATATGTAGCTAATCAGTCACAGGGCCCAGACTTTCACCTACGTAGCCGGACAACTTGAGGTTAAATCAGCGAGGTCTCCTCCCCTTCCGAAGCAGTTTATCACGACGACTCCAATATCCAGTACTGCTTCTTGTCGCTTTCAGAAGGAGGTGAAATGACGTGGATCTGGAGTGATGTTGACCGCAATGCCAAAAGGATATCAACGAAAAACAAACCTTAGTGAGGTCCTCTTTGCTATCAAGGATCCACACATCGGTGGAGCCTTTCACCTTGATGCTGCAGACGAATGAGTTCTCAATACTTGCCAACGATAGCCAATGCTACGGCCACTAACCGATACCCATAAGAAGTCTTGATCAATTCGAACTCCTGTGGATCGCCGTTGCCTACAACATTGCCGTTCTATCATTTCACGCTGTAACTTAGCAATCTGCGAATCTCAACACCAGACAGACCAGATTACCAGATCATCGACTGTAGCATAGCTCGCGCTCACTGGATTCCTGATCGTCGCAGTGAGTGGGCCTTTAGATTGATAAAGGATCTGCCACTACGACATCGATGAGCATAAGATGCATTGTAACGACTCTGGACGCGTACAGTGCGGTTCTGAATCCCACCGGGGCTGTTGTCTTCACGATGCCCGACAATGAGCGTGCCAGGCCTAGCGTTGCCTTGTTTCAAGTCGACATACTGAGTGTCGAACTCAACATTCCGGATTTTGTAGTAACCGCCCCTGTTTGGTGGATGTGACACCATGTGAGGTCTGCTAATACACGATTGTACAGTAGCCTACTTGATGGATGCACATGCGTCTACACCGTACCCCCTCAATGAGGCATGAGTTGAAGTTCGATGAGAAAGATGGGGTACACGAGCGGCTGGGCGAGTATGTCCGTAGTGTTGCGATGAGATGGAATCCATCGTGGCATTGCAAAAATGTGCTGTACTCCCAGATGGCAAATGATAACGGACGTCGATATGTTTGGAACGGATACGACCTGGGCCAGTGCTCTGATTGGCTCGACGGTGTCATGAGGTTGCCGTGGTCATCATCTAAAGTCTAAAGAATGTTCTGGTACAACTGTATGGATTGTAGCAAATTATATCTATGGTTATAATACACATACACACCTTGGTAGGCAACCTTGTCCCATGGGCGGTATAACCTGAGGGGGATATGACTAAGAACCACTGGCAATGGTCGAATGAGAAGAGGCGCTACTTCTGTCAGTCACGTGTATAAAGTTATGGGCAGCAGACTGCCGATTCCCGAACTACACGATTCATCATGGAAGATTCGACGTTGACCTCACTGCCTGTGGAACTCATTCTCAAGATTTTTTCTACGCTAGACTGGAGAACGTTATTGGTTTGCAGAGAGGTGCGTTAAACTGGTCATCCTAAAAGTCGATCGCACTCATACCGTGCAGGTTTGCAGTTTCTTTCGGTCAATAGTTGAAGGAGATCAAGCTCAATATGATATCGAGCTTGCTGTGTCCGGAATGATGGATGGCCCTCCGAGCCCACTTACCGCCTCAGATCGGCTTGCACTTCTTAAGGAACGCAATGCTGCATGGGAGTCTCTGAGATGGGTAGAATCGAAGGATATAGTGATGATGCAGGGCGACATCTGGGAGTTGTATGGTGGCGTGTTTGCGCAATCTAGCACGCCAGATATCCTCCACTTCCGTCGGCTGCCATCAAAGTACAGAAACATTGAAGAAAAAACATGGCATGTGGCACTGGACATACATGTTCGGGACTTCACCATGGATCCTGCGCAAGATCTTCTAGTGCTCATCGAGCATTCCACCTTGCTGTATGTTACTTCACTGCTGTATTTGTCTCAGATCTGACCAACTGCAGCCCCAACCCAAACGCCGCTACCCGTAGCATTCGGATCCATCTACGTTCCCTCACCACAGGAGACAGGCACAGATCAGCGCCTCAACCAGCTATTCTCGTTCATGATTTCGATGTGCGGAACACTCACTCAGAACATACATTAAAAGTGTGCGGTAATCTGCTGGGCACCTTATTCATGAGCCCTGGAGCTCCATCACAACTTACCATATGGGACTGGACAACGGGCAGAGTCATTTTGGTAATGGTTTCAGGTTTTGTGAAGCCACTTTCTGAGTTTCTGGCCATAATTATAGACTCGCTTAGGCCATGAAATAACGACGTTCGCTTTCCTCAACAGTCGCTTTTTGCTGGTGGGCGCTGGCATTGAATTCGAGACATTAAACGCCCTGTGCCGCCTCTATGTGCTCGATATGGGACATTCGTCTAATGAGACGATTGGCCTTGCGGCGGACTATTTTTGCGCGTTTTTGTGGCCCGAATTCGATATGTGGACCACCCCGGGGGCGTTTTCAATTCGCTCTGATCCATCGCCTGCCTGGCAGCCTAATCCAGAGTCTCCGCTACCTTTCTCGATGGCGCATGGGGACAGGCTCTTCATGATTACAGCCTCCCTGCTGTCTGATGCCCCTCCCGTCTATTGCGATCTGTTCGTTTCAGCTGGCACTTTTCTATCCCATATTGAGGCTATTCCTACGGGGATTCGCCGGCCTGATATCCACTGGGACGAGTGGGGCCCCACAGGCACGCGCTTGATGCGATGCGACAGAGAATCTTCCCCGTGGGTCTGCTCTATCTTTGGGACCAAATACGTGTCTCTCGTTGAGCCGACCCACATGTTGCCGCAGACTTTGGAGTTACGGGATTTCAACCAGCTCGCAATGAAGCGAGATGCCAATGTTCAAGATGTTATTGCTGGTCATGTATGCAATACAACGGTAATCAACGACAACTTTGAGAACAAAGTCCAAACAAGTCTACCGTACCGGCTTACCCAGCGCACCCTGCCTCCACAACATTGGTCGGAACCATTTTTTAATGCTGTCATGTGCAGTGAAGACAGCGTTATTTTAGTGGATGTAAGCATGCCACACGTTGACCGTGTTGGACGATTCTCTAACAGCACGAGCCCATGTGCAGTCTACCCACCAACATCTTCGCATCCTCACTTTTTGAGCAATGCAGATCATCGAATCCGAAAGAGACCACGATTTCTCTTACCACGCATCGAGGCCGCGTGGGCCCTACATTTCCAATTGCGCGGCAACAGCCCTAACTATAACCATAACTACAAATCCAATATGCTAGTCATATAAGCTAAAATGAGATAACACGAGATTCTGACCAGTCGAGGAACCTGATACAAAAGAAAATTAAATTAAATCTGCTGGGCTTCCTGGGAGCTAATTAGGTACGTAGTATTAACATCCTTCTATGATCGCCATCCGAGTCACTCGGCGATGGGGTTTGAAATTTGGGGGGATGATGACTGAAAATATGACTCAAGGTAAGCAACAACTTACCAAAATTTCACATTGGAAGTGTCGTTTATCCCAGGAGAACTGCTTCTTATGGTGCATGTCCCCAAAGATCTTGGTGGAAATCGATTCTTTGTACTTACGGTATTCTCAACGCTTTTTCGACATACCCGCGATTCCGCTTTGTCCAGGACCGCCATATTATTGAACTGCGAGGCCACCCCAGCAGCTGGTAATAAGGGACGCTCAGAGTCAGTGTGCACACGCCGCACACGCACACCGCATGCACACGACTATCCAGGATAATCGTCGGACTTCCACAGCCGAATTGTAGGAGTAAGGAGGAACTGTCTTTGCTGTGTTTACAAGTACTTATCACTAATCGTCAAGTTCAAGGGGCATGGTTCAGCTACGTTCGGATGGCCAAGTGCTCAAATCCTTGGACAGGGTGGCTCTGCGCACTTTTCAATCACTCCTATGATATGACTGTCACAAGATTATGTTGCGTTACATTACAGGGACGAGTTTTTCAGGCCACAGACCGAATGACTGGTCAATTAGTAGCTATCGAGAGGTCCCGTGTCTCGCTGCTGGTCAAACAGACACTATTTTAATATGAAGCCTGCGTCCTCCGAACCTTGTGCGGGCATCCAGCCATCCCTTTTATGTACGCCGTCGGGCAACTCGAACATTTCGAGTATCTTTCAGTTGAGTTATTGGGCCCGAGTTTGGCTGATACCAGGGGACAATCAGGGGACAAGCCGAGGAAATATCAATCTAACCTTCTGCATGTCAGCTTTCGGCATTGAAGCATATTCCTAGTTGAGCCCTTGAAAGCTCACTGTGTCGATGACAGCCTCACAGTCCGCGAAGCACCGACCACCCGACCCGCCGTTTTGTATCGTCCAGCCCGGCCAGCTCATCTACGCGCGCAATTACTAACGATCGAAGGTTACACCATCAGTCAAGGAGATCCATCCTATTGGCTAGACCCTTCGCTCTCTGACCAAGCGTGGCCTACTGTTCCGCTACCCGCGATAATCCCTCAAGTAGAAAAAGACTGGCGGGGCAGATCTGTTATCGACGTAGCACCCATCACTCACCGATGGACCGGCACATCAACCACCAAAGTTCTACTCACGGCTGACAAGGAGTGTAGAGAACCTGATACCGCTGTTGTGATTGGCTGCAAGAACCCACTTGGTGCTATCCTTTCGTGCATACGAATTCTTTCCATTTTAACTCTGATCAAGTGAGACCTACCTGCTACGCACGGAATCCATCTGACGTCGTCCTTTTATAGCGCGAAATAGTACCGTTGCATTGGATAATTGGGGATGATACTCTCAGGGCCCTCCGTTCCCGTCTTATGACCAGACGGGACACTGTCGCAGCGAACGAAGAATCCAACATGCGCTTGGCACTCCGCATGATGGATTGCTGTCCTGGTGTTCACATCAAAGTGCACTCGTTGGGCCCAGACACCATCACATACACCGCCAGCAAACAAGCGGTTAATTGGGAGTCAGTGCGGGCATGGCCTGATGAGCTCATCCCAATTTCCAAGAGACGTGCTGCTGATCAAGAGTACCGGTGGACGTTGGCAGAGAATCGACAACCGGACGGTATTGATGACGGATGTTTATCGGACAGTTATAACGAAGAAAACTTCATTCTTTGGCGGGACATTCAACAAGAACGGTACCCATCCGTTTAGCAGACAGACTATAGCAGTCTTGACGTCCAACTACCTGTCATATCGGCAGTTCAATGACAATTATACAACAGCTGTGTATTTTTACGGTCAAAGTAATTAGGGTCACCGGTGCCTCTCATTCAAGTACAAGAGCAATAAATTGAACTTTACCAAAATCCACGATATCCACGAAGGCCGCCTGTCCATGACACCCTGATCCAATACAAAAGATCAACAAACAAGCACAAGCAAAACCCGTACAACAAGAATTAACGTACATCAGTGGTTACGGTCGAGCCTCATCTCCATGTTTAATGCAGTGTGTGGACTGAATAAGACCTGTCGTGAAAAATATCGATCCTTTATCGCGATCACCGAACACAAGAATGATTGATAGCCCCGTTGATCCCGCCATGACGACAACCTATCCACGACGTCATTTTCAGAGAGCCCATTGAACAGAAAGAGGTAGTGTCGAATAGGCTGAACTGATACTTCATCCTTATCTATAGCAACTTCGACCACGAGTCGTTCCCGATCTTGCGGATACTGGCGCCGCGCCGCGCCGACCAGCTTCTGAATTTCATACCATCTGCTCGATATCTGGGCGGCTTCTAGGGCAGCTAGCAGAACGAGACTACGTTTCACGGAGTGCGGTGTTAATGAGCCTGGAGATATGATCAATGACAATGATGCGTAGTTGAAAACTGAAAATACTCACCAACAGCTGCCTTCAGAAATTTACAGCTCCATTTGTGGTGCCTATACCAGGAATCACGCTGGCATCGCTTTGAGCAGTACCGCACTACCTGACATCCCGCACATTGCCTATGCTGAATGGCTTCCGCAGTGCCACCACAGTAACACTGTTTATAGGTTGACCAGTCAGCAGGAACGAAATAACGAAGTGTGTGTAACCGACTCGAAGAATCCAGCCCTTTCCATTTGGTGATGACTGCCTTATCATTTCCTCCTTGGATCTGAGATCGACATATAATCGTGTCGTCCGCTCGATTACGGACCACTCCCCACAGAGATTTTTATCTTGTCTCGCGATTGGTCCGAGAGTATCAGACCAGGCGTCCACATGTTTACCAACGTATGTCAAGATTTTGCCGTGAACAAGGTGATCAAATAATATCCCCAAAAACACCGCAATGAGATCACAAAGACGCTCCTCCTCTTGCTCCTCCAGGGGTCCGAAGGGACTCATACGCACCGCTATTTCAAGGGCATGCGAGCGGAGAGCTTGATGGAGCACCGAGACAGTGTCATCGGCACGTTCGAGGATAAAGGCGAGGTACTGAAAACCGGTGGCAAGGAATGGTCTAAGCATATGCCCCGTGTCCCCTCTTCCAGAAACAAGAGACTGGAGAATATGGACAGTGGAGAAAATCTCTTTGACCGACTGTCGGAGGATGTATTCTTCCCGCATCGCAGCGCTGTGCATGCTCGTTTTTAAGATAAGTCTAACACAGTGCGAAAACATTGGTACGAGCGGCTCGAGGGCCGTCGAGACTATATCAGGGTCCTTGGCCATTGATCGTATGTTCTTGACATACTTCAGAGCTGCGGAAGTCATGGTGCCAATGTCGCCTGACACTTCGAGTGCGATGGTCACAAAGACGTCATCGCGCAAGCATTCTTTAGCCATGAAGGAGAATATAGCCCGAAGATCAGTGAGGCGACCACGTTTGGAATCCTGGGCGAACGACAGCACATCCTTGTCTTTTGTGTCGAGGGCCAACAACCACAACTCTACGATCGGGCGGTAAAGGGTGGGCGTCGTAGAGAACAGTGGGTTCCCACCGCTCGCGAGGACGGCATAAAACAGTATGTTAGCAAGAAGCTTCATGGCAGGCGTCCTGTCGACGGGTCTATAGTTCGCTCTGCGCATAATGAACTGGTCGTGAAAGAAGACAAGCCAAGGAACGACACAGTTCCAGCCTGGGGCGGAGATGAGATATTTCCCAAATGATCTCGCCTCAAAGGCGGAATCATGATCGATTTTGCCCAAGGTTATCACGATCCCGACAAGTGACCACCGGGCGAGCTCAATATTCGTAGTAACAGCTGGAGTTGACTTTGCAGGAATGTAAGCTGGGTCAAGGTGCGCGTAGAAAATTGGCTGCAGTGTCGATAGCTCAGATGCGGACCAATCTGCAACTCTATCGCATAGCTGCTCAAAGTCTGCTGCTGAGTGATTTGATATCACTCCCTGAACCAGCCTCTGAACAACATAATATACCAGTGAGCCGCGATGACGAGAGGTGGATCGCAATAAAACTCGCCTGTATATGGTCGGGCAGCTGGGACAGTAATGTTGTCAAAGTTGGGGGGTAACTGCGCACCAATATGTCGTGAACCATTAATGACCTTGTCCAACAGTCACGGTCGCATCCGTACGGAAAGCAAGAGTGATCATCAATCAGCTCGGCTAAAACATTTGTTTGGTGTCAGACCCCAATCACCGCTAGCGAACAGTGATTTGTATACATCCGAGCGCAACAAACCATAATAATTAAGTCATCATAAATGATAAGGACGACTGACTTCAAAAAAATTCAGGCACGTGTAAAATAGACTACCTATAGTATTATGTACTGTATAGGAATGATAGAGACCGCCGGAAGCTCCCTTATATGTCTGTCCGGAAGATAGCAGATTTCAGAGCGACCTACATTACGACTTCTATGTTGTACTAATACACTTGAAAGCAGTTGCGCCTTCACACATGTGTCTAAATTCCTTCATGCCCATCAATACGTTCTACACAGCTTGCCGAAGGACAGTTACTCCTGCCTAGAAGTTAGCGCCCCCTCACGTATTTTCCACCACTGCTCCGCCAGAGAAACACAGACTACTCAGCATGTCTTCTAACATCGCATCCGACAGCTCCACCTTCACTTCCTCCGCAGGCCAAGGAACCAAACCCCCTGGCGATGCCACTGCGTCCTGCTTCACGTCCACAGGCAACTGCGCCACTGATACGATTTCCGGGGCCATGTCCACACGATAGAAGACTAGAACAGCCAGTGCAGCAACGCAGATGCACGCCAGCATGAACCAAAAGCCAGCAGACTGGCCTTCATAATTCGAAGGGCCTCCATTTTTCTCTTGCACACTTGCCTGGATGGAGCTGACGGCAGCCAACCCAAGAGCGGAGCCGAGTTGCAGACCGCAATTGAACATGGCGCCCACGGTGCCTGCCATGGAGGGGGGAGTGGTTCGGAATATTGCGATGCTGTGTGACTGATGGGACACAGATGTTCTGAGAATGGAATCGATACACACTTTGCAGACATCTGAATTAACATTGCACCAGCGGAACCAATGATGAAGCCGGGGAACACCAGTGGCCAGTACTTGTCAGGTCCGTCGGCAAAGGTAAATAACACGAGTGCCGCCATCATCATCAGTGCTCCAAGAAGTATCAACCACTTGGCACTGATGACCCCCGTCCACTTATTAGCGAAACTGAAGAGAAAGGCGGTGATTCCTATTGGAAGCCTGAAAGAACGTTGGCGTCGTCAGATAATTGTACCGGTCGAATTAGGCACACGGTCTTTACTCACATGTGCACAGCAGAGGACATGGCGCTCCATTGGTAAATATCTTGCCACAGGGATACATACACGGTGAAGATATTTGCCCACCAGAAATATGGCAGGAGAGCCGTTCCGAATAGAACAGAAAAATTCGGAATGAACCACGTGGAAGATGGTCTGTAAATCAGTCTAAACCAGGGAAATCTTGAAAAATAAAGTAGACGTACACAGCGGCGCCTTCAACTGGAAGGAGGGCCTCCCAGTAGAAGAATAGAGAAATCATGGCGAAGGAGATGACCAAAGGTGCGAGTGTCATTGCTGACCCCCAACCCGCAATCGATCCCGACGTCACAGCGAATATAAAGAGTATAACAGCAGCTGACCATGTGTTCGGCATGATGTGATAAAAATGACATCAATGACTGACCTGTAAGAATGGAAATTCCGATGACATCAAGACTCTTGAATTTGGTGATACCCCTCTCTCGGACCACCGGTTTTGTTTGTGGAGGAATAAGTATCGCAGAAATGAGCGTAGATGGTATAATCACTGTCGACACAAACCAAAATACCCAGTTCGGGCTGACATATTCAACAAAAAGGGCACCAGTAACTAGACCCAGTACTGAAGTGTTCATCATGAATACCAAAATCGCGTTGCATGACAGAGGCTGCTCACCGACGCCAATTGCCGCCCAAGCTCCAAATGCTGCAATGGCCACCGCTTGATGCCTAGGCTCCGGGAAGAGCCCGATGAGCAATGCTAGAGCCGATGGTACGGTGAGCGATGCGGCTGCAATGACTAGATGAGTCTTCAAGCTCGTGCCCGCAACAAAAGAACGCAACCAATTCCACTTAGGGCTCTCAGTGCGAGGAACAAGATACCATCGGAGACAAAACCGAGGCCGATAGAGATTACACCAAGAATGAATTTGCCCGTTATGAAGGTGTATTCTTCGTGAAAAGTTAATTCGACGCTCGCGAAGACACCATCGGTCAAACTGACTAGGATTGTAGATATCGCTAACTTTTCCGCTCTGCAAATTTGTGATAAGAATATTTATCAACTGATCTACAAAGGACTTACCATAAGGAGAAAGGATGCAAAAGACAATTGGTATGCGCTGATGATCCAAACCGACTGACTTTGGGTGAAGTCAAACTTCCGGACAAGGGAAGGGATAGCGGAGAACAATGCTGAGTTGGTGAGTGTATAAAGAAACTGCGTAATGCAGAAGATTAAAAGCAGAGTATATCTGTGCGCATTAGAAAGAGTGGGGCGCCGGACACTAGGTTCGGGATCCCAATCGGTGACTTTGGATGATTCGTTAGGAAGTGATGACTCCATCCAGAGTTTCTATGGGTTCGGAGCAGCACTGAAAATTTTCTGGAAAGATGGAATGCAACAGCCAGGTGGAGAGGTTCGTTATCCTGACCATGATCGCCCATTTTATAAAGAAACAGCCCCATGGGCGCAGCCTAATCATACTGCACAGCGACCGCGGAGGGAGCGGACGCGAAAGTTCCCTGATTCTGCCACGTTGGAAAGCTTACTAGGTGTATGGCCGACCTCCACTGGAACCTTGCCAGCTCAACGAGCATTCTCGTCGGATTGGTTTAATCTTTCTTCATGGAAGGAAATCGACGATTTGAGGGATCAGATAGATCAGCGTCAGAAAGAATGTAGGTTTCGTGACTAGAAACTTTGAATACACGGCCACCGCACTGACGCAGCCACGTTGCGAGTCGTATCTAAGCACTCAGTGAGTGAAGCTTTGACAAATTAACACGTTGGGTGGTCAAACCTTGAAAGAATGAAGACAGAAGGAAGACAGTCATCGTCTCTTCTTTGTTCTGATGCAACGTTTAGTCAATCATTTCTCCACCAAATAAATGAATTACATATTCCCGCTGGAGTGGGCTAAACCTGACACCCAGTGAAGACACGCAAGTTAGAGGTTGATATAAATCGAATAGGTAGATACAATAGATATAAATCGGACAGCGTTGTTGCATATCGGTACAAATAATCCTACACTCTGAAGATAAGATCAGTTTTAACTTTCTACAGTGACCGTCAGCGCATGCAGCGTGCATTTCCTGCATTTCCTTGCGCAATCCTGCATCTCCTACACATGTGACACAACGGTCGAGTTTTTTTTTCACGGTCCCGTATTTCTTACACACTTACACATTCTCAGCTACACGCTTACACACTTCGGGTAATCTGCAGTATCGCGAATCGCGAATCCAGTGTGCCCGCGTGTCGCGAGCAAGGCATGAAGTGGCGACACATCGGGGGTTTCAACATTTTGCCTCTTGCAAGATTTCAATCAAAAGCAGGTCTAGACCTGGCTAGAGCATTTCAGACCTAGCCTAGAGCGTTCCAGACCACTCTAGATTACCTTTCGAATGTAATTTCACTGGCGGCAAAAGGTGGTAAAATGTCAGTTTCCCTGTTGTGTGAGAGACACCACGCTACATACGACAAAGCTCGAAGACCCTAGATAGCTGACTAAGCTACGGTGCTACGCGGCTGCTACTCCGCCCCGCCGGTCGGGTGGAAACAACCGCATTTTGCGTTGAACATCACTGGGCATTGGTGCTAGAAACCGGCTTTTTTGCTGGATTTACCACCTCGAAAGAGAACGCTGTGACAGATGTAATTAGCAAAAAAAGAAACAAGAAAAGATTTACCGGAGTCGCGGATACTGCGAGAAGGTGCTGAGCGGACATGAGAAGGTTCCAGGAGGACATAAGCAGCTAGGCTATATGATAGGCGGCTAATAGAAAAGACGAACAAGAAGGTGAAAAAAACTGACTAGCCAGATCACCCAAGGTGGCCCGGGTGCAAGAGGGTGCAGGAGGATGCAAGCAGGCTTGGGTGAGTAACAGAAGAGCGCAGCCCTGCGCGGAAGAGTGACCGAGTCCAATGGCGTCGAGGTTTCTTCATCGGGGCGTTGAGATGTGACAATGAGATACACGTCAGGCAACCAAAGGTACTGGTGTACTCTATAGCAACTAACAATCGGAGAGAGCTAAAAAATCAAAGTCTAAATATCACCTGCCACGTCTAAAATGGCCGACCCTACAGTGTCGGTAGGCCATCTGCTGCCATCTGTCGACATATTTAGCAGTTTATTTCAAGTGGTGAATCTAAGTGGCAGACAGGTGGTTTGTATCGATGGCGGGTCGCTTTTCTTAAGAGACGATATTGGTGGGTAGAATAGTAGGAATACTCGGGGACGCGTTCGGTCTGACCAGGCGGAGCGGAGGTTATTGATGGTGGCGTCTGGTGACGTGTTGGTGAGGATGTTTAGAAAGAGTGTTGCGCAAGCCTCTTCTGGTTATGATGGACTTAGTCGAATTTTTCACGAGGACCTGTATGGCAGCTAGCTACATTCCATCTCCCGCCTCAATCTGTGCCCTTCGTCACGATCAGCTTAGTAGTCGAAGCAGACACGAAACAGGAACTCACGACGTACTCGCTAGAATGCCGAGAATACCTAGTAGTAGTAGTTCACGTTCACTAGTCTCCCGTAGTCAAACCATATAGAAGGAAGGCAGCTGTTCCTTCTTTATGTAAGCTTTATTAGTACAGAATGTCTGATTCCAAGAAAGGCGTCGAGGCAATGCCCGAAGACAGCTCAAATAAGCTCAAATAGGCAGCTGTAAAGTCGGCGCGTACTGTCTTCTCTAGTTAACGAGTTTGTCGTTGTTCTTACTCCACGATTCTCAACGCACACAATCCACTACACTCTGCACTCTGCAGGTTCTGATCGTTCAAACACTACTCACATCACACGGGTGGTCTGGATCAACTAGCTACTACAGGCTTCTACCACCTGATGCTCCCCCCTCCTCCTCTGCCAAAGAAACCGCATACTAGCTCTCACTCGCGCTCCCATCAGGTTCTTCATGCATGTTACTTTCCCGAGTAGTGAGATTTTTAGGTAGGTCGTTTTCTGTTTGTGTTTGGGTTGGGGGTGGAGGAGATGGGGTTTCGGTGTTGAGTTTGGATGCTGTCCCTGCGCTAAAGTTGAAGTTCTAAACGTTGTGGACGTGATGGTCCACGTGTGCCAGCCTTCTACAGATCTATACCACCAACTTCTAACCCCGCTAAACAACTTGAACGATACTGACCAACACTCTGCGGATGCCTCGGCGTACAGGAACACCTCCTGCGCGGTGTGGACCTTGTGGGGTTTTAGACTGCGAGCTATGCAAGGCATTTTAGGCGTGTTTTCATTTGATTTAGTTTTGGGGTGTTGTTGGCAGAATGGGCTTCTTGCGTACTACCTCACTACATCAAGATAACCGTCATGTAAGTACTGCTCTCCTCCATTGCCGACGGACTTTCTTTTGAATCTCTATTTATTGGTCGCTGTGGCTGGGCCCTGTAATGGTTGGGTTCATCCAAGATTCATCCGTGTTCACCCCATCGTAGGTCAGGCAAACATCGATGCCCTCTAAGGGTATATTTATCGACAAAGAGCGACGCGAGTGCTTTTTGGTATCTATGTATAGGTCAGAGGCAGATATATTTTCCCGTAATATTGGTTCCATTGAGGCCTACGTTTCTGACTTCCCTCCATCGCCAGGACCTTCTTGGACTAGTACGCCATGAAAGCGCTAGGTCTCATATCATACCTTTGCCTTCTGCACGTATGCACATTCGATTACCATTTGGACAGTATTCTCGGCGTGCCTACAAGGTGCACTACTTACTACTACTTATGTTAAAGTTTATACGTTTGCAGTCCACATGTTCTAGATTATTTATCCGCCGACCTTGTCACAGGTTTTGCCTATACTCTCTACCTGAAATCCGCCAGGCTCAACCATCCTGATAGAACTGCCGAGTACTTCGCGAAAAAAATCTAGGACATAAAAGCAAACCGTTTCCTACTGAGAGCTATTATTTAAGATCCCCCTCGTATTATCTAGCACAAGCCATGTGTTTCTCATTCCTCCTCGCCGTCGTTGCTTTGACAATATCAATGTCTGTCAGTGCCTCCACATGTCTGTCTCTCCACAGTGCTTGCGGGCCCGGCAGCTTGAATACTCCTGACAAACCATGCTGCCCAGGTCTGACTTGTGATCCGGGTGCGAGTGTGAGTCGTTCGCTTTGCATCCCACATGACTCACCCTTTGCGCCTTGTACCAATAGCATCTCGACATACCTGCTACGTGCCTTCGTAGCAAGAGCTTGGAAGCCTGAACATGTTGCGATAGTGAGTCGTGTTTCTGCTTTCGCGTTGGTACATCAGTTAATCGTACGATCTGCAGCGGAGTTGGTACAGTGGTTGGTCGGACGATATGCAGCGGAGTTCATCAACTTGAATATGCTTGTTTTTGTACAAATTTCCCTGCTGCCTCGACCAGACTCTTGCTTGAATATCCTCCCACGTGAATTCTGATTGATTAAAGACACTCATATTACTCGAATGTACATGAGGCCACCTTACGCAGTTAAGGCCTTCAGAGACCTCCTCCTCCTCCTGTGGGAATATTCTACACTCTAGGGGTATGCTAAATTTGGTAATTTACGATGCCACAACAACGGTTGAGCAACGAATACTAACCAAAACTCTGCAGATGCCTCAGCGTACAGGAGCGCCTCCTGCGCGGTGTGTACCTTGTGGGGTTTCAGACTGCGAGCTATGCGAGGCATTTTAAGTGCGTATTTTCATTTGAGGGTGTTGTTGGCAAACGGGGTTTTTTGTGTCTACATCAAGATAACCACTGCTCTCCTCCATTACCGACCGACTTTCTTTTGAATCCCTATTCGTTGTCCGTTGTTGCTGGACCCTATAACGGTTGGATTCATACAAGATTCATCCGCGTTCATTCCGTCGTAGTTCAGGCAAATATTGATGCCCTCTAGTAAGGGTATGTCCATTGACAAAGGGCGACTCGCTTCTTAGCATCTATGTATAGGTCCGATGCAGGTGTATTTTGGTTCCACGGATGTCTACATTTCTGATTTCTCTCCGTTTCCAGGACTTTCTTGGACTGGTGTGCCATGAAAGCGCTAGGTCTCAGATTCCACCTTTGCCTTAACTGCACGCATGTGTGCACATTAAACCGTGATTAACATGTGGACGGTATTCTCGGTATTGCCTACAAGGTGCAATACTTGTTAACTTGTGTTAGAATCCACATGTTTGCAGTCCATGTGTTCTAGATTGTTTATCCGCCGACCCTGCCACAGGTTTTGCCTGTACTCTCTGCCTGAAATCCGCCAGGCTCAACCATCCTGATAGAACTGCCGAGTGCTTTGCGGAGCAAAAATCTAGGACATAAAAGCAAGCCATCCCCCTGCTGCCAGTATCAGAGCTATTATTCGAGATCCCCCCCTCATTTTACCTAGCACCAGCCATGCGTTTCTCATTCCTCCTCGTTGTTGCTGCTTTGACGACATCTATGTCCGTCAGTGCGTCTCACAAGCCATGCCTGCCTATCTTCACCGCTTGCGGGTCCTACAGCTTGGACAGTGACAAAATATGCTGCAAAGGTCTTGGTTGTTATGACCAGGTCAGTATAAGCCGGTCGCTGTGCATCCGGGATTCAACCCCTGACTCACCCTTTGCGTCTTGTACCGATAGGTTTTCGGCGACCCTACTAGTAGTACGTGCACTCCCCCCGAAGCCTGAACATGTTGCGATAGTGAGTTGTGTTTCTGCTTTCACGTTGGTACAGTGGTTGATCTCACGATCAGCGGAGTTAATCAATGTGCTTGCTTCTGTACGAATTTCCCTGATGCCTCGACCAGACTCGTGCTTGAATAACATTAGAAAACCTCCCGCGTGAATTCTGATTGATAACAGACACTCATGTTACTCGCTCGACCTGCGTACTTTTTTGCGAATGCACTAGAAAATCGGTGTAGTCAGCCGACATCGAAGTACGTGTACGTCAAGATAGTCCAGAAGGAAGAAGGGGCTAGTGTCGGGGACACTCGAACTTCGTCATTCTGCCGGACACTGCTCCTCCTGAGCCACTTGACGAGCGCGAATGAATAGATCTCAAACACGATATTGATTTGGATAGATGAGATATGTAACCTCATTTTCCTCCTACCCTCGGCACTCATTTTTTCTCGGTTGATTGTGATTTGTGACACGAAAGATGATGGGCTTGAAGTCTGTGCCTTGGCACCCAAGAGAGGAGACGCACGCCGTGACGCGGGTGGACGACACTCCAAAATCAGATATGATTACGAGGCTCAAAATACCATCCGAAGCATGAAGGGCATGACCCTGTCAAAGACATTATTCAAGTCCATGATATTAATATTGGTATACATACCAGCACCAGTCTTTCCACCTCCTGGTCACGGGATAGTCACCCACCGTCAAATACTAATCCTGAAGCTTCGCCTCAGACCTTCAAACCTCACCATCCCGCCCAAAAAATCAAAATCAATAACATTACAAACAGGTATCAAAAAATGCATATGCATAGGTTACAATGTCAATGAAACACAAGTACTTAATTTATCGCAAGCACACCATACAACGACAACAATAGTAACGACACAGAATACACGCCAAAAAAAATGCAAGAAAACCAAAACGGAACGGAAAACTTGTCGACAGCGTTTAAAAATATAAGTAAGCCCCCGCATGAAGCGCAGTTAGGCATAAAAGTTCGAAACACCACGTACCCAGTCCAAGCCCACCTCAAATCAAGCCCACCCCAAACCAAAAATACATACCTTACTTCCCCTGAAACCCCCTCACAATCGTTCGTATCCCCCCAAACCTCTGCTTCGCAGGCGGCGAACACGTCGTCATCGGCGCTGGCTGCCATCCCTCCAATGTCGAGAACCCCATCCGGGATAACTTGTTCACGCTTCGTGCTGCAGGTGAGGATGAGAGGTTGCGTGTTGCTGGCGATGCGTTGCGTGATGCTGGGGTTGGGATGTTGCGTGCAGTTGTCGATGAGATATTCCGTGCAGTTGGCGATATGTTACGTGTTGTTGATATGTTACGTGCAGTTGGTGATATGTTACGCGTCTTTGAGACGTTCTGCCCCATATGCGTAGGAGCTGTCGAAATGCGCGAGAGCGGTATGCCCATCAGCTCTGCATCATCTGTATCATACAGGTCAGGCGTACGCGCCCGCGGTGGGGTATACGCAAACGTCTCGAACGATTTCTGTGTGCGTGGGCTGGAGAGCGGGAGGGGGTGTGGATGCTGATGCGGGTCCTGGTGCGGGAGGGGAACGGGAAGGGGGAGGTGTCGTGATCCAACGGGGGACTGCGTGTGCGTCGGGTGTCGTTTGAGGTTCGCGTGATATCGTCATATTGCGTATCTGAGAACGTCCGTCTGAAATCAGCAGAGGCTGTCCGTCTAATTTCGTCTGATGGTACCCGCGTACGATCTTCGAGCGACCTATCTTCACTAGATGTACCTATATCACGCATCAGCATCGTAAAAAAAGAAAACAAGAAAGAGAAGAAAGACCACGCACCACTTCCACTACTACTTGAAAATTGCATATTCACAACTCCAGGCCTACTGCTCGACAACAACGACCTGTCGCCCAATCCCACGCCATTACCCACAGGCGTCGTTCCAGCATCGACAACAACAACCCCCTCCTCCTCTTCCTTGATCCTCCTCTCAAAAGCCAAACTCTCCCCAAACATAGCCAGCCTCAAGCTCAAAGGCGTCCGTCCAGTCCCTTTATCCCTCCTCGTACTCCCCTCCAGATCAACAGCCAAATCAAGCACAGATTGCTGTGCCCGCTGCACGAGGGCTTCTACCTCTGCTCGTGAGGAGATTGAGGAGATGTCGAGACCTGAAGGCGTTCGGCGAACGCGAGGGGAAGTGGATAGTGCGTCTATGCCCAAACCCAGACCCACGCCCATGTCTGTGTCCATTGAATGGGATGCGATCAGGGGGCTGGCGCCGGAGAAGAGGGGCGTTGGAGGCCATGGTGCATCACTCGAACTAGACTGAGTGTACGTGCTCGCAGTGCCAGTCGTACCCGCGCTACTCACCGAATCCCCACGCAAGCGGCTCTCAGAAGACGCGATAACATAGTCAGGAGGAGGTACGTTGATGCTGAATGGGAACTGAGCGGGTACCATGACCGCGTGGTCGGGTGTGAGCATGATATTGGGCGCGGATTCAGAGTGGATAATCGGTACGCCGTATTCCTCTTCTTCGTCTTCGAGGTCGCCGAGCTCGACGGCGTTGACGAGGATGGGGGGAGGGGACTGGAGGATGCGGGGGGATTCTTCGATCGTGTCCGGTATACGATCGGCGTCGGGGGCGCCTGGTGACATGCTGAGAGTACGTAAGCGGCTCTCCTGTGGAACGTTCCCGCGGGAGGGGGGGCTGCGCGCGCGCGCGGTGAGGGAGGCAGCGTTGGATGTGGAGTTGTCGAAGCGGATGATACGGGATGAGGAAGGTTGTTGAGAACCCTGACTTGAGGAAGAGCGGTTGTGCATGCGTAGTATGCCGGGTCTTACAGGAGCTGCTGGCTCGGGCGGTATTTCTTCGCTTGGGGTGGACGAGGAGCTGGCAGCTGAGACAGAACGGTGCCATGGGTTCGGGTCGGGGGAAGGGCGCGCGGGGATAGTCTCGAGTCTGCGGCGGTGGAGGTCGTGTGTGGATGTGTCGTGCGGAGATGACGAAAGAGGTGTGGAAAAGACGCGTGGGGAAGATATAATTGCTGAGGTGGATACGGGCGATGCTGTGCCAGGGACAGGAACGGGCGATGAAGAAGGGGGAGAATTGATTGGCGGCTCTGAAACGGAGGTAACGCTAGATGAAGAACCATCGATATTTGATTTCTTGAAGAGGCTGAGGAGTGACAGCTTTGAATTTAGCTTTCGCGGAGGGGTAGCCTCGGCGCCTGTACCAGCTGATCTCGGGCGACGCGAGGTTTTAGGGAGTGAGGGGCGTAGAACTTGTTCGTCGTAGATATCAGGGAGAGATGGGCGGCGACCAGACGAATCTGGAGGTGCCAACTCGTCTTGTTCAGACGAGCCGGAGCGGACAAAGTGTGGTTTTTGGTCGACATCAGGAGCACCGGTTGCAGACTTGAGTGCAGTGAGAGCATGGTCGATAGAGCGTTTGAAATGTAGCTTCTTCCTTAGGGAAGATTCAAGGTGCTCGACAGCATGATGGGATCGCTCCCTAGAGGAATGGCTGTCGCTCTCAGGAGTATTTTCACCGCGTGCACGTACAAAAATCTCTCTTGCGAGGATATCGGCACACTCTATCCAGCCATTCTGACGGGCAATGATCTCAGGGGTAATGCCATGCTTGTCAGGACGATTAGGGTGAGCGCCGTGGATGAGGAGGGTGCGAACGACGCTTGCGTGACCATTTGCAGCCGCAAAGTGAAGTGGTGTTGCGCCAGAAGTGCCGACTATAGGAGCGGCAGAGTCACGGCTACGATCGGAATATCTGCGGGGAAGTCTGTGGAGAGTATTATTCATTTATGATCAGGGTTATAGTTACGATGGAGACTGACCTAGATGCATTGACGTCTGCTCCATGCTGGATAAGGAGATCAACGACGAGATCATTACCACCTGCACAAGCAGCGTGTAGCGGGAGAACGCCGTCTAGGACGGAGTTGACGGGTTGGCCATGTTTTAGAGCATACTGAACTAGGCCGATGTCGCCTGATACAGCAGCTGAATGAAGGCCAAGATGTGGGACTGTAGATGGTCAGGAAACAAAGAAAAGTAAGTGGATAAAGACATACATTCAGTGGAGACGTTAAATTTTGCCTCTGCTCGGTTTCTCGAAGGGGCGAGCATGACAAGATATGCCTAAAAACTACAGGATTGGGAAATAAAGTACCATGGGATGAATGGCTGTATACACAAGTGCGGTGTCGCTGGTGATGATTACAACAAAGTTAACTAAAGCTCCGGTATCTCAATTACCCATACCATAATGCTGACAAAGCATCTAATGACTTGTCATCGAACTCAACTTCCACTTTACCGCAGCTAACCACATGCTTCATCTTTGTTTATCACTTATCGAACTAGCGCCAGCTGAGGCGTGCCGCCACTAAACAGCAATACTAGTAGCAACCTATCTGCTGCAATATTGCAGAATTTGACCAATCAAATATAGGCTGTCCTTTGTGCCATCAAACGTAACGCCCTCTCACGGAGTCGACGATGTTTCAAAGTTTTCTGCTCTTGTACGCGACATGATCGCTGACTTGTATCGACCACTGACACTTGGTGCGGAGTACCCACGCGGCGATAAGACTATCTGACAGTGCACAGGAAATTTGACATTCACGACAGGAGAGAAGACGCCCATTCCGTCGGAGGGATCTTCTGATTCAACGTCTTCATCTATTCTACGTTGATTACGAATGTGAGTTTGGAGCAAAGAATTTGATTAATTACGTAGCGGGGTCCGAGCGGAGGAATAGTCTTCGAGCGAACAGCAAACCCGGTGCGCCCGATATTCTCGTTTTTGTACCGGATCATTGTTCCCCGTCGCGTAGCTCGGCGTGTTCGCATTTCTTTTTCTGCACCAGGCTGATCTCCACTCCAGAAAGTCTTTGTGTCGCTGATCTGCACGATTCATATTCCCAAGAGCTACATAATCTGTCACCCAAATTCTGTCCATGCGGCTTTGTCCGGAGTTACAAACTGCCCAGCCGGAACACAACCGAAGATGTTTTTTTCTCGCTTCATCTCGAGCGGTGGTACTGTTCGGGTGACCCTTACAGCCTCTTCAATGAAAAGCTGCTCCTGCGGATCTGAGTCCGCACTTACTACCCGGATGCGGGTTAAATGCTCAGGCTGCCACACGAGCCACTTTCTCGGACAACTTGCGAAGCTGATACCAGTGTCGGAGTGGTGAGTCTTGTTCCCGAGTCCGCTTCCTACTAAGAGTTTGGGTAGTCTGTAGAAGTTCACTAAACGCGTCGTCGGGCTACCCACGTCTTGTCGGCAAGATTCACCCAGAAAGCGCTTTCACAAAAAATCTCACCTATACAGTAGTGTGATGACTACGTAATATGTATGAGTCGTTATTGAAAACTTATTAGCAAGGACCAACAATATTTTATTATCTGGGACTCGAAGGTTCTGCTCTTGTTTGCAACATACTATACCTACGTTCACCGGCTCTGTAAGATCGCTGAGTTGTGCCGCTCACATGTTGGGCTCACTGGGAGCGAGTGTTCGAAGATGTGCAAAGCACAGGCAGCAATAAGATTTGCAGGCCACAGGAAATTTGACAAAAGAGAAGAATCTTGCCCATTACGAGGGATATTAATGTTTCAATGTCCAAATGTATGGTATAATCAGTGGCATTCAGTTGCAAACATGATACATTTAACATTACATTACGGTACATACGGATGAGTTGTGATTGTAAAAATCGTATTGTAAGGCTGAGTGTGAGGTCGGTAGGGAATTGTGATCGAAACGAGATAGAAATGAGACGCGTTAGTAGGTAACACGAAGAGGGATTGGTCTAGGACTGGAGACGAGGACTTTTCGAGAGGCTTTTCGGTCGTACTTGGAGCGGGGATCTCACTGTAAGATTCGCTGTAGGTATGAGTGTACATTGGTAGTATACATACGTTTTTCGAATACTTGTTTAAGCCGGATTGAGCGTGAAAAATACTTGATGGCGAAGTGAAAATACTTGGTGGCGAGGTGAAAATACTTGATGAAGGAACAGAGATGGCGTAATGTGAGCACAAGGTAAGGTACTGAATGGTAAGATGAAAAGAGATATATCCGCGTGACTCGGATGCGAAGAGTAACCCTCTTCGCATCAGTGACTCACGCGGACGACTCCGAACGTATGGTTCGTGCGTCTTTTTGAAGCACGGTCGGTGCGTAAAGGACATAACGTCCTTACAGTATCACAGTAAAGTTACAGGTCCAAAAATACGTTCGAGAAATACTTCGGCACCATGAACGATCGCCCCAATCACTCCATCCGGCCGTATCACAAACACCTTCGTCTGGGTATCTTCGACGAGGTAAGCTGAATGAACACAACCCTCCTGACCAACAAGAACGAGATCAACAGGGGATGCAATAGGGATCGCTGGTGCCGATGGAGGCAAGACGACTGCCGATCGTACAATAGTTTTGTCGCATGCCTCCAGCGCGCCCAAAATAGGGGTAGCGTCTGCGAGACTTGGGGTGAACACAACCACTGTGTGATGCCAAGGTTTGTAAAGACCAAAAAGCGTCTTCACGTCAGGCTCCACGTTGCACCTTCAGCATGTTAGGCGCATCGGGCGCCCTGTCCCCAGCCTCAAGATGCCCCTCGTCAAGCACACCGTAGGCCTGAATAGGTTTCCCTTCACCTGGCGTCACAAACTCGTCGAGAACGATGCTGCTGAACCGACAATTATTACCAAGCATAGAGAGGATGGGGGTTCGTCGGGTCGTCGGGTCTCCTGTCGTCATTGTTTGGTTGTCAATCGAGGTGGTCATCTCAAGCATATCCGAGATGACAGGGAGACGCTCGGAGGTGCATGTCTCGAGGAGAGACTTGTCGGCAAGTCCTTTTTCCGAGCGCAAGTTTCCAACCTAGATTGAACTAGTGTCCTTGGCGTCAGTTTTATCCTACGTGCTGCATGTACCTGACTCACAGTATCTTGTACACTTGAATTAAGTCCCTGTTCATAGACGAATGAGCAAGTATCAGCATTAGCTCAGACGATACAGACCTGACCACCGGTTGGACTGTGTACGCTAGACATGTGTCAGCACTTGTTTGCCAAGAGGGCACTCAAAGATCGACATACTGAGCAGCATCTATACTTCCAGCAGCACATGTGCATCAATCTCTCAAAAAGAGAAGTACATACCACCAGCAACAAACACGCGACCCTCGCTAAACTTGTTCACTATCCAGATATTGGCTCTAAAGCAAACCGATGAACGTCCATCGATGTATACAAAAGATACACACCCACTGGAACTCGCTCACCCAAACCAGCTTGTTGAATGTAACCTCCGTAGGTATCAGCGAAGCGATGGTCTCGAAGACGAGCTCCTGGCTCTGAGCGATCTTCGTCACGTCTATGTCTTGGCCGAAGATGAAAAATTGCCAGCTATCTCGTCTGTTGGACGCAATGTGATGCTGTGGGTTGTCAATACATATTCAAGTCTCCAGAGAAAAAAACTGCACATACGCTCGCTCATTAACGTTTCCAAACCGGTGCCAATACTTTGATCAGTTTGAGGAGCAGTCTTCCATCAATTTGATAACAGACGCACCACTCTATTAAGACAGACGTCCTTCAAACGAATATCTCCAGTCACAATCCGGGTAGTCTCTAGTCTCACCCAAAAACGTGAGCCCAAGCTGTTTGCGCACCACGCCTACAAAAGCTCAGTCTCATGCAACCCGGTGCGTTCGATCACCTCTCACCTTTAGCACCATCAGCGCCGATCATCCACTTGGTACCGAAGGTCTCTGATATGCCGTTCTTCGCGAGAACAACTGTAACACCCTGATCGGACTGCTCAAACGAGCGCAGTTGGGTGCCCATCTCGACAGAGCACGAGAACTTCCCCAAATGGCGTATCAGAATCACATCTAGGAGCCGTTAACCCATCATCTTGGGCACGTGCTAGAAAACAAAAACTATCATCACGAAAGCTTGAGAAAACTGCGGGTTTGCGTACGAATGATATCGCTGGGGTAGGTTCCACATGTGGGACCATCGAAGATTCCCCCTGAGGTTCCAACGTCCCGGGCTTGTACGAACGTATGGTGGGGACTGATTTACCCAGGTCGTTGACTTCTGAGATGTCCAGGAAGTTGAAGAGCGAGAGAGAGCGTTGCTAGATCGTGTGTTCAGTGAGACTATGGGGTGATATGACAAGCGAACGTATGACAAACCCATATTCCGGGACCACACCGTCCGATGCGAGGGTTGGTGTCTTTATCAATGATGCAAACTGGAATGCCGTTTTGGAGGAGCGTCAACGCTGCTACCAGACCTACCGGCCCAGCACCTACCTAAGAACGAGGAATTCAGCTGAGGCCCAAACTTCCATTAGGCAGGTCACTTACGATTAGCACAGGAGGTTGAGTGTTGTTCCTATGTAGAGGACGATAGGTTTGAAGGTTTTTGGTTCAGCATAAAGGGAAATGGGGTCGTTATAACACAGGGGCAAAGCCGATTAAAGCGCGCCTCATGTGTCGTTGTCTTTAAACTGCATTATGCATATTACTATCCTTACGGAAACAACTTATCAACATTACACATCCCAGCACATCCCATCGGATGATTTGTCAAAATGCTCGCCAGTCTTTCATGACGTTGACTGAATGGCTGCGCGAACGCTGATGCGGCTTGAATACCAACCAGACGTTTCATGATTAGCTGACATGCGAACTTTGAGTGTCACGGTGTTATTGGTTTTGATTCTAAGCACATAAGTAACTTCGAAGAAACTTGCACGTGCCTTGCGGGCTTCTCTTGAGTCCTTAGCATAGGCAAATATGCTTCGTGAATTGGTGGGGAATATTATCGAGCCATGTCAGGTTTGGAGTTCATTGAGTCTCCGCTAGTACACGGTGGTGACTACCTTTAGGGTGGGTGTGATTGTGGGGTGTCCTTTTTCGATCGTTCATAGGTTCAGCAGATTCGAAGATTGTCTGAAGTCAGAATAGATCAATGCCTTGAAAACAGTTAACTTGGCAGTCTCAGTTGGCCATGGCCACTGCAGTCTGCGTGATCCGCCCGCGGTAGTGGAAATAAGGCGTGCGTCTGGTAAGTAAGTACTTACAGCCTGAGCCTGAGATCTGACTTTCAAAGTCCGAACTGATGCGACTCCTTCGAACCACCACCTCCGGATCCGCCAGACGCGCCTCCTCCGCTTTTGGCAACACTTAGGTAATCCAGTGCTGGATTGTTAATGATCAGCTCTGCTTCCTCGCAGACTCAGATTCACCGGAGGTGCTCATCATTGCGCATCATCATCATCATCGTGAATGGACGCAATTCATTTACTGGAGAGATGATCTTAAAAATTTATTCAGTCTTGTCGCCAGCAATTGTTTTGCGTCACCCAGCATTGCATCAGTACTGATAATATTTGTCTCCAGGAATTTGCCGAATGATATCAACGCATCGAGGTGTCAACGAGTTGGCCAAGGTCAAGGGTATTTAGTTCTGGTACTTAGGTCCAATCCCTTCTCGCAGAATCTCAAGTATTGTACCTCACTTCGCTCACACTGATCTAAATCTTCGACGACTCATGATGAGCGAAGACAATAGGCTGGGACCTTCTCTGGGAGCCTGCAGATCCGGCGAAGCGACTGCTGGTGAGACCTCGGTACATGGCCTCATGGCATCGCTTTCGCTGAGCGCTCATGGAATTCATATTGCTGCCTCTGGTGCGTTCTTCATCCAGAGAAAACCCCGCAGGGAAGTCTGGCAGTCTGTGCAGAAGGTTGCCAAAGGCCTCACTAAAACAATTTCTGTGCGTAGACGTGAATGCTGATTTTTTTCTCCGAATGTGTCTTATTATCGTACAGAAACGCTTCAAGTCATCCCGCAACCGCGTCCCTATTGTCCAGAACGTTGTTCGTGAAGGTGCTTTATCGAATCAGCACTTGAATACCGAGGTACGTGCTCAAACTCGTTACTGAAGTCCTTCAGTTTTCTCAGAGGTCCCAGGACGCATCGCATCTGCATGTTGCCATAGATGACCAGCATCCCACTATGTCTGAGAATTCTAGTGGCTATGTGAATCAAGCACTGTCCAGAGAACCTGCTTCGCAGGTATGTTTGTCTGATTATTCGCCTGTTTGTCTTTAACTTTTGATGGTCACACAGGTTCAGGCTATCCCTTCTACTCTGCAGGAAGGGACTAGTCATCAATTGGTCGACTTCGGGGTGCCCATGAGGCTTTAGAACACATAAATCTACTCGGGAGCCATGCGACATCTATAGCATCCTCCGGCCAAAATGCCCAAGCGGATCTCAATATCTTAGACGATTTCCACGTCACATATCTCCAACCCCTCAGGATTTTCGACACTGCCATTGAGAAGACTGCGAACGTACGTGTCGTTCTCATTGATTGGAAGCGAACTAATCAAGTTGCATAGGTACATCCATATGCAAAGATGGCGCTGGGAGTGCTGTCCGCTGCTTCCAAGGTTTGTGTGGTTTCGCCCTCAGTGTTATCTCCTGGTCAGCAGTTATTGATTATGTACAGATTATTCTTGCTCAAGCGGATCACGACCAATCGGTACATCGTTTTCTCAAGAAATTGGATGAAGTTTACCTCTTCATGACCCAAGATGACACTCTTGACCACATCTCATCCATGCACAGTATTGTCGGACGGATCGCTCAACAGACTCAAGAGTGCGCGCGTTTCATCAGGGACTACTCGGAGACCCAGAGCTATTGTGAGTACTCGAACTACTACACTTCGCGCATGGTGAATAATTGATGTAATGACAGGGGAGAGACTCAAGAAAAATGTTGTTTCGGAAACGGATGTCATGATTACACGGTACAGCGACGCTTTGGATGGGCTTATGCAAAAATTTCGGGACCAAGCTCTTCGGGACGCAGGCATCATCGTTCAATGTAGGGGTAAGGATTCGCACGTGCTTCCGACTTTACATTCACTCATACCCCTTCACGCGAAATGCTGGATCTCAGAGGTATGACTTACGCAGCGGGCGCGGGATTAGATACCACGAAACAATGCCTACCAGGGACGTGCACAGAAATTCTATCCTAGATCACTGACTGGATCAATGATAGTGGAGCCACTGCTCAGCGTGTGCTGTGGCTATCTGGTCCTGCCGGCAAGGACAAATCAGCCATCGCCCACACGATTGCTAACTGGTTCAACGAGATGGGAGGGCCTGGTTCATGTTTCTGCTTCGACCGGCACCGTGCCGCCGAAAACCGTCACGAGAAGGTTTTTTCCACCATCGCTCGCGACCTTGCTGATCGTGATCCGGAGATGAGACGAGCATTGGCGAATGCAGTCGAGAATGCTAATTCGCTCAAGAATACAACGGATATCATCCAACAGTGGCGCAAGCTTCTCATGGAACCACTGGGGAAGCTCTCTGGGTCACGTGTGGGACCTGTCTTGATCGTGATTGAAGCGCTGGATGAGAGCGGTGGAATCGAAACCCGCCGCAACCTTCTCCGCATACTTGCTGATAAACTTCAGAAGCAGGGTGTTCCCAATATCACCGAACTCCCACCAAACTTCCGGATCCTCGTCACCTCTCGCCCACTTTACGATATTGGTAAAGAATTTGACGATGCTCAGCAAATTCTACGGTTGTCCATGGATGATATTCCACCACAAGTTGCGGAACATAGGTGCTGATTCATTCTTCAGAGCTGACACTACAAGATCAAGAATCAAGATGTTATACATACTCCACGGCGCATAATTTCAGTTACAAACGCGATACGTTACTTTCACAAAATATTCTGGAGAAATACTTCTTCACACCTCCTGCACCATGAACGATTGCCCCAACCACACCATCCGGTCGTATCACGAACACCTTGGTATGGTTAGCTTCGACAAGATAAGCCAAATGAGCATAGCTCTCCTGATCAACAAAAACGTGATCAGCGGGAGATGCGACGGCCGTCACTGGTGCCGATGAAGGCAGAATGACTGCCAATCGCACCACGCTTTTGTCGAATGCCTCTAGCGCGCCCAAGATCGGGGTAGCATCTACGAGACTCGGCACGAACACAAGCACCGTGTGATACCAAGGTCTATAAAGACTAAAAAGCGTCTTCACGTCAGACGCTCCACGTCCCACCTGCAGCATGTTGGATGCATCAGGTGCCCGGTCTCCAGCCTCGAGATGCCCCTCGTCAAGCACCCCGTACGCATTGATAGGTTTCCCCTCTACTGGGATTACAAACTCGTCGAGAACGATGCTGCTGGACCGACAGTTAACACCAAGCATGAAAAGGATGGGAGTTCGTCGGCTCGTCATCTCTCCTGTCTTCATTGCATGGTTGAGAATCGAGGTGGTCATATTGAGCATCTCCGAGATGACAGGGAAACGCTCGGCGTTGTATGTTTCGAGGAGAGACTTGTCGGCAAGTCCTTTTGCGACGAGCGCAAGCTTCCAACCTAGATTGAACTGGTGTCCTTGGCGTCAGTTGTATCCTACGTGCTGCATGTACCCGACTCACAGTGTCTTGTACACTTGAATTAAGTCCCTGTTCATGGATGAATGAGCAAGTATCGGCATTAGCTCAGACGATACAGACCTGACCACCGGTTGGACTGTGTACGCTATACATATGTGAGCACTTGTTTTCCAAGAGGGCACTTAAAGATAGACATACTGAGCAGCATCTATGACAACTTCCATCATCACAAGTACATCACTCAACAATAAAACCACATACCACCAGCAACAAACACGCGACCCTCGCTAAACTTGTTCACCATCCGGATGTTGGTTCTACAGCAAACCGATGAACACATCGACACATACAGAAAAGACAAAAACACACCGCAGCTCGCTCACCCAAACCAGCTTGTTGAACGTGACCTCCGTGGGTATCAGCGAATCAATGGTCTGGAAGAGAAGCTCCTCGCTCTGAGCGATCTTCGTCATGTCTAGTTTTTGGCCGAAGATGAAAAATTGCCAGCCATCCTCGCCGACTTCGTCCGTTGGACGCAATGAGATGCTGTAGGGCGTCAATACATCTTCAAGCCTCCAGAAAGGAAACTGTACACACCCTCGTTCATGAAAGTTTCCAAATCGGTGCCAATACTTTTGACCGGATGAGGAACCATCTTTCAAGCAATATCAAACAGACGCACCACTCTATCAAGACCAACGCCCTTTAAACGAATATCCCCAGTGACAATCCAGGCATCGTCTCTGGTTTCACCCAAAAACATGAGCCCAAGCTGTTTGCGCACGACGCCTGGAAAAGGTCAGTCACATTCATCCCAGTGCATTCGACGGCATCTCACCTTTAGCACCATCAGCACCGATCATCCACTTCGTATCAAAAGTCTCTGATATACCGTTCTTTGCGAGAACAGCAGTAACACCATGGTCAGACTGCTCGAATGAAAGCAGTTCGGTACCCATCTCCACAGAGCAAGAGAACTTCTCTAGGTGACGTCGCAGAATCACATCTAGGAACTGTTGACCCATTACCTTGGTGAGGTGCTAGATAATACAAAAAGTTGTCATCGTGAAAGCTTGAGAAAAGGGTGACTCTACGCACGAATGGTACCGCTGGGGTAGGATCCATATGCGGGACCACCGAAGTTTCGGCCTAAAGGTTCCAACGTCCCGGGTTTGTACGAACGGATGAGAGGTGTTAGTTTCCCCCGATCGTTAACTTCTGGGACATTCAGGAAGTTGAAGAGTTCGAGGGAGCGTGGCTATATCACGTGTTCAATTGAACATAGGGTGATATGACAAGTGGGTGTATGAGCATACCCAGATTCCGGGACCACGCTGTCCGATCCGAGGATTGGGGTCTTTATCAATGATGCGAACTCGGACGCCGTTTTGAACGAGCGACAACGCTGCTACTAGACCCGCTGGCCCAGCGCCTACCTAAGAAGAGGAATCTAGTCGAGGTAACTTCTATCGTAGGTAAATCACTTACGATTAGGACCGGAGGATGAATGTTGTTCATATGTAAAGGCTGATGAGTTTAGAGGTTTTTGGATCAATGCGAAGGACAATCGTGTCTAGGGGCAAAGCGGCTTAGCTTTATAGGGCTAGGGCTGGTTGAAACTCAAGCCAGGCCCAGAGGCGAGGTATCTATCAGTAATCGTTTCGAAATACTTCGGCTCCCGAATCTGAAATGAACAAGATACGGACGTGTGCTGTGCAGCGTCACGTAAGAACACGATGAAGGACCTCAACGGCTTTGTCGGTTGCAGCATACCCATGATTGATGAAGTTCCCCAACACAGTCGTCATCGTCCTCTATCCTCGTCCTTCACCTTTCACCACTTATCGCTCCGTCTATTGACAGTGGCACCTGACGGCGCTACCACAAGGCTCGCATTCTGCCGCAGTGGTCTAGATCGCATCATTCCTGCCCGGCAGTATCTTGCCAAACGGTGTTGGAGGTCTTGATCTATGCTGTAAGTGAGGTAATGCACGTATCTTGTTCGTCTTAGGTGGAGGACTCGTATTTTTGGAACAATAACAGGTTAACCATTCAGGCCTGGGCCATTGTGATCTTGCAAAAGTAAGTAGTCACTTACCGTCAGTGTGGCATGTTACCAGTCTTCCCGTCATTTACCTTGTGCATGTATGGCTTGCTGTGCATCAAGGGGTCTTAATATTCTCTCGGCATCTTTGATCTAGGCAGTGGTGCTTTACGTTCAGTTCTGAAGATAAGCTCTTCGCTTTCTGCGACATTCGTCAGGTTTAGGTGTTGGCCGAACGTGAAAAGTAAAGAATTGCCAGCTATCCTCGCCGTTTTTGTCTGTTGGACACATTGTGATCTGTGAGTCGTCAATACATCTCCAAGCTTCCAGAGTAGAAACGGTACATACGGTCGTCCATGAAAGTTTCTAAATTAGTGCTAACGTACTACGACCAGATGAGGAACAGTCTTTCAAAGAATAGAAAACAGACGCAACACTCTATCGGGGTCGACGCCCTTTAAACGGATATCTCCAGTGATGTCCGGTCACCGTTCTGCGCGAGGAACAGCGGTACACCCTTGATCATCGGACTGCTCGAGCGAGCGCAATTCGATGCCAATCTCGACGAGGTACGAGAATACATAGATGGACGAGTTCTGATTGTAAACGTCGTTAATAACAGACCACTATAGCACAGGTCCAAAAATATTTTCCAGAAATGTTTTCTTCACGCCGTTTTCACCATGATAGCCTAGGAAAGAGGAATTCAGCGGAGGTAACTTCCATTATAGACAGGTCAACTTTAAAGTCTTACAATTAGCACAGAGGGGTGAGGGGAACCCATACGTCGAGGTTGACGCCACGAACTCCAAGCCCCTAAGTGCGGCACGTGCCGTTGTCCTTGATGTATGCATATATCGGTATCATTAAGCTTGCCGACATTACATATCCCTCATTAGATGCTTCGTGACATTGATTGGACGGCTGCGGACGCAAGATGTTTGGCAGCTGGCTGACGTGCGAATTTTGGAGGCACAGGAACGTGTCACAAAACAATATACTGCTTGCCACTTGTACATCTGCAACGAACACTCGGCGACCCTCGCGCGCTTATTTCTAAACTTGTTCACCATGTGACATCTATTGGCCCTGCATTCAATGAACGCCTATCGACACGTACAGAAAAGACAAGCGACGCACTAGAACTCCTTCAAATATAGAAGGAACGGCTGTTTGAGTCCTATCGGTCCCAAGGGAGACTTGCCTACCCAAGCCAGCTTGTTGAACATAGCCTCAGTGGGGGGTTAAAGAGGGCCTCGATATGGTCGCGAGTCGCGACGATAAGCAGCACTACTTAGTATTACTACGGACTCATCGCATCAGTTGTTTTTATATTTATCCTCGATCTTGCCTCAATCGCATCCACAAAAGCACTAATACTACCCCTCACTATTACCCTGAGTGTCAATATTAATGCAACAACGAAAAGTTCAAATGTGGAGCCCCTGATACAGAAGGAACGACTACCTTCCTGACCACACCGGTGATTGCCTGAGTATTATCATGTCATACTAGTATTAAGTTAGTTTGCTAGCTGTAACTCATCAGCTAGACTGAACCATGACCTGTCCGTACTACCATTAATTCGTGAGTTGAAATGGTCATGAGTCTACTCATCAGCGGAGATGATAGTTTTAACTTCTCACAATTCCATTGAATAACATCGATGCACGGCGTGTTTGCGAGAATCACCACAATATCCCAGCTGCTCATTAGAAACGTTTCAGCCCATTTTCGATGTTCAGGCCTAGGCCTGATCTACGGAAACCTTGTGGCACTGTGCTCGTGGGCTATTTCCAATGTCCATCAACGTGCACCAATAGATCCACAATACTCTCGATGGGTCTACTAGGCTATAGCATCAGTAAACCACTTTGTTCTGTACCTTCATTCCGGCCATGAGGTTCAACAGGGTTCAAGGGAGTCACTGTGGCAGTCGGAGAAAAGTTAGAACGAATGCACTGTCCTTTTGACAGCTCGTTGCTAAACGAAAACGACGTCCAGACTCCAGATTCATGGCCACTCCCCTTACAATCACTATTTATCTAGGGGGGAAATAGTGTGTATTTCACCGAAATAAGGCAGCTTGTGACGAAACTAGACTTCCAATATCAGTGAACATCGCACGCCGGCACAAGTTGATCCCCTGATACATGAAAACCAGGCAAACCTGACCATCGCCAGGTAGCTGTGATTTCCCATGCATTACAATAAAAGCCGTTCATAGCTTGGATGCGCTGTCGATGACTACCCTCCCATCCTGCCTACCCATTTCTGTCAATACGCAGCTCGTCCTCGGCGCTGCGGCTTCTCCCCAGTGCTGCCGTGGTCCGGTCCCGAACCCCGAAGCGAAGCTTCCTGTAATTGCCTTCTGCGTTGTCGAATATGAGGGGCACCGCTGGACAAAATTAAACAAGTTTCAATTAATGTCGCTCATTTGAAATAGAAACTTTGTCGATGTGCTTCCTGCGGCTGTGAACCCTTCACAGCGTCTCACTGTGTCCACTTTTGAAAACCGACGGTGGCGGTGTGCGATTGTCAGTTCTTCTGTCTATTGAACTCTATTGCTCACTCGATTGCGTGCCGTACTACCCACACCGCTTCAAACCAGTGCTTGTACAAGGAGGTCCCTGCCAACGAAGATGAAGACTTCCAGCCCTCCCCCAGCACTGACATGCCACGATACGATTAGCCATATGTCCACCCAGTCAGAGTACAGGTGTCACGACGAACTTTTGGATGGTCAACATAGACTGCGCATCATTTGCGGCAGTGCACAATAGTGTTATGGTTACTAGTACATCATTTTCACTGTGCAAATAAATTCCTACAATTTACCTTCTTCGGTGCGAGTACGAAGGTGTCAATGATGTGATGGTCATCAAGGGGCTCACTACCTAAGCTTAGTACACCGCTGTAACGGGTTACGGCACCCACCAGTGTCCTTTACTGCTGCCGAAGTCGCAGACGGGGATGTTATCCCGAGGCTCGCATATGCGCACGACTACGGTCTTGTGAGAGTGGTGTATCCTGATCAGGTTGACATCCCCCGTCAGGATGGTGCGGCACGTCGGTACGACAAGACCCTCGACAGCTGCTTCACCCCGATTCATGTCCAGGCTCCACTTAGGCCCTTTTTGTTCTTCATTTTGCATGCTATATGCGCCAGCTTCAACGCCGTATATCCGATTTCGAGTGACCTGGAGACACCTATCACTAAATTCCAGCAGTACGTGCACAGTGCACTCACCTCTTAATGCCCTGGATACTAAACAGCCTTTCATAACAATAACAGGCTTTGCAGACCTCACAACGGAGTTGTAGACATCATACACGGTATCTTCCATGTCCTTGAAGGATGTATCGATGTACGGGTGCTTGAAAGAAAGATCCTAGAGCTCAGTAAGACAATATCGGACTCCTGGTTGTGCTGTATGTCATTGGTGCCGACAGGGCATGCGCACGGACACTACGGACCACTTGATGGGCCTTGGTCGTGGCTGCTTGGATATCTACAGATCGGTCGATGTGTATTGTGGCAATAACTTGACGTTTGACATAATCAATTGGCGTGTGTGAACTTTGAAGTTAGCGTGAAGCAGTAGATTTTCTGGCTCGAAATTTGGATTCTTGATTGACGTTTTAGTTTGCAACGTGTCTCATTTTGTCCAGCGAAACATATGAGGGCCCGTATGGGACAAAATTCAAGAGTTTGCTAGCGTACTTCAGAAGTTCATGTAGACCAACATATCAGCGACGCCCCCAAACCAGATCCTCGAAAACAGCGATAAGTGACGGGAAGAATGAAACCACAGGGTACATACTATGGTACCCACGATGGTCAGTGTCTGCAAGCATGTACTGTAGAGAGAGGACCAGTTAGCGCTCGGAATTTGTCGATATTACATCTAGAAGACAAATCATATCTCAGTGAATGTCTTGAATAAGGTGATAAACAATGTACGACTCATCATGAACTCTGAACCTGTAAGGAGGGCAAAGCCGGAAACACGGATTTTGCATCGGTATGGGCAATTGGTTCCGTTCCTATGTATTATACAATCAATGATACTAAAATCAGGGGGCGTTAAAGCGTCACATACGAGATGAGGTATACAGATATTTCTCCTTTGGAAGCATCGATGGCACTATAAGTCTCTGGCGGCACTGAGTAGCCTTGGTTGAAGAGCTACGGTAGTGAATGGTAAGTGATAATAGGTGTAGTAAAGTGGAGGAGAATACCTTGAAATGATGAATGAGTGTCTCCGTGTTTTCATTCATTGAAGCATGGCGTGGCAGAACGATTTTGTCCTATTTTAATGAAACCCGTCGGCATTTTGTTCAGACACTGAAGATGAGTATGGCTGAGTAAAATGAGATACATCGACGTACACTGTACACAGAACATAGACAAACTACTCACCGCCCAGTCAATCCAGCAACCTCTTGCAGGTCCTTATATGCATACATAAGTCTCCCGCCTGTGTCTGCGAGTGAGATGAGAAGGCGGCGCTTGGACAATCCTACAACAGAATGCGGTCCCACATGAACCAAATTCAAATCCAAACCCAGAAAGCACAAGGATCAAAACACTTACTTTCCGTCCTAACAGCAACGACACAATCCGCATCCTTTTGCTTTCGTCCTTTGCCACTCTCACTCCTACCCTCACCATCTCCCTCAGCGACACGGCTATCAGCCCGTATGCAGCTGTGGACCAGAGGTACTTGATCACAAAGTCTTCTGTCCATTTGTATGTGATGCAGATGGAGTTAGTTGGATTTTTGAGAAGAGAATGAGAATGGGTGAAATGTTGAAGGAGGAGGGGAGGGGAGGATGCGGGTATTTGTGATGAGAAGTGGTATTTTGGAGGATGAGAGGGGATATCAGGACCGTTGAAGAGGAGTTTAATAGAATGGAAGACATGGAGGGGCATTGATCATAATAGGAATGTATCAAAAGTTGGATGTCTTGCAAGATAGAAGCATATGCAAGAGAAAACCCAAATGATGGCGACATTGGCGAGTTCAAATTAGCTGTGAGTCGATATTGGTCGTGCTCGAGTCAGTTTGGTTAGACTGGAATGGTTTCGAGCGAAGAATAAGCACAGATGCAAGCACAACCAGAAACGGATGTCGCAGTTCATTCAGTCAGTTAACCGGCGATCCGAGGTACACCAGTTTCGAGAATATTTAGCCATGCTCGCTGTACTAATACACAGTGAGCAAGCTCAGCATTCTGCCAGATATGCGTGTTTACACAGCCAAATAGACTTGTCTTCTGCAAACACCAACTAGTACACAAAAACAAGATACTGGAACCTAGGACGGTCAGATTCGCTCAGTGGAGGTGTTCATGATTACGCATCATATCATCATCGTGAACATGCAACTCATTGCTGACGCCAAGGCATGAAAATAATTAGTCTTGCAACTGTTTTGCGTCACCACATCATCAATGAGACTGTCAGGCTCTGTCGGGCCTAGGGATCTGCACGGGTAAACCCCCGGGTACCGGAGCCCATACTCGCACCCGCACCCGCACCCGTGTGGGGTTTACCCATGGGTAACACATACAAATGAAGATGGGACAACCGAGAATGAGTGGCGGTAGGTGCACAATGAAAATACTAGTAAGTAATGTACATACAAACATAGATTAAAAAAATATACCTATATTGCTGGGAACGAGTGGTGACATGCACGGACATGCACAAAGTTGCGAGCAAGAAGTTACCTAGCTCAACCGCCCCCCGACACGTCACGTGACTTGTGCGCAAGGGTACAGACAATGCGTCAACATGTCAACGATTATCAGAGATCATACACCTCTTATGATGTCTTGTGGCTGCAAGAATGGTATAACGACCCAGTACTCAGGAGTCTTTAACATATTTCCTCCTACATATCATCTGCTACTTTGGACTCGTTCTGATTTGTGCTTTATCGACGAATTACTCATTGTATCATTGTATGTATGTAATGTAGCAGAAATGATATGTAACGAAGAAACAATTATGTACTTTGATCACTGGCAGCTGATGATGGTGGATGGGTGCAATAAAACATCGCATTCGATGTTTCCTTTTCCCATGTGGTTGGACTCATTTGCCATGACGAATTCTCTCGTCTCTCTCGATCAAGGCAATTCTCCATCAAGCGGATGAATGACGCACCCTCATGCTCGACAGCATTCAGCATCCTGTGATCATTGAACTGGATTTGATACTGGAGGCCATCACAGAAATTGTGGAGGTTGGTAACAAGTGTCCCGAAGCGTTCTTGAAAGGTGTGTGTGTCCAGCTGTCCAGCCACTGTATCCATGAACTCATTTTCTTCTTCTTCATCCTCCCCTTCATCAGATATATCTCCCCCTCCTTCGGTTGTATTCCCATGGGCGCTTCGCAGGGTTTTCTCTGCCATGGAATTGGAGGGAAGGCTCTCATTCAATGGAATGAGCGAGGGATGTGACCAGAAAGGTATTGTTCGGTTATGTTGAACCTCCAGGAAAAAAATTGGGCTAACTATGTGCATGTCTTGCACTAGGTGCTTGCAAATGAGGAACCGGCTCTTGACAAAGTGCGGACAGGTACATACCCACTTCCTGACATCAGGGCGGTATTTTATGTTCATCGGCACTGTGATCTGCGTTTCGAGTGCTCATCGCCATTCACTTTTAAATGACTTGCGCCATGATGACAATTCCCGAAAATGGCCAGTATCATGGAGTAAGTGGTCCAGTTTTTTGTTGTATGATGGTGCGAGTTTGGTGACCAAAATCCATGCCAGAAGGTCGATACGGGGCTTCGAAAAATGGTACAAATAATCAACCTTGATTCGACGCCAGCTATAATTTAAAAGTGAGTGCACGTATATTTGTAGTTCATAATAGTTTCACTCACTGGCTTTCCAGTACCATGGTTGTTTTTAGTCTTGGTATCTCCATTGGTGCAATGGCTCGTGCCCAAAGTTCCCACCGGCCACGTCGATACCAGTTCTCCCAAAGGTAAGCCCAAACCTCACAAAGGTCACTTTCTTTGCAAAATGTATACATCTGCTTTACTGCCCACTGACAGATGCCCACAGCACTTGGATATGAGTAGCCTGGTATCAATGGATGGGCACAAAAATGATGCTCGATCAGTCCAATTACTGATTCACAGAGGTGAGGGGGACAAAATACTCGTGAATGAACAGACTCTAATTGTTCGTCGGGTCCTTTCTTCGGTATCTTGATTTTGATTGTTAGTGTGTTTTTAATGGTATTGACACCATCATCTGCTGAATCAACATTGCTGAACTTGGCGATTCTACTGGGACAGAGCTGGGAAGGGTTGGGGATGTGAATTGACAGTGACGGCACAGTCTTGTCATCTGTGGGGACTTTATCAGGTTCGAGAAGGACACCACCCTCAAACTCTCTGGTGTCTGGGGTACCTGCCGGCCTAAATGCGATATTGATGAAGGGAAACTCCTGATTCGCGCGAGCAGGCCTGTATGGAGTTGTTGACAGTTTTGATTTTGCTAACCGTTCTCTAATGGCTTTCCGCAGGTGCCACCAACACAGCTGGATCTTTGCTGTCAGCCAGACAGATTTGGACATGCTGATTTCAGCCATGTCTTTATCGACATGGGCAAATCGTGGGATGACACCATACCTGTCTCGAAGGCAAGTTGTCCATTGTTGCAGTGCTGTTGTTCGTTTTCCAATCTCAATTGCAGTTGCAGTCGAAAGCAAGCAGTATGATAATGGAAAACCAGCATTATCAAATTCACCAAGCACACTGTATAGTTCTAGGTGTTTGGCATTTGTGTTGTCTGGTGAGCCATGGGATATGTGAGCCATAGTCAATGTAGCCAACTAAAACTCACATGTCGCATCCAGGCCAATCTCAACCACCTTCCCTTCCAGCCGCTGGGTTATCTTTTTCATTGCCCAACAGAGCTGCTCCACACCATCTGCCATTTCTACATCAAAGACTTTGATATCTCGATCAAATTCATCTAACAACATCTTTGCTGAGGTAAGCTGATCTGGATCTTTCTTCCAGAGTATTTTGCTCATCTTTGTCCATGCGAAATGAACCTGCGATGCTGTGATATGGGGATAAAGTGCCTGGATCTTCGGGGCCAATGAGCTTGGACTACTCCACTCGAGCTGGTCACAGATGATCTGGGTTGCCTCCAATGGCATAGCAACATCATAGTGAGGCACATGTGCTTCGCGATGCTTGATCCTAATGGATAATGTCCGCTTATCATCCTCATTGCCCACTCTATGGCAGCAAGATATGGTAAGAGCACTCTGACATGAGAAGCGCTTCATTCCAATCATGTCATGGTGCTTGACACCTTCCTTTTGACTTGGCCGGGATTTCTGTTTCTTATCTTTGTCCTGACAACACCATAGAATTATTTTATGGCCTGTCTTGAGGGGATAGTTGTGTTGTACCCTGCCAATGTCATAGTAAGTCTCAATTACATGAACTCATTCCAAGTTGACTTACCGAAAACGATATCCCGTTGTCCTCCAGATCTCTAGTGCTGCCATTTGGACCCTTTCCTTTTCGCTCGTTACTGGATCCTTAGGTACGAGGTAACTTCCATTAAATTGGACATTACTAGAGCCTTTAAACAAGGTCCTTAAAGCTGCAAATAGACACTGAGCATTCTCGTACTGTGATAGCATGTAAGTACTTTGAGTTTTGCTCAAATGAATCTTGAATACTGACTAGGATGCACTCATCATCAGACTCTGTGTCTGCTGCTTGACTCGAGCCTTCATCTATATTGTGGGTAGTAGGAGGAGATGGGGCAGGATGGGGAGCTTCGTGTTCGTGTTCTTGTTCTCGCTTCCTCTTTCTCCGAGCAGCAGTGCTAAGTCTGTCTGCATCACGACATTTTTGACAAGTCTTCTTTGGGTCATCATGGGATAGCACTCTCTTGCATTTGGATTTCGAGCATATCTGTTGGTCAGATGACGAGTTCATGTAGAGTAGCACACTTCTTGGTAGGTATCTCCAATGTACAGTATTTTCTTGTGGCACATACAGAACTTCCGTAAGTCACGTGATAAGTCATGTGATGTGTCGGGGGATGGTTGAGCTGGGACAGCTGCAAGCAAGTGTGAGAGTGCGAGACGGTGCAGGTAAGGTGTGAGAGGGTGCAGTGTCGAACCTGTCGGCGAGCTTTTTGATCCGCTTAATCTCCTCAGCTGACATGTGATGTCGGTATGTTGGGAACAGCACAAATGAGCGGTGGCATGCGAAAATAAGTACAGACAAGCAAAAGTGAGTGGTGGCATGCGGAAACAAGTAAAAACATGCAGACAACATCAGGAAATCACGAGATCACTTTTGACCCACTTATGTACCACTTTTCGCACGATTTCATATGTAAAGTAGCACAAGGTCGAAAAAGTAGAACCTACTTTTTTCAGTAGATCTCATTACTGATATTCCACTTCTTCTCAGCTTTTTCACACTTATTTTTGCAGAGACGCATTGAATAAAGCATGACACTGATTATTAAAAGTGGACTATCAAAAAATGTGTGAAAAAAGTAGTCTAGAAGAATGAGTAAAGTCCTCTAAAAGTGCAAATATGTGTAGATGCTAGAATGACGGCTTGAATGATTGGAGTGGGGGGACCACAATGGGTATTCTGCCAGTGTCAGATGCATCAGTGGTAGTAGCAGAGCACATGATGAGGGGAAAATACATACAAAGCAGGGCATGCCCAGCCTTGGGTTTCGGGTCCTCAGCCACATACTTCAGTCATTTTGCCACGTAGAACCCTGGTTCTGGATGTGCCAAAAGGCCTGTAGAATCATGGCCAGCCAGTCACTGGCCGGAGTATGTAGAATCCAGCCAGCCGGAGCATGTGGAATCAGTGTGAATTTGTGTAGATATGTGCATATTAGTATTACTATGAAAAAAGTAGCTAGCCTTATAGCTACAGGATGTAGAATCCAGCTGGCCAGAGTATGTAGAATTAGTGTTGATGTAGATAGATAGATAATTACTAGGATTACTATGATTGAAAGCAGTAGTAGTGGCTAGCCTTGTACCTACAAGATGTAGAATCAAGGCTGGCCAGTCACTGGTTTCAGAATTGCATACCAGCTGGATGACATCTACAACATGTAGAATCAGGGCTGGCCAGTCATTGGTTTCAGAATTGCATACCAGCCAGCTTAATTCTACATCATGTAGAATCAAACTGGCCAGTCACTGGTTGCTAAGTTTTGTACCAGCCAGATGTCTTCTACAATATGTAGAATCAAGACTGGCCAGTCATTAGTTTCAAAATTGCATACCAGCCAGCTTGATTCTACATGTTGTAGAATCAAGGCTGGCAGGTCATTGGTTCTAGAATTGCATACCAGCTGGATGACATAGTATACAACACATAGGATCCAGCTGGCTGATCATCGGTTGCTAAGTTGCATACCAGTTGGATGACTTCTACAATATGTAGAATCAAGGCTAGCCAGTCCTTGGTTTCAGACTAACTTTTAGTAACCACTGACTAGCCAGCTTGATTTTACAACATGTAGAATCAAGCTGGCCAATCTGTAATTCTGAAACCAATGACTGGCCAGCCTTGATTCTACATATCATAGAAGACATCCAGCTGGTATGCAACTTAGCAACCAGTGACTAGCCAGCTGTATTCTACATGTTGTAGATGTTATCTGGCTGGTATGCAATTATGAAACCAATGACTGGCCAACCTTGATTCCACATATTGTAGACATGATCTGGCTGGTATGCAAATTAGCAAACAGTGACTGGCCAGCTGAATTTTACATCCTGTAGGCATCAGACTGGCTACTGTTTTCATAGTAATACTAATATTTATATATCTACATCGACCAGCACTGATTCAATATACTCTGGCTGGTGACTGGCTGTCCATGATTCTATGTGGAAAATGACTGAAGGGTCTAAAATTATAACATGATCTCTGAAAGATTAAGAGCCAATTTATTTCAGAATTGTAACAGATCACTACACACTCCTGTCAACTTTGTAGTCAGTCACCAGTAGTACACTAGGTGGAGGGTTTCATAACTTGAGCACCAGCTTGATATTAAAAATATTATCTCTTTGCTAGTCAATAAAACATATCCTGTTTTGGTCACCTTCTCACAGGCCTCCGCATTCTTCTCACACTTTCATTTTCGCATTTTTCAGCCACACAGTGTGGGAATTACTCCACAACACCAAAAACATCACCTAATATGGTATACACCACAATTATAATTATTCTCACACCCTCCGCACCTCTCTGCAGCTTCACCATCATACCACAGTAGCTCCCCCTTCATATATCAGTAGTAGTTTGGCATATATATGTATAATATAATATAATAGACCGCTTCTTTGTCTATTTGTGTACCTGCTCCTCCACCAGGGCCCTTTTAAAATAGGGTAGAATATGAGACACTTTTGCACTTTCCCCCTTTGATAGGAAAGTGTCCCAGGGCATTCAGAACATGTTTATGAGTATATATGAAGTGATTCCAGTCTTTATTTGACCCCCTGAAGCGCCCTACATCAACAGATATAGTATATATACATAAAAACACAAAATATATTCCAAGTGATCATTTCTAGGTGGATATACTTGGACAAATGATTCCCAGTATCTATTCAACAATAGGAACAATGTATTAGGAGCCTAGGACCATAGGAGAATACCTTGTTGCATAGTGTACCCCCCTCTCCTGGTAGTTTACCCTCTGTGAAAATGTTTCCTGTAAGACTGGACCTTAAGGAGGGTATTGGGTCCATTCCTTAGCATATTTAGAATATATCTATCACCTAGCTACTCTAGAATATATACATGATCCTTCTACAGGGACATATAATTAGAGTATTGCATTGTTGGCATTTTTCATGTTTTTCAGTATCTTACCCTTGTACACATGATCACCCCTGCTCATATATTATCAGTGGTACACCAATAAATGTGTTTTATGCCAAGGATCAGCTTAAAATATGCTGGAGGTTCAAGTTAGTGTATGTACCTGCTATTTCTACTGATAAGGTGCCCACACCTTCACAATATTGAGATTTCATAATCGGACACCTGTGATATGTCTTATATATGTCCTAGATTACAGCCCTCAAAATTTAAAAAGATCCATCAAGGATTGAGTGAATTACAAGTAAAATGACATATGTGTGAAAAGTGACAATTGACATCTTTTCACACAAAGTCGCATTTATATATGATACATGGTAGACTACCTAAGGAACCCATACTACATAAGGCCCTGAAGGTAAAGAGTGGATAAAAGGGGTGTGGTGTAAAAGTGCATTGATCCAGTATTAAAGTCCAACTACTGCTCAAGAAGCTCAACTGACCATTTTCGATGTTTGGGATATTTGAAGTTTCCCACACTCAATTTCTTATCTATCTCACTTCCCCAGCTTTCAATTCTGGGTGGATCTTTCTGTAAATTTAAACCTATGATAGTGAATACATGTGAAATGTGCTCCAGGTATCTGATCATTAAATTTGGTCAATTTGAATACATGGGCTCCTGATCAGTAGAAATAGCAAGGACACATACTATCTCAAAACTCCAGCCTATCTTGAGCTGATCTTTGTTATTAAAAGCAAGTATATGTGCTAGGCTAATAATATATGAGTAGGTTGGATCATATGTGCAAGGGTAAGACACTGAAAAACATCAAAAACATTAAAAATATGATTTGTCATGTTTTTGTGCCTGTAGAAGGATCCTGTGTGTGTCCTGGGCTAGCTATATAATAGATATTCTCTAAATATGCTCAGGAATAGACCAAATACCCTATTTGGGGTCCAGTCATACAGGAAACATTTTCACAGAGGGTAAACTACCAGGAGAGGGGGGTACACTATGCAACAAGGTATTCTCCTATGGTCCTAGGCTCCTAATACATTGTTCCTATTGTTGAATAGATACTGGGAATCATTTGTCCAAGTATATCCACCTAGAAATGATCACTTGGAATATATTTTGTGTTTTTATGTATATATGCTATATCTGTTGATGTAGGGCGCTTCAGGGGGTCAAATAAAGACTGGAATCACTTCATATATACTCATAAACATGTTCTGAATGCCCTGGGACACTTTCCTATCAAAGGGGGAAAGTGCAAAAGTGTTTCATATTCTACCCTATTTTAAAAGGGCCCTGGTGGAGGAGCAGGTACACAAATAGACAAAGAAGCGGTCTATTATATTATATCCACATATATATACCAAAGTACTACTACTCATACATAAAGGTGGAGCCACTGTAGTGTGGTGGTGAGGCTGCAGAGGTGCAGAAGATTATCATTTGTGGGATATACCATATCGGGTGATGTTTTAGGTGTTGTGGGGTAATTCCCACACTTTGTGGCTGAAAAATGCGAACATAATTTACCCACAGTCACGTGACTTTTTCAACCAGCAGCAAATAAGACATTACAAAACAAAATTTCAACTACAAGCAGTGCTAAGTTTACTACAAGCTTATCAATACTTAAAGTAAGAAATGTAAATGGGGAGCTGCGAGACTTTGATGAGAGGGCCCTTCTTATCAAAGCCACACTCCAAGTGAAATTGTAGGTAACAACATAGTGAAAAAATATACTACTTACTGAGAGTCACTGACAATTAGCATGCATTACATGATCCCCCAGTCTCAAATAGCAGGGGTCACTGACAAGTAGCATGCACTGCACAATACCAGTCCAAATAGCAGGAGCCACTGACAAGTGGCATGCACTGCATGATCCCCTGGTCTCAAAGCCCCCAGTCCCAAATAATGTAGATAAAGAGAAAGGAGTCCTTTAAATTCTTGCAGCTGCAGTCTGCAAGAACTCAAAGGAGTATTGTAAAGTTGCTCTTAAATGATAGTATACAGGGAAATGAAGATGATGAAGGAAGCAAGAGAAAGAGAACCACGAGAATTGAAGTTGAAGTATACAGTGGCTCAAAAAAGTGTCCGAATGTTTATGCATTTTCAAGTAATTGAACAACAGCAAGGCAGAACCAAACAATGAACAACAGGTATAGGGACATGTCTGAAAGCCCTATATCATGGCTCAAATCTGGGATATATAGCGTGTGAACTCGACCATATATGGGCAAGCTATGGTAATTCTAAATACATGACTCATCCGGACACTTTTTTGACTTTTTATTGAAATCACAAAATCAGACCATTCATACATTATACTCTTAATTAAAGCAGTGTCATAATGATAGTATGGTCTGATTGCAATATTATTTGAATATATAAACCCACATAAGATCATGAAATTCAACATAATCATCATGAAGCCCATCTCCTCTGCTCACAAGGATAATATCCTTGTTCTCTGTACCTCTGGTTTATCTACTAGGCAAATTGCCTCAAAAACTGGTCTTGGCAAGTCTACTATTACTACAGTCATAAAGCAGCACACACCAGAGAAGGAAAATCATCAAATGGGATGTCCTCCCAAGCTTACTCCACAGAACAAAAGAGCTATTGTTCACCAAATTCTATCTGGCAAGGCTTCAAATGCTACCCAAGCTACCAAGTTCATCAATTCCATCATCTCCACTCCTGTCTCCCAAACTGTTAGAAACACCCTCAAGGCAGCCAATCTTAAGGCTGTAACCAAGAAGAAAAGACCTCTTCTCTCTGTAGCTCATAGGAAGAGAAGACTGGCCTTTGCTTTAAAGCACCAACATTGGACTGTGGAAGACTGGAAGAAGGTTATTTGGTCAGATGAAATAAAAATCAATAGAATGGGGTCATATGGTCAGGAATATGTGTGGAAAAAGGCAGGAGAACCATTAGGAGAAAGAGAAGTCAAGGGTACACTGAAGTTTGGAGGAGGAAGTATGATGGTGTGGGGTTGTATGGCATGAAATGGCATGGAGATTCTTTGTGAGGTGGAAGGATGGATGAATGCAGAGCAGTACATCTCCATTCTAGAGGAGTGTCTACTCAAAAGCATGCAGGAGTTAGGAATTGATGAAGAAGACATTATCTTTGAACAAAATAATGACCCCAAGTACACCTCAAAACTGGCTACAAAATGGTTTGAAGACCATGATATCAATGTTCATGGCCAGAACAGTCTCCAGACCTTAATCTCATTGAACATCTCTGTGAGTTACTCAAAAGACTACTTGCTGCCTATCAAGATCCTCCACAGGGGCTATTTGAACTATGGGAGAGAGTTGCAGCAGAGTGGAAAAAGATTGCTGAAGAGAAGTATCAAAAATTGATAGAAAGTATGCCTAGGAGAATTGCAGCAGTTATTAAAGCCAAGGGAGGTAGCACCAAGTACTAAAATCATAGAATAGTCTTGGTTAAATACAAAGTCAAAAAAGTGTCCGAATGAGTCGTGTATTTAGAATTACCATAGCTTGTCCATATATGGTTGGGTTCCCACAATATATATCTCAGATTTGAGCCATGATATAAGGCTTTCAGATGTGTCCCTACACCCTTTGGTTATTGTTTGGTTCTGCCTTGCTATTGTTCAATTACTTGAAAATGCATAAACATTCAGATACTTTTTTGAGCCACTATACATATGTTTGTCAGTTTGTTGTTGTTTGGCAATACAACAAACAAATCAACAAAGTCACATGCTTTCATAACTACATTTTTGATATTTGACTGGCCAGCTTGATTCTACATGATGTAGAATCAAGCTGGCTGGTATGCAATGCTGAAACCAATGACTAGCCAGCCTTGATTCTACATATTGTAGAAGACATCTGGCTGGTACAAAACTTAGCAACCAGTGACTGGTCGGCTTGATTCTACATGATGTAGAATTAAGCTGGCTGATATGCAATTCTGAAACCAATGACTGGCCAGCCCTGATTCTACATGTTGTAGATGTCATCCAGCTGGTATGCAATTCTGAAACCAGTGACCGGCCAGCCTTGATTCTACATCTTGTAGGCACAAGACTAGCCACTACTACTGCTTTCAATCATAGTAATCCTAGTACTTATCTATCTATCTACATCAACACTAATTCTACATACTCCAGCCGGCTGGATTCTACATCCTGTAGCCATAAGGCTAGCTACTTTTTTCATAGTAATACTAATATGCACATATCTACACAAATCCACACTGATTCCACATGCTCCGGCCGGCTGGATTCTACATACTCCGGCCAGTGACTGGCTGGCCATGATTCTACGGCCTTTTGGCACATCCAGGGCCAGGGTTCTACATGGAAAACGACTGAAGGGTCTGCCTCAGCAGGAGCATTCTTGAGCTTTTGGATCGCTTCCTGGTGTTGGCACACCAATGAAATTGTGTCCATCATATAGTTTGTCCCCCACCTCTTGAGTGATTGGTAGTATTCAGCTGTCGCCAATCCACAATTTGCCTCTGAAAATGCCAATGCAGCAGTGCTGTCTTTGCCACTGGATTTGTTGCACTTGAGGGGTAGTATTCTGTGACCCTTGGTAGTACTGCCCTTTGCACTGCTAGTGCCAATGCTTTGGTCATTACCAGAAGCTTTTGGCTTTGCGACAAAGTTGAGAGCGTGTTCTAGCTATGAAAATGAACGGTTAGTTAATGTTAGAAAATTTAGACGGGACCTACTGAGGCAGTGCATGCGGCAATCACTAAAGAGATTATGCGAGCAGCTGTGATGAAGAGGGAGCTGGAAAGACAAATATATATCTCAGACTCTAGGAAAGATCTCTGAATGAGTATAGTACCTGGAAAGACAAATATATCTAATGGTATGTTAGCTCTATAGATTAATGTAGAAATGAATAAAAACATACATCTCAGACTCTAGGAAAGATCTGAGATGTTCAGTTGATGCGACTCGTTCTTTATAGTATAGTTAGCATAGATAAGTAAATTAGTGTAACATAGGAATAGACGTCTCAATATTGACAAGCCTCGGCCAACGTCAATGCATTGCCTTGTCATACTTGGACATTGCGCTCATATGGTTTCACTTTCATCTTTCTGGTCTGTTCTCCTCCGACTCTCTCGTTTTGGCTGACTCCAACAATCACAACCTGCATACCCTTCAATTGCAGATCATCCGTGTTGAGTGCGGGTACATCAAGGAATCCAGCGATTGCATTCATATGTGCGCTTTCAATCATTTCCAACATAAATTCAGACCAGTAAATCTGGTCTGGGTCACAAACATCTGGATTGTTGTAGAGGAAGGCCCACTCGTCGAGAAGATTTGCTGCCAGTGTTTGTTCAAAGTCGATATTGTTGTCTTCATCTTCATTCTTGTCATCTTTAGAAGTAGCTAGAAAGTTTGCAATGAGGGCCATGGCTGTTGATCCAAAATTACTGCGCCAGGAGCAAATGCACTGATTCACCTTTCATTAGAGATGACTTGTAGTCAGAAATAGCAGTTTGACAGTAGGAATAGAAGACTTACCAAACCAATGATAGGGCCTTTTGGTTGGACATTATGATTCATTCCTGGATAAGCAACATCAAAAATAGCCTGGAGCGCTGGAAGTAGTTTGTTGGTGTCGATGGACCAAAAATTAGGTTGAGCACCTGCCCACAGAAAAACAGTGGGGATAAAAGACCTTTGCCACATGCCATCCTCAACATAATTTGGGGAAGATTGGTGTTTCGCCATTGGTTTCCACTTTTCGGCTTCATCATCAAGTCAGTGGACATCAAATTGGGCTCAGGTGACGCCAGAATGCTTGTAATCTGGGACACTGGTTCTAACTTAGCTTTCTTGGGTGGGTTCGGGTTCTCGCAGACTATTACACTAGTCTGTCAAGTGCCTCAGTATAAATAGAATTAGATATGAAGAAAAAAGCCTACCTTTGAAGTGATCCATGCTAGCTCAGTAGGAATGGGCTCAACTTCGGGAGTCATGAACTCAGAAGTGTCGAGTATCATGGAGTCATCAGCAGCATCTAGATCCTCTTTGGATGAACTGATCAAGTCGACTGCTTTGATTGGCCTCTTTGTGGAACTAACAGTGTGAGTTGATTGAACCTGTTCTATAGTGAATTGCATTATTTCAGCTTGTTGAGTGAATGGCAATAAATTGAATGGCATTGACACCGGCAGTCTTTTGGAGGTGTCATCATCTGAAAGTTCTGTGATCTCATTAGTGATCCCTATGACACTCTAAAAACGCATCAAACCATGTCAGACCTTAATTTGTTGATATCGTTGAATGCTCACCTGCACCCCCCCCTTCCTTTTCCATTAGCAATGAGAGACGACAAGTGCTCTTCAAATTCTTCATCATCTTCATCATCATCGGCATCAACATCAATGTCAATGTTGATGTCTTCATCTTTGTCTGATGCAGGAATGTGTGAAGTCCTGGATGAGTCTGTCAAGGAAGGAGGTGGATCTTTTGCGAGTGAGACTGTGGTTGCAACTGTTTGGCCTGTTCTTGCTGATGAAATGCCCAGAGAGTTGGCGGAAACAGTTTCAGTGGGAACACTGGGAACAGGGGAAGGTTTCGCAGCTCCCTTCAATTCAGGTTCAAGGTGAGCACGCCAGTTATGGACCTTGCCCAAAAGGCCATATTTCTTATTTCTGAGCCCCCAAGTAAGGTTCATAAAGCGAAGCGTAGACTCTGTGAGCATCAATAGCATGATGGTGAGAAGACAAATTACTGATGGGTTAACATTTCCTTTCTTGTCGCTATCAGGTACTCGAACTTGTTGGATCTGCCTCGTTGCAGCGCTTACCACTTCATGCGATATGGTAGGGTTGGCCTTCTTTTTCTTCTTCATCTTTCTGCCCTCATTCTCAAACTCCTTGTTTACAATCGCCTTGCCATTGCCTGCACCCACACCCGTGCTATTAGCTGTGCGGTGACCACCTGCGTCTTGAACTACAGCTTGCACTGGATGATTCTCTGAGGTGAGCTCACTAGTTACCCCTTGCATACTCTCCTTCACACTCTCCTTCTTCTTCACTGGTCTAGCCCAGGGTTTTACTGGTTTTGCTCTGTTGGCTGCCTCAGTCGCCTGCTGCACCTCCATGGCAGCCTCGATGCCTGCAAGCCAATTAACTCCACACTGCACAGCAGCTTCCTTGATAGCCTGTGCTTCCAGGGCACACTCCTTGTCCTGTGTGATCTGGGCTTTGGTACATTGCTTCTTTTGACCTTCAAGAAGCACAAGTCCAGGGTGCTGAGTTGCATTTTTAGGGCGTGTATGGCGAGGAGAAGCGGGAGGTGCCATAGCCAATATGAAAAGCAGGAAGGGGCAGAAGAGAGCTGGCAATGGGTAGGCCTCAATAAAATGTAAGAGTCAAACTGCAAAAATTCCAAGTAGTAGTACTAAACACAAACAAACAACCCTTTGTAACCTAGTACTCAATACTTCACGCCACTTTCCAAGTCCGCCTACACTTCAGCACTACAACAACAGAGTGTGACTGCCAGAACTGGTACTACTGGCCATCCTAACAACAAGCTCTCATCTAACCACAGATTTCTATAGACATCCCACAAGCGCCAGGAACTGGTATTGGCTATCCTACTGACAAGCTCCCTCCTGTGCATCATGTCCCAGACTGGCACACAAGCGAGCCACCTGCGCCATGAGCCCATTGGTCTTTGCATCCCTTGCACAAAGCCAGGGTGCAACCGTTGGTTTAAGAATAGGTTGGGGCACACGCAGCATATGAATGCAAAGCACCCTGTGTTCCTACAACAACTTGGATCGACTCAGCCATGCAGGCCTCATTCGCCAAGTTCTGGGCTGCCTGACACTACCAATTTGGGTGATACTGGTGCTATGGAGTTCAGCGACAACAAAAATCCTATGCAACCAATGGTTGGATTTTGTGGCACTGGTGACCAGCTGTATAGAAACTACCACCCTTTTTTGTCTGGTATGTTTTTCGTCCCATTGAATTTTTCTAATATCTCATTCACAACATATGAAGCTTGCCCCTGCAATTCAGAGGGCAACTTCCTTCCACCAGGAACTCCACCTCCACCACTCACTGACAAGATGCTGGACGACTGGACTCCATACAAGAGCCGGGTAGAATTCCAGCTCACTGATTATTTGTTTACAAAGAATCAAACCCCTGTGCATTTGATCAACCAGTTGCTCGATATTTGGGCAGCTTCATTAATGCAAGCTGGTAGCAGATTGAGTCTCTTTTCAGATCATCACCACATTTACAAGACAATTGATAACACTCCTCTTGGCAATGTAAAATGGCAATCATTTACTGTCAAATATACTGGTGAGATTCTGGAGAAAGGCGCTGCACCATGGATGGTGGATAGTCACAAAGTTTGGTTCTGTGACCCCCACAAAGTCATTTGCAACATGCTTTCTAACCCAGATTTTGCTGTGGAGATAGACCTTAGACCTTACCAGAAGTTTGCGATGGAGAATGACGAGCGTCAGTGGAAAGATTTTATGTCTGGGGATTGGGCTTATAAACAAGCGGTATGTCTTTTTTTGATTTTATTGTTTGTAGGTTTGACATGCATCTACAGAACATGATTTCTGAGGATCCTGACACACATGGTTCAATGTTTGTGCCTGTGATTCTCAGGAGCAATAAAACAACTGTTTTGGTCACAACAGGACAAAACGACTACTATCCTCTTTACGTGTCTATTGGAAATGTTTGGAACAATGTATGCTGTGCCCACTGAAATACTGTTGCTGTTGTAGGGTTTCTCACAATGCCCAAAAGTACGTGTTTGTCGATTTTGTATCTTATTGTCCTTACATCTTGCAAAGCAACCAAACAGCATGCCAAGACAAAATGTTTCTGAATGTTTCACTGCCAGCTATTTCACTCATCACTCTCGTATATCCTCAAGAGCCTGAAGCCTGGCATGACGACACCTGAGGTTGCGCATTTCGGGGATGGGCACTATCACCACATCATCTATGGACTCAGGCCTTATATTGCAGACTATGAAGAGCAAGTATTACTTGCATGCATAGTTTGAAGGTGGTGCGCTAAGTGAGCAGATTTCCTCAATCATCTATTGTATTTGTTCTGATACCAAGATAGGTGTCTTTTGCATTGCAAGGCCCTTGATGAGACCACTCTCCTATGCTCAAGACTTCATGTGGATGTGCTCATTGAGGAGTGCAACTTTGATACCTTGTGGGCAGAGTATGGTATAGTTTCCGTCCTCATGGTATATCCTTTTTTTGGTTTCAATTGTACTTGTAATTGACGCATATGGAGCCATTTACAAATGATTTCCCCCATGCTGACATCCATGAGTTACTCGCACCTGACCTTCTCCACCAAATTATAAAGGGGTCGTTTAAGGATCATTTAGTTGAATGGGTCGAGAGATACCTCTTGCAGGAGCACAGAAAGACACAGGCTAACATCATTCTAGATGATATTGACCGATGGTATGTTTAATCAACTGCAATCTTCATTTACTCTTAGCTTTTCATAGGATCGCAGTGGTTCCTCCTTTTCCTGGCCTGCATTGGTTTCCACAAGGACGCCACTTCAAACAATGGACCAGTGATGATTCAAAGGCCCTCATGAAGGTATTTTATATTTAATTCTTCTCGGAATAATGTAATGCTAAGTGTATCAAGGTGTACCTGCCAGCAATTGAGGGTTATGTCCCTGAAGATGTTGTGTGTGCATTCAGTGCCTTTCTCAAGTTTTGTTATCTCGTCCACCACAACATACTTATGGAGAAGTCCCTTGAGGAGATCCAAGCTGCACTTGCTCATTTTCACCAGTATCGCGAAGTTTTCAAGACCACTGGAATGATTACGATGTTTTCGCTTCCATGACAACACTCGATGACTCACTACGTGCATTGTATTCAACTCTTTGGTGCTCTGAATGGCTTGTGCTCTTTGATCATGGAGTCAAAGCACATTAAGGCAGTGGAGGAACCTTGGAGGCAGTTCAGTCAATATAATGCACTAGGTCAGATGCTTCTGACTAACCAGCGTCTGGACAGGCTGGCGGCGTCATGGGTAGATTTCTGCACTCGTGGAATGCTCTCAGATACCTGTCTAACATCTATTCTTGCAGCACTTGGTATGCATTCATTTCTACCTTTTTTTCTGCTATTTAATCATGATTTTGCTAGAACTGTCAGCAGATGCACCTGTGCAGGCTGAGCCCACCAGTGCAGAAGAGTATAATCCAAACCAACAGGAACCACCTGTTGTGCACCAAATTGACAGCATACCTGACATTGATGTCATTGCTGACTCCGAAGATATTGATGCACCAACTTCAGTACTCGCACATGTTCAACTAGCCTGAACATCTCGTAAGTTTTTTTTAAATTTCATTTGCATGTTCCAAGTCTCAATACACTACGTACAGAAGGGACAAAGCACACCCAGACCATTCCCACACTAGCCGATGAACTCACCATCCCACACTTACCTGACCTCATTTGAGATTTCCTTGTCGAGCAACTGTATCCAGAAATGCACCTTGCGGAAATCCCTGAAAACATCATGGACTGTCCTCATTATGAAGGAAGGATTCAGGTGTTCAATTCCAGTGTCGACATTCTTTGCACCAAGTGATTTGAGTGGCATGGGTGGAATGAAATGCAAGCACATTCATGTGTCCCCCAATTGGAGAAATGGGTGTGCACGTTGTGGGTACAACAAGTGCAGCAGAGAGAAATCGATCTACTACACAGTTGGTTCTTTGCTACCTGCTGCCTCACTTGAGAACAAGCACGTTCGACCCTAAAGGGGATTACTACTGGGGAGTGCTAATCTCTGTCTAAGCGACCCTATTCAACCCTCCCGCAGGTAGGATGAGGATCCGCAAAAATGCGGAACAAGCGGAACAAGCGGTGTGGGTACAACAAGTACAGTGGAGAGAAATCAATCTACTACAAAGTTGGGTCTTTGCTGCCTACTGCCTCACTTGAGAACAAGCACGTTCAACCCTAAAGGGGATTGCTACTGGGGAGTACTAGTCTCTGTCTAAACGACCCCAATCAACCCTACTGCAGGTAGGATGAGGATCTGCAAAAATGCAGAACAAGTGGAACCCGAGCAGAACTCAAGCAGAATGGAAAGGAATGAAACGGAACTCAAACGGATAAAGCGCGGAACATACTGATTCGTCGGAACTCACAGGCAAAGTTGAAGGAAGTATATCACGAGGTTAAATTGATAGTGGGCATAAGTCAAAGCGGTCCTCTAGTAAGGTGAAGGGAAAGTGGGAAGGTAAAAGATGGGATTCGATTCTCTACCCCCAAGCCCTGAGTACCACTACTTAAAGGGAAGATTATTTTCAAGGAACACTGAGGTACAGGTAGTAAATCTCTCAGGAAGCAGAAGTGAAGGCAGGCAGTGCACATGGGCGCAATACTCCGGAATAGGGGTCTGTGCCATAAGGGCATGTGTCAGTTTGATCCGGATAACATTAGGAACAGTGGGAAGAGGAATACAGTGTACCAATGAACCTGGAAGGATGGGGACAGGACATGCAAAGGTTGTCTGACGATGTGTGGGAATATCGGATAGTGCGGGTGGGTTCTGAAGGATGCGTGGGAATGCAGAACCCATTGGACGATGCACGGGAAACGCGGAACGTGCGGAATACATGGAACTGATGTGAGATGATGCAGAAAGGACGGGGTTTTACACCTACAGTGGGGGAATTCCCCACAACATAAAGACTGTGTATTTGTCATTACTGACCCAACAGCTCATGGAATGTGAGGCATGGATGTTGCCCGAGTACTCACATTTTTTTCTTTTTGACTTCAGGGCAAATATTATCCATGTGCGGTCACCTGCTGGTTCAACCAAGTTGGCGACGCACTGGATGACCAGACGGGCATGTGGATGGTCAAGCCGTCTTCCATTGATAATCATGTGCACTTTGCGGTGATTCATGTCGACTCAATTTTTTGATCCGCTCATTTTATTCCTGTTTGTGGCACTGAAATGCTTCCCACAGTCATTAAATCCCACCACACCCTTGATATATTCACCCTTTTCTATGTGAACAAATTCACTGACCATCATGCCTTCGAAATAGCATTTTAGCACAACTTGCTTTTTTCTTTGTTACTTACTTTTTCTTTGTTACTTACTTTTTCGTGTTGCTTTGCTTTTTTCCAACTTTTTCGCTTGTTTTGTCTCTTTTATATATTCAGTGATATGAAGCTTTCAAGTCCGAAAAATAAGTGTGAAAAAGCGACAATGAGTAATTGGTCACTTATTTAAGCGCTAAAAAAGCTAGAAAAGTGAACTTGTGATTTCCTGATGAACACTCCCCCTCAAGGTGAACACAGTCTGAGTTCGTTTGCAAAGTGTTTGACCTTGGGCAATGGCAATGCCTTGGTCAGGGTATCGGTGATCATGTCTGTTGTAGGACAATAGATGAGGTGGAGCTTGCTGTTGTTGATAATCCAGTGGATGAAGTGACTGATTGTTGGAGAAGAGTGTGATGGGTTCCATGAAGGGTTTGAAGATTTGGCCGATAAAGGAGTGGAGCCATAATGCTTCCTTTGCAGCATGCATCACTGTCACATACTCGCTCTCCATCATCAAGAGTGAGACAATGTCCTGGCATTTTGATGACCACAAAACTGCACCTCTGTTGATCAGAAAGGCGTACCCAGAAACAGCTCTTCTATCCTCCACCATACTCCCATCAGCATCTGCATATCCAGTTAACATATTCGCCACTCCCCCATAAGTCAGCCTCAGATTCATTGTACCCAGAAGGTAATGGTAGATTTGATGCACAGCATCCCAATGCACTTGTCCTGGGTTGCTCAAGAAACGAGATACAGTAGTCACAGCATAGGAAATATTGGGTCGTGTACTGAGAGAGGCATACATGAGTGAGCCAACAGCCTCACAGTAAGGAACATGATGCATAGCGGCATGTTCTGCATTGGTAGATGGTGACTGTCCGGAATGGAGCTTCGTGCTGGGTTCCATGGGGTTTGAGACCGGCTTTAACTCCTCAAAGTTGAAACTGCATATGATACAGTCAAGTAAAGAGATTAGGTGAGCGGTGCACGAAGAGGGAGCTGGTAAGACAAATATATATCTCAGACTCTAGGAAAGATCTCAGGACGAGTATAGTACCTGGTGAGACAAATATATCTAATGGTATGTTAGCTCTATAGGTTAACATGAAAATGAATAAACATCCATCTCAGACTCTAGGAAAGATCTGAGATGTTCGGTCGACGCGACTTGTTCTTTATAGTATGGTTAGCATAGATAAGTAAATTAGTGTAACGTAGGAATAGATGTCGCAATTGTAAGGACTATATGTCCTTTACACGCCGAACCAACTTTAAAGCGAGACGCTCGAACTTACCATACGTTCAGTGCAGCCATGTGACTCACTGATGCGAAGAGCTCAATTCTTTGCATCTGAGTTACGTGGTTACATTCCTTCTTACTCTATTCCATCATTCTACCATATGCTCGCATTCCACCATCTCCTTGTCTCGCTGACTTATTTTCAGTTCCACATGCTACCTACTCAAATCTCGGTTTAATTGTTCGGTTCCCAAACACTTATATACCACGCCTGTGCACTCATACTATAGCAGAATCTCAGACACTGATTCCCCGCCCCAAGCTCAGTCGAAAACTATCGCAGAAAGTCCTCGTCTTATACGTTTTCTCTACTTGTCTCATTTGCCGTTGCACTCGTCACTTATCAACTTCGTCTCATTACATTTCCCCTTCAAACTCATGACTAGCCTTACAAATTTGGAGCCCACCGCGAGGGGAATTGTTTTCGAGCAACCCCTTGCACCCTGAGACGGATTCGCTGATCTATTTACTGATCTCCTAGTCTTTCTCTTAGAACCTGGTCTTTTGACCACTTATTCTCACCATTACTAAATACTATCATCCCAATGCGCAGATACATCAACAGCAATCAGATAAGCCACCTGCGCTGGCTCCCTTGACGAATGCCACCACTCCCAGAAAGTATAGAACCCACGCCAGTACCTTCACTGCCTCTGATACCCCCTTGTTCCTCGACGCATCAGCCATCAAACCACCTTCAAAACCATCGGATTTTCACCTAACACCAGTCCACCCCAAGCTAGATCAACGCACCCAGCATCTAGACACTTCAGATGATCCATCCAAATCCTCCCTCTCAGGCGATGATACCATAAGTCAGCAGCCGCGCTTAAACTCACCCTTCCCCGTCCTCCCCTTTCAATTGAAATTACCCTTAGACCAGCTGTATTCGACCCCAAAACCCCTACATTCCCTCTGATATCCCCTGAACCAGTAAATACCAAAACAATTCCTGCCGCCTCAACTATCCCTCCCATCCCAAAACCCGAATTCATCCCTCGAAAAGCATTACCGCCAACCCAGACTTCCACAATCGCAACTCAGCAGCCCACCCCCGCAACCATAGTTCCCAATCCATCTATTGTGCCTCCGCCTTCATTTGTAGCCCCTCTAGCGCCTCCTCAACTGCCAACTGCCATGTCCAACGCGTCTAAGGGCATCAATGCCATGCCCGGGGCAAACTCCAGCAAAGCGCTGTCATTCAATGGTGAAACTTCCGAACTCTTGGAGTTCTTTGAGTTATTCGAGGACCTGGCATCAGCGTGTGCCCTCACAGATGCCAAAAAATGCAAAATGATCGTCCATTATGTCGACATCCAGATGAAGCGTTTTTGGGTAATGTTAACGGGGTATGAGAGCAAGGATTTCACCATTTTCAAAGCTAGTATTTTAGCTCAATACTTGGGAGAGGCAAAGGGACAGCGGTACTCTATCCGCGATCTCGAACATATAGTAATTACAAACATCAATAATGACATCTCAACAGAAACTGAGCTGTTGCAGTACTACCAACAATTCCAGCCAGTTGCTCACTGGCTTGTGGCCAACAACAAAATATCCACTTGCGAACGAGATCACTACTTCTGGCAAGGACTCCCAGCCACCACTCGACATGCCATCAACAGATGGCTGGAGCTCAAGGATGTCAATTACTCGTGAATGGAAGCTACAGACTTCAAAGAGGTACTCAAAGCAGGCCATTTTGTCTTCTCTGATGATGTGTTTGATGCTGATCTCAATGAACCAATCACAACCAGAATACGAACAATACGAGAAGGATGCAACAGAACCAAGGCTCCTGCTCCATGGGATTCAGACAAAGAAGAAGAGAGGAAAGATGTTAAGAGGGAAGTACAGACAAAATGTGTCGTGTTCACGTCTCCCCCCGCAGCACCAGTTCAAAACACCATCGATGAAGTAGAGGCCCTAGCCCACAAAATGCATGGC